TTGCAAATGATGCCGTGACTAAGTCGTGCTTAGATAGATCCCATCATCACGGGACGAAGCGGGACGCTGTATAAGTTATCTGCCGAAGACGAGCTTGAGCAAGGTTTGATTCTATCTGCACACGATGGGGACGACGACACATTATTTACCAATCGAGCTTCCTCTACGGACCTCACTGAATTCCATCCATCTCCGGCGCAAATATTTCATTTATGGCAGGTTTTCCTTGACACCGTACACCCAATTCTGAAGATATTCCACGCTCCTTCTTTGCAAAAGGACATTCTGAAGACTGCTTTTGACCTTTCTTCGGCATCGGCGGCTTTACATGGCCTTCTCCAAGCTATATATGCAAATGCCGTCATTTCCATGTCCGGGGAGGATTGTACGGCCATTTTGAATGAGGAAAGAAGCACGCTAGTCTCTCGATATACAGAAGGAACTCGGTGTGCATTGCAACAAGCAGGATTTCTCGTATCGACGGACATAATGGTGCTTCAAGCCTACATACTCTATCTTGTGAGCACAACGATATCCGGCACTGTGACTGTATATTATTGCAATCTTCACTAATATTTCAAAGTATGCGATTATGGGAGCTATTCACCCGCGTTCCCTAGTACGATTAACAAGTCTGGCTGAGCGAGGCTCTCGTGTTCTTGGCCTACATCGTCCTTCCTATGGACAGGCTCTTTCGACTCTCGAGATCGAGATACGCAGGCGTGTGTGGTGGCAGGTCGTGTTGCTAGATACTCGAGCCGCCGAGTTATCCGCTTGCGGAACCTCCATTCTCAGCTCTGACTGGAACGTACCATTTCCGCTCAACGTCAATGAGAACGATATCAAACCCGATGCTGACACTTTGCCAGAGAGCATTGAAGGAGTCACTGACATGGTATTTTGTCTCTTGAGATGCGAAATTGCTGAGTTTTTGCGCCACATACGATCCCAAAAGCGAGTTGACTTTAGATGGAACGAGTTCAGTAGTTTGTCACAATCTTTGGCTGATAAGCTGGATGTGATCGAATTGTTTCAGAAGCACATATACACGAAGTATATCGATCGATGCGACTCAGCTATTCCTGTCCATGTTCTTACTCGCTACTACGCTCTTCATTGCTTGTCAAAGATGAGAATCGTAGCGTACCGGACACTATCATATCCCGATAGACCGCTGACTCGTGCGGCCATGCTTGAGAGGCAAGACAAGCTGATGTGTATCTGCATTGAGGCAATTGAGGGGTATCATCATTGTTCAAAAAATAAGTTACTCAAGGAATTTTCTTGGTTCTCGACCTCGTGTTTCCCATTCCTTGCGTATGTTCATCTGCTGTTCAACCTGCGTACGCGAACCGATGGTGCCCTGGTTGATCGAGCTTGGGATGTTCTCACAGTTTGGAACGGAAATCCGAGATGGTTATCAGCTTTGAACCCAACTCCATTTGGGACAGGTGACGAGACCATTCAGCGAGCTTTCGCGAAATTGGCGCTAGCAAAGATATTCCTTGCGGCTTGGGATGCTAGGAGGTCTGCGCAGGCGAATATTGGCCCAGAAGAGCCAGACCTGATTGTGAGAATGAGAGAAAAATTGGCAGATGACACACTACGACAGGCAACTCGATCTCAGGAACTTGAGGACGGTCATAGCGCTGTGAAAGCAGCTACCATGACACCGAAGTTGCAGAAACCCGAACTTCTATACTCAGCGAGCGTACCTCAGGCAGTGACCCAGCCACTCACTGTTCAGGGACCAGAGATAGAAATTGCTGATTTCTCTGACATATTTTTGAATTACGATCCTACGCTTGGCGACGGCGACTGGGAAACTCTGCTATCATTTGAGGCAACCTGACCCAAGTCGCTATGGCGTTGAAGATGATTTCGTAGTTGCCCTATTATTATACATATTTTTGGTCTGATCTTCCCCTGCTGTTACCATGGGATCGGATGAGCTCGAGTATGGGGTTTGTACAAGCCACCGTGGAAACCATTCGGCAGGTTTTGTCTCTCTAGCCTCATCTTTATTCTTAAATGTGTTGACCATCTATATCATTTGAGTATATTTTTGAACGCCACACGCGCTTGATCTACTGGAGACAAGAAATCTGAAGGGATCTGAAGCCATCTAGTAGGAGTGGATGGGTCACAAGACCAGCACTCTGCTTTCGAGGCATCGGTACACGATTCAAGTCGTGCCACCTCTGGGTACGGACAAACAATTCGGTGTTGTAGTTGTCCATTAGGGGCAGTAAATGAGACTGGTGTCGATTTCGGCTCGGTTCCATTCTCTACCCACTCTCGGAGTTGGGAGAAGAGTTCATACGGTTTCCCTCCTGGCCCTCCAACACAGTGTCCTAACCCTGGTACGGGAAAGTATTGATAAAACGTTTGAGCGTCTGGAATTAGCGCCAATACGTCTCGATAATACTCTTCAGTGCCTCCAGTTGGAATGATTTGGTCCGCCTTAGATGATGAACGGACTTGTCAGTTCTCATTCACAACCAATTCTTGGTGTTTACAACTTACAAGGCCATGAAAAGTGATCATCTTCCCTCCAGCATCGCGAAAGTCAGACAAATCGGGGTCATTTGTCGCAAGCATAGAGCTGTACTGCTGCTGGCCAATGTGAACCATCTGGTCAAATTCTTTGTGTGATAGAGTGGTAAAGTCAAAATTTCGATCCTTTGCAATAAGCAATTGTAGCCAAACTGCACTAAGATCGCTTGGCATGCCAGTACAAGATCCGTTATGGCACTGCGTGGTCGGAGTTCCCTTTAGTCCGTATGATAAAGGGTGATGGCCGGTGAGGTCGGATCCAATGTTGATCCCATGCCATATCTTCTTTCCCTTTGCCGACACCATGCCCGTCCACGTGGCATTGACAACTTTTGCAGCTGCAGTGCTTATTTCCAATGGAGCGCCAGTCTCTGAACAATTGGCAATAGTGGTTCCCACAAGCTCAAAAGGATCGAACGTCTCAAAGCATACTTCAACATTGCTGACAACGCCATCGATTACCCCATCTAATCCGTCGCACTTAGTAACTGCAGCCGCTGTCATGGCATCCAGCTCACAGCCATGTGGGTACTCTCCGAGCATGTTCATGTATTGCTGCGGCCAGAAGATGCTCGCAGCTAAATTTGGCCATTGCAAGGCCGGGGCACCTGCTGAAATGCCATCATATGCTGTCGGATACCGTTGGGCAAGCATCAAGCCTTGGCGACCACCTTGAGAACAGCCGTTCCAGTAAGAGTAAAGTGGACTTTTTCCATAAAAGCTCTGAATCACAGATTTGCTCAGTACTGCCTAATAAATATAAGCATCAGGTATAAAGGTTGACGATATGCAGGTGTCATTCACCTGTTCACCCAAGCTCCGCGATCCGAAGTTTTCAAGTTTATAAAGGTCTACATTACCGGCGCTCAAGAGCGCCCAATCGTGAGGATCTCCATTGATTCCAAACCCGGCGTCGGTCGAGCTGGTAGCATAGCCATCATTGATGGCACCAGCCATCGCAGGGTAGCTGACGAACCATCTCCCGGCGACCCATCCTCCGCCACCAACTGCTTGAAACCTTTCATTCCAATTATCAATTGGCAGCCAGGTTTCTACGTTCACGCTATCCTCCTCTCCTGGATGAGTGTAGGTGACGGTTACGTTGCAGAATGTCGCATTTTTGACGCTGACCGAAGGCTGCGAGTAACGGTATTCGCCAGGTACTTCTACACTGTAATTCCTGACTATTGCGGTCTGTACTGAGAGAATCTCAAGTCCATAGAGAGCTGGAGAGAACGTCGATGGGACACAGGCGGCATAGAGTTCCGTAGTCATCTCAAAGAATGACTACGAAAGGTGCGTTAAAAGTTGTCTGTGACGAAGACCAAGTCGGTAGGCGAATCTTACGAAGAAATTAGACCAGTGCAGAGGGATTCACATCCCTGAACCGAGCAGCCGGGAACGGTATAGGGCCCTCATTGGTTGGTTTTGGGGGTTGTTCCTGTGATGTAAGCACCATACCATTGTCCGATCGCTCTATCAATCACTTTCTGTTGAAGCTAGCTATGTAGCAATCAACCAACACATCAAAAGGCGTCGGTGAAATACAAAAGTCCCTCAAGTGACGGCCTTTAGTAATGCCTTCGTACTGTAATGACGAAACTAAGAAACGCCAGAGAGCGGCGTAGCCGCACGTGATCTTAGCCGTCTCTAGGCACAAGTGACATGCATTAGTAGGACGTCAAGAGCCCGATGGAGATTGGTAATGTCAGTCTACATTCGGCGATATCCCTGACCAGCCATGGGTTAGGTAATCCATCCCGCCGCCCGGCCCCTCGCGCCATGTGTTCCGAGCCAGTGTCAACCACTACCTACGAGACAGACCAGTCCATTCACGACGACCAACTCACGCCAAGTGAGACACCGGCGGCATCTTCTTGCTCGATTTCCGCCACGGCCCCAAATTGGCTCCCGACCTCTCAATTCGATTGAGCGAGCAAGTGGACTCCGAACCCAACCCGGCGATGGCCGCGACCGACGATGGGTCCCCGGACCCCACCGCCGAGATCCCTAGCAATGTGCCCGCAGTGGAGACACCATCGACCCCGGACGTGCGGAGGATCGAAGAGACCGGGGCCCTTACTAGGTCCGGTCCGGAGCTCGGGGACACGGCGGAGCTAGAGGACGAGGGGGCCAAGTTTGTCGCGACGGCCGAGCGAGTACCATTGTTCTCGTGGGGCTCGGCGAGCGTCCCGTCGCTTCCCTCTATTGACTCGGACGATCGATATGTGAGATTTTCAACGTACCTAGTCTCAAACCGCACGTGCGCGCTCGCGCGCTACACAATGGGAGGCAATGGGGAGAGTGCTGATGGTGGTCACAGGATGACAGCATTATCGATTCAGCCATTGGGAGCGCCAGGTTAGCACCACCCTCATGCAAGGTAACGATGAGACGCAAGGGGCCGTCCAGACTTACACCCACCTTCTGTTAGGTCATCAACCATGTCGGTCAATTCGTCCATTTACGAATTCGTCGAAGAGAATGGCAGGACATACCACAAGTACAAGGAAGGCAGTGCGTCACTACAAGATGAAGTGTAGCAGAAACCCGAACAGCTAATAGCAGTCCAGAATATCATTTCCCAAACGATGACGTTAGTTACATATCCAAATTCTGTGTTCGCATAAACTTTCGAGGCTTCTTGTTTACTAATTATGTCTTTTAAAGGAGGAACAAGATAGATTAGGTGAGTCGACATACCATATGTTGAGTTCGAGATGCAGGAAAGCTAATTCCCGTGACACTTATAGATCTTCAGCATGCCCTTTTTCTCATGACGACAGGCGGCAAGCTACATCTTGCGCCCATCGACCCTTCTTCACAGCATGTGCTTGACATAGGGACCGGTACAGGTATTTGGGCCATAGAGTTTGGTACGAGTTCGGCAAGAACTTCTTCGCGAATTCCCACAGCTTCTGACTCCCAGGATTATAGCACAGGAAAATCCCGGTGCTGAGGTCATAGGTACAGATCTCAGCCCGATCCAGCCTCAATAGTATGTCTTCCTCGGCCGACTCGCTCTATTCAGCTCATACTGACGGGGACGTATATAGTGTTCCGCCGAACTGCCGATTCGAGATCGACGATGCCGATGATGAGTGGACATACGGAACAAAGTTTGACTTTATACATGCTCGCGCCATGTGTAGCTGCTTCTCCGACCACAAGCGCGTCATTCAGTCGTGCTACGACGCCCTACAGCCGGGCGGCTGGTGCGAATGGCAAGACATGAGCTTCCCGTTTCGCCATATGGGCCCGATCCCCGAGGGCACCAACGTCGTTCGATGGACCGAGCTGATCTGCGAGGCGGCCATCAAGATCAACCGGCCGTGGAGCAACGTCGAGCGATACAGGCAGTTCTTTGAGGAAATCGGTTTCGAGAACATCGTCGAACGCCGCTTCTACTGGCCGGTTGGCCCATGGGCCAAAGGCGATTACTACAAGAGCCTGTCGACCTATTTCCTCGAGGACATCAAGAAGGGCATGGAACCTATCACGATGAAGTTGCTGCCCATACTAGGCTGGTCGAAAGAAGAAATGCAGGTCATACTCGCGAAGGTCCGGCAGGATCTGATGAACCCCAATATACATGCCTATCTTCCAGTGTAAGTCCACCCCATGAAATATATTTGTATCCATGCTGAGGTCGGGAAGAACTATTGTATATGGACAAAAGCCTCACCACCAGAAACGAAACTCAAGCCAGGGAGGTAGCCCTAGTACATCGTAAACTCCGCTACTTTTCATCGATGCTTTGTTGTACATTGCTATCGCTATGCTGTTCTACATCTCTAGAAAGCGGTAGAAACTAGACTTCTATTACTTTCTGTTCAAGCTGACTCCAGATCCTACTGATTTACTCTTTGGACCAAATGCAAGCATCTCATCAAATGCGGGTACTTCTCAGACAAATATGTTCTATCCCTGCTGAGTAATGAGCTCTCAGACACCTATCACCTAAACCAAAACCATCATCTATCCTGCATAAACATAGGCCTGTGACATTTGATATTATATCAGTGACTAGATATTTGTGAACGAGGCCGACCCTTGTACAGAGCCTTGTTCTCAATAGGAGGTGGATCATAGCCATTGAAATGAGGTTGTTCTGATGGGACGACCACCTAGAATATTACAAGGCGGTTAGGTAATATACACAAATTGCAGATCGCCCTGGCGGGAGGTCCAAGAACATCCGTGACGGTTAGAAATACCGTTTCCCAACTTTCCATGTGTTAGCGAGTTCACATTACTGCCTGTAAGGGTGTCCATTTTAAAGTTAAAAAGCGCACGCTTATTTACACCTTCTGTCTCAATTATTTAGATCACTCAATTTACTAGTCTTATACTAGAAAACATTCTACTACTAGTCTCGTTATTACAACAAAATCACATATACTTTGACTTCTACATGAATAGGTAGTGACCTTTGGGATTAATGTGGTCGTACCTTTTATAGCAAGGTAGTCACAGATTGATATTGCACAATACTTCAAAAGTCAGTTACCATTCGCTCATGCCTTCACTGGACCTCCAGGCAGATATAACCTCACAACAACCGTGGTAGCAAGGAAATTGTGGGCTATTGTCCGCTACCATCGTAAGAGAAAAGTCCCCATCAAGACTGTTGGACCTCTTTTCTTTTTTCTAGGACCTGTTTCCCAAGAGCAGCTAGGTCGTCATTTAACCAGGTGTCCTTCTCAAAGCCGTTGATGATTTGATCCAACATTGCTGCAGCGATTTCAGCATTGTAAAGGTTGGGAACAGACATAATAGCGGCTACTACCGCCGCTCCGACGTTACGTATTATATTTCCGGGGGCCTTGATGAGTCCTGGCCTAGTTACAGCTGCTTCGATTTCGTCTTTATGCTCTGCTGCGAAAGCAAGAACCTGGCTTTCTGTTTCTCCCTATGTATCGTCAATATATGATGAATGTCCTCTGTACGTCAATGCATAACTCACTCGCAGCAATGAGTACTGCGGTCGAAAGTCCGGGGTCTTCGTCTGATCCCTTTCAGCGCTAAATCCACTGCAATAGATGAATCTGAATGGCTTTGCTGGACCCGCCTCATACATGGCTCTTAGACCCATCATGGTGGATGTTTGACAAACCCGGACCACCGTATCCCAATCGTACATGGATGACTTTGTAGGGGTTATAGCCACGGTCCTGATCATTTTGGTTAGTCTTGATCCAAGCAACATGTTAATGCCGCTGGTATACGACATAGCTCAGCGGCGAGCATCGAGTCCTATACTTGCCAGATGCACCCAGCAGCGCCAGAGAGCTCTCTCTTCAGGGCATCGGGCCACTCGCTATAATCTTGGATTACTAGACTCTGAAGCTTACTAGGATCAGATCCCGGTTCGAGGTTTGGCGGAGCCGTCACCGCCTTCCGTGCAAGAGCAACGACCGTTGTAATCTGGGGTATGCTGAGACACTGTCTGATTACCTCGCTTCCCACGAAGCCAGCTCCAGCGACTATGACCTTCATAGTGAGCTTAGTGAAGATCTAACAGTCTCAGATGCATGGTCAAGAGAAGATTTGGGGTGGCTAAAACAAAACTTCGTAGGAATTGGCATTTCTTTAGTCGGGCGTCCCGAAGCCCCGGTGGCACTAGCGAAGCCATCGAATCCTTCGCCGAACACGGTTAAAGCGAGCATCGGTCTTCTCGCCAACGACCGACGGCGGAATCTAGGAAGGGCAGACTCTTGGAGGATCGCAGGATCCGACACCAGAAACAGTACTTCGTATCTGCATACTAATTTGGCCACTATGAACTCAAGGCACAAATATTCTCGGTGCTTCATCTACCAGAAACAGGAGATGGCTTTTCTGCTTCAGCAATAAGCGCCGCTAATCCACGCGTGCTTGTGGAGGCCCCAAGAGCCTGTCATGGGGGGTTCTAGTGAAGTACCAGCTACCGATTAGCGCCCGCTGGGATTGGCTGAACCACGCCGGATCTCGTTTTCATGCTGCCAACGATCAAGATCATCATATCAGGCCAGCACCTAAGCTTGTAGGGCAATAAATAGAATTTCATGTAATCACAAAAGACCTCAAGCCTGCGAAGGCCTGCATAGTTGATAAATTTGTTGCTAAGATGTGCTTAAAGAGTTCGCATCATACATCACCATTTATCCTCATCTGCCGAGCGAATGGGAATGCGATTGATAGATAACGCTCGAAGGTACTCCAAGGCGCTTGGGCAGCAGGTGGAGATCAGTAAAGATCACTATGGGTCTTTCCGCATCTACTGGTTACCGAATGATAACTCTTAAATACGTAGCCACTTCACTGAGTATAGTCACTGACTCATCTACTAGCACTGCTATAGGGTCAATCGCAGCACGGAGGATCATGCTCAGTCAGATACACGATATGCACCACACAATTCCCAGACGTATCTGCTGCTTCCTACTTAATATACAAAGAGCAGAGCCATACACTCGCTGTAACTAAGGCTTCCATGTTCTCTGAAATACTAGACTGGTCTTCCTCTTGACTGTTGCTTTAAACCTCTGAGAAGGTGGGAGCCAGATCTGACTTATCTTTGACGTCCTTCAGGTCAGGTACATCCGAGTGCTTAATGCCGTCAAACAGTACATCAATCTCTTCAAGAGTCTTGCCCTTGGTCTCAACCCAGAAGAAGAAGACATAGATAATGAACAAGAAATTCCAGCTGGCGTTGACCATGTAGGTTTTCCAACCGATCGCCTCAAAGAGGTACGGGAACACCATGGTAACGAACACTCCGCAAGCCTTCGCCGTGAGAGTGAACATGGCCATTCCCGTTGCTCTTATATTATAGCTCAACACCTCTGGAGGATACATATTTGTCAAGGGAGTCAATCCGAATGAGTAGGCGCCGAGGTAAAGGAAGATGACTGCGACCGTTCCATAGACTCCGGAAGAATTGGACGATGTACCGTAAGTTGCTGTCATTCCGCCTACAACGTAGAACAGGGCCGTGCAGGTGCAAAGCGAGGTGAGACAGAGCAATCTGCGTCCAAGTTTCTCGGCCAGGAGAGAGCCCGAGACTGCGACTATAAATTGCCATCCACTGAGAACAAAATTGATTTCCATCTGTGTGTGAGAAGACGTAATGCCTGCTTGGCTGAGCATCGTTCCGTAGTAGTAGGTGATGACCTTGTCGAAGATTAGCCATGTTGACTTGTAAAAATCATACCAAACACGGTGTCAAAAAGGCAAATCGGTGCTATAAAAGATTGAAACGACTGTATGAATTTACTTACATTACTGCCTGTCAACATCGTCAATGGCGCCACTGATAACGCCAGGGCCATTCGCTTTCTGTTTGGAGCATCACGGATGATCTCACGGAATCCAAGGCTCTTGCCTTCGCTCTTTTCATATTCGAGGGTGTCAATGATCTCTTGATATTGTACCTGCACTTGAGGGTCTTGGGGAGTGGAGCCATTAAGACGGGCAATAATATCGAGCGCCTCCTCTTGGCGATCGTTGTAGATGAGCCAACGTGGTGACTCTGGGAGGAAGGGAATCAGACCCAGAACGCATAAGGGAGCAAAGCCTTGAAGCAGAGAAGGAATTCGCCAAGCCCAGTTGGAAGGATCAAGATCCGCGGCCTTAACATGTAGTTATCAGTACCCATTGAGATATCTTAGAATTTTCAAAAGTATTGACTTACACCGTAACAGATCCCGGCAGCTAAGAAGCTTCCAAGCGCCCAGCAAGTGAAATACATTCCCAGGGCAAAAGCTCGGACCTTGGGAGCGGTTGTTTCCGAGACGTAGCTGCTTGCAGCAGTCTGTGCAAGTCCAGTACCTAAGGGATGTAAGTATAAGCCAGAAACACTAAAAGACTGGAAAATGTACCTAAACCGATAATCATGCGGCCGGCAATGAACATAGCTACGTTCTGAGCGGCTCCGCTAATAGCTGCGCCAAGAATGTTCAGGAGGGCACTAATAACGATACCCTCCTTACGACCACGCTTATCAACATAGTAGCCAGCAAAAGGAGCAATAAGAATGGCACCGAGATATGTTGCCGTGCTGTTCACAGCTATAGTTGCTGTGTTCAGGTGGAAATAGTTCGAATAGCTCTCGAGAACGTTGATACTCCCCATAAGGGAGCCATCATAGGCGATCGTGACTGAATCAACAATACAGACAGCTACCACAAGGGCAGTCATCAAGCTCATCTTGAGCGACTGGGAGAGCGAGTCGAACATCGTTGCGGCTGCTGCTTGGCGTACACTTAGAATGAAGGAATGTCCCGATGGGCTGGCTCTACCAAGAAAGCATGGCACGATGATCGTACGTTAGGCCGACTGGGCGCCCAGAGTTATATGCAAAGTCTCGGCGCAAGGTCACAGTCACGTACCCAGTATCTCTGGCTTCGATATCTGGACGGTGGTTGGGCCACGGTTTAGAGTCGTGTGCCCCTGTGCGGGGAACCCCAAACCAGACAACCAATATCTCTCTTAGGAGCAAATCAATCCGCGGTAATTATTCAGAGCGCTGTAGTCCTCACATCTTGAAGTGGAGTTTGTGTGGGTTCAGTGGTCATCTCCGTACGCTAATTGCTTATTGGGGTGGGACCATCCTGTCTATAGCGTGGCCTCGATGGCGCCCCAGGTTAGTTGTTGAGCGCCCCACAATGTGAGAGATGCGCGGTCTCTCCCATATCAAGAATCCGGACACGGTTATCGTTACATATTAGTTCCCTTTCTAGAGTAGCTGTAATCAAAGGCTGGTAAAAACGCTCTAGAATAGACAAAATTGGCATCATGAAACCTCGTGGCGAGAAACATCTCACGTTGCTAGTAGGGGTGCAAACCATTGCATCGTAGCGTTATCAAGAGTGGTGGAGATAGATTACTATGCGCCGCAAAAGCAGCACAGTGGAACTAACCGCGATATTCCGCAGATCTGATATCTTGTTATCTCGAGTGGGCAATACGCAGTCAATGTTTAATGCATTATCTTGATAATCACTCCACTACAACATCAACTTCAGCGACAATGTCTCTGGAGCTCGTGCCTACAAAGCATATGTACTTCCCCTTATCAGCTCTCCACTTTCCTCCCGATGAAGGGCCGCAGCCTTTGCCCTCGACATCGAACCAAGAAACTGCCCTCTTATCAAGTTCAATGTTGGCGACTCTAGCTTCGCCTTTGGGAACAAACACTTTGACAAAGCCAACTAGCGATCGTGGTGCAGAGTCTCGACCCTTCTCCTTGATAACAGGCGACGGAGACATGTAGGCCTGTAGAACTTCAGCGCCACCGTAGTCCCCAAGGTTAGTCACGGTCGCGGAGATAACAGCTTTCGTAGAGCCGTCTATCGCGATCTTGCCTTCGACTTTGACATGCCAGATCTGGAAAGATGTATACGATAATCCAAAACCGAAAGGCCACAGAGGCTCGATATCTTTCGCATCAAACCATCTGTAACCGACTAGAATGCCTTCACCATATTCGGCATAGTCTCTTTCAGCATCCCCTGGAAACCATGGGTTTGACCCATGATCTTCAAGTCTGCGTGGAAATGTGATGGGCGTCTTGCCGCTTGGAGTAACGCGGCCGAGAAGTACATCTGCTAATGCATTACCATTCTCTTGACCTTGGTACCAAGCATGGACGATTGCAGGGGCTACGTTAACCCAAGGCATAGAAATAGCACAGGCAGACTGAGTTACAACCACCGTGTTAGGATTGGCTCTGCAGATTGCATCTACAAGCTCATTTGTCCTGCGAGGTAGCTCCAGTGACGTTCTATCAATTCCTTCTTTCTCACTGTCGTTGTTATGACCCACGACAAGAACAACCGTGTCTGCACCCTTTGCTGCGGCAACGGCCTCGTCAAAGAGAGCCTGTTCGTCAATACGAAGCTGCATTCCGACACGGACACCTGATAGAGTATGGAAAAGAGTGTTGTCGTGAGGCGGAATTGGAGGAGGTAGTACAACGTTGTCAATGCGGAAAGAATAACTCTTTCCAGCTTCAAGATTGACCTCCGCGAAGCGGTTGACACTTCCGCAATTCATGAAGGTGCCTCCCGTCTGAGTCCAATCGTGGTTATCGATCACCAGATTGTCGTCTAGGAAGAACTTGGCCTTGCCAGTATTCGACAAGCTGAAATCATATGTGCCAGTGGTAGTTGGGGTCAAAACTCCGCTAGCTCGATAGCAGTGAGGTTTCCCTCTTAGAACCTCGGGCGTATCACCATCGCTCATCATGAATAGGATTGAGTTCTGCCAGTGGGATGTACCAATCACAGAGCCCTCAAATTCATGACCTGCGTAGAAATCAACCTGAACGCCAGTTTTGCTACCGTCCGCGGTCTTCAGCATGTTTCCTGGCAGTGGAGGCTGGATATTCGTCCGAATACCCTGACTAAATGATATCTCAATCTCAGGATTGACCTCTTTCGTTGCTTCCGAAAGCGATTCGTAAGGATTCGTCAGGTAGAATGGCCGAACGGCAGCACTTCCGGTGCCGCCTGTCGTTGGCTTTTGAGCATTTGGCCCGATTATTGCTAGCTTTTTGATAGCTTGAGGTTTGAGCGGTAGGACTTTTTGATTTTTAAGAAGTACTATTGCACCGGCTGCAGCTTCTCGAGTAGTTTGACGAAACTCGGGGAGATCCGAGTATTGCTCCTTGCCAGTAGTAACCTCTTCAGGATCTAGCAGACCAGCTTTGTTCAAGATCTTGAGGAGTCTCTTCACAGAGGCATCAATATGATCTTTCTCTGACACCTTGCCGGATTTGACAGCTTCTAGAAGAGCTTTCCCATACCGGATTGGTGGTCCCGGCATTTCCAAATCTGTTCCTGCGACGACGCTCTTGACCGTGTCGTTTAGGCCACCCCAGTCACTCATGACCAATTCGTCAAAGTCCCATTCCTTCCTCAGGATATCTTGTAGAAGGAAAGTGTTGCAATCAGCATGCTCTCCATTGATTTTTGGGTACGCCGTCATAGCACTCCATGGCTTCGCTTCAAGGGCCATTTCAAATGGCTTCAAATAGATCTCACGCAGTGTTCTCTCGTCAATCTGCTCGTCCATATTGAAGCGTCGGGTTTCCATATCGTTAGCCACATAGTGCTTCATGCAAGCACCGACGCCGCTCTGAGACTGGACACCTTTTATGTAGCTCGTCGCCAAAACTCCTGTTAAGTAAGGATCCTCGCCGAAGTTTTCAAAGTTTCTACCGGCCAACGGTGATCTCGATATATTCATGGTTGGCGCGAGCAATACATGAGATTGCTTGCTGCGAGTTTCAGTGCCAAGAATCTCCCCAATGCGCTCAATCAAAGGCGGGTCGAAAGTTGCACCCAGTGAAATGCCGCATGGTATGAACGTCGTATAAGTCCCGTCAATCCACGTAGCGCCACGGACACCTGCTGGACCGTCGGTTGTTTTCAGACTCCTGATGCCCAGTCTATCGACATTGTAAGTCTCCCACATGTTCTTGCCTGCTAGAAGAAAGCATTTTTCTTCCAGGGTTAGCTCCTTGAGGAGCCCGTCAATGCGGTCGTGCTGCGCCATGAGGAATGTCTGAAGCTCGTTTCTGAGCTATTGCGACGATATTTGTCACTCTGGAAAGTAAGCAAGACGAAACATCGTAGATGTTGAAAGTGAACAGCAAAAGCTGCTCCAGCCGCAGCAGCAGAACTCCGCTGGTGGATATGTTTTGGTGACGTAAAATCGTGAGCCAGGAGACGCTATAGTGGGGAGAGACAGCGCATCTCCACAGTCTCTCTCGGAGACATCCCGCCTGCGGGTTCTGCACAGTCGGTGAATGTTCACGCGTTGAGCTTCTTCAGAACTTCCGGAGAAGTCAACTGGAAACGCCTTCTGGCTCGCATTTGTCTCGGCATTTTTCCAACGTGTCGGGTCGCGTACTTCGTGGGTCGAACCTCGAGTCAGGTCCAGACGGCGTTTCTTAGCGCAGTTCTCCGCAGATAGCAGTGTATCTGGCATGGACTTGGTGAACGGACATGCCCGCCATGGGTCGGAGAGAGGGGCAATGGCCGCTGTCGGCTATGGAGCGATTCAAATGCATGCGAGGCTATTCGCAGGCGTGCGCTATCTTACGTTCGAGGCGCTGGAGTTTTCTATACAACCCGGCTTCGTCGTTGATCTGTTCTTGGTTTGGTAGACTTTTTCTTTCAGCAGGATTACCACTAAGCATCTTCCCTCCTTGTCCATTCACTCTGTTCAACAACTTAGCAGTCGAGATGGGTTTCTCGGACAAGCGCATCGCCGTCGTGGGTGGAGGCCTAGGTGGAATGGCATTCATGAATAGTGCGATTTACTCTGGATTGAACAATGTTCAACTCTACGAAGCCGCGCCTCAGTTCACAGAAGTTGGCGCGGGTGTGAATATCACTCGAAATGCGAATCGTGTACTGGATGCCTTCGGTATTGGCCCTGATATGCTCTGGAAGTCTTCACGAGACCCCCCTTGCTACATGGAGTACCGCCATTATCGAACCGGCGAGGACTTGGGTCATATTGCTGAATTCGGCGAGCCGAAATCGAGGCAAATACACAGAGCCCATCTGCTAGATGCCCTGAAGAAGAACGTCCCCGACGAGAAGATATCCCTTGGCAAGCGTCTGACTAGCGTCGAGTGGAGTGATGAGAGCTCTTGCTATGTGCTTTCATTCGCGGACGGGAGCAAGGCAGAGGCTGATATTGTGATTGGGTGTGATGGAATCAAGAGCGTTGTCAGACAGACTCTAGGGTTCAAAGACCAGCCAATCTACTCGGGACAGATGGTGTATCGTGGCTACGTTAGCTATGATGACTTGACTCCCGAGACAGCCGCTTTGCTCAGGAAAACAGTCAATTTCCGTGGTCTTCGCAAGCATGTTTTGACTCTGCCTATTGGAAATGATGAGTCGAAGACAGCCCGTGTGGGGATCATCGGTTTCATGACAGAGCCCCTAGAAAACTGGACCTCTGAGAGTTGGCTGAGCACCGCTCCGGTGGACGATCTCTATGAGCATGTCAAGGACTGGACTGGTGCTGTTCAAGAGATCATTACTGGTCTCAGGAAAGGATCTTCTGATGGCAAGATCTTGAAGCAAGCTCTGTATGTTCGGGAGCCAAGTGAGAAGTGGTTTGGCGTTCAGCGAGGATCCAATTCCGGTATGATCCTGATGGGCGACTCTGTACACTCTACACTGCCTCATCAAGGTGAGACAAACGCATAGTCAAATCATCGGTTAATGCTAACCTTTACATTAGGACAAGGAGCCTGTCAAGCAATGGAAAGTGGCTTTGCATTGGCACAAACATTGAAGAATTGGAAGAGTGACGATTTGGAATCCGCATTCCAGTTCTTCCAGGACTTCAGAAAACCTCGCACTGATCGCATCACTCAGTCTAGCTATGAGACTGGCAAGATGGCTAGTGCAGATATTCCAGAAGAGTTGTGGGCGACAAGCTTCAGCCCGGAGGTTGTTCGCGAGCGGATGAGATGGGTGATGGAATATGACCTCCTGAAGGAGTTGTCAAACCGCTTGGCCGGGCCAGAGAATGCTGGTACAACTTCCGAGAGCACAGATGGATCGGGTGCTCCACCACCGGTCAAAGTTGTTTGCTAAGTTAAAGTGTAATGCATCTAGAATACAAAAAGTTAAATGTTGAACACAATCACACGACTTCACAATAATGACTTCCAATTTCCTTCCTTGTGGTGCTACATAGAATGCAAGCCTCCTGAGCGAAGTAAACCAATTAGATGTCAACCCTATTTGATTTCATGCCCTGCGTCTGGATTTGCACCGCGTAAAGCCCCCTGCACCAGCTGGTGTTTGATAACGCGAGATACTACGCTGATCTCCGCGCGCCCCCTGATGCTAATCACGTCGCAGCGTTATCACACGCCCAAATAAGTCCCCTAATAGTTATCTAGGGATCACCATTTGTTATCTCCTAGCCTTGGCATGCTGTTTCGAGTGTAGACCGGTTTATCGTGTTTATATATGAATTGGTGGGCAGAATCCTCGAGACCACAAAATTGATGCCTGAATCAGCACGACTGATTGCCTACATTCAATATTACCAGTAACCAGTGGCGCTTTCACTGAAGTAAACTAAGAGTTCTCAGTCCACCATCAGAGCTCATTATGGCGGCAGAGACAGCTTCCCCAGTTGCCGTCGCAGCACCTATCGATGAAAAAAAACCGGGTGACTCTCAGGATGGCTTAAATTCTTCTGTTGCGGAGTTGCCAGTTTCTGAGCAAACTACATTGCAAAGATGGGTGAACAAGCTCGATCGTTTACCAGGTTTAGAGACGAGAGGCATTGAGCGCGTCCCCGAAGAGCTCCGACACCCCAAAGTAACATCTGGTTCTTACGTACAAATGTTTTTGATTTGGTTTGCGATCAATTGCACAGCCAACAATATGGTAAATGCTATACTTCTCTTGCTCCTTTGTCACAAAGAAGTTACTGACGTGCATTTTCAAGACCATGGGAATTCTTGGGCCAGTGGTTTTTGGCCTGAGCTTCACTGATTCGATACTGTACGTGAAAACACATTGGTTCTGGCAGAAATCGTAACTGACTTGAGGAGCAGCTGTTGCCTCTTTGGAACGATATTTGGGTCGGCATGCACTGGATATATATCGTCATTTGGACCGATATCCGGTCTCCGGACGCTGGTGGTCGCGAGATACTCAATGGGGTATTGGCCATCAAAGTTGTGCGTTCTTTTAAACATGGTTATCGAGATTGGCTATGGATTAGTGGATTGTCTGGTGGCCGGACTTATCCTCAGCGCAGTAAATGGCCATGGAATGACCGTCATCGTGGGAATCATTGTATCTGCCATCATCACCTGGGTAGTTGCGACTTTCGGTATCAAGTGGTTCCACACCTTCGAACGGTATGGAGACTACAAATTCCCCCGCTAGTACCTCAAGCTCATATATCCGCAGATACGTTTGGGTTCCAACGGTCCTCGTGCTCTTCATTCTGATCGGTTCCGCTGGCCCCAATTTCAATACCGCTTCGACTTCCTCAACTACCGGCGCTGCACTTGCAGGAAATCGGTTGTCTTACTTCTTTCTCACTGCTTCGGGTCCCTTGGGTTGGGCACCAGCCGCTGCTGACTTTTACTCTTACTATCCATCCTCCACCTCTCGAGTTATGACGGCTACAATGACTACGTCAGGTATCACTTGTGGCAAGCTCCTGATCGAATTTCTTGGAATTGGTCTTGCCTCTGGACTAGCTACAATGCCCACATGGGCCACTGCATTTGACCACTCCGCTGGAGCCTTGATTGCCGAAGCTTTCGCACCTTTAGGGAACTTTGGCGGCTTCTGTGCCGTAGTACTCGCCATTTGCATTTCAGCCAACAATATCCCAGGAACCTACGCAGCAGCCCTCAACTTTCAGATGTTGGGTAGATTCGGGGCGAAAATTCCGCGACCCGTCTGGTCCACAGTTGTGGTGATAATCTACACCGTATGTGCTATTGCAGGTCGAGCACAACTCTTGAGCATCTTCTTGAACTTTTTAGCTTTGATTGGCTACTGGGTCATCATCTACTTCATTATCACTGTTGAAGAAGAATTCCTCTTTCGGCGACAAAAGGGGTTTGATTGGGCGTTATGGTCGAACAAATCGTACCTGCCCGTTGGATATGCGGCGCTGGTGAGCTTTCTCATTGGATGGGCAGGTGCCATTCTTTGCATGTACCAAACTTATTACACTGGTCCTATTGCGAAACTAGTTGGCCAAGGAGCTGATGTAAGTCTTGAAACCTTGCTTCCGACTTCCCAGAGACTTGCTAACGCTTACAGCTTGGACTTCCTGTCGCCATGTCATGGGCTGGTCTTATGTTCCCAATCCTGAGGCATATTGAGCTCAAGTTTATTGGGCGTTGATTTTGCCAGCGGCCACGTCTTTGCATGGCTCAAAGAGGGCTGTTTCAATCTAATTTTTCAAAGTCGGGCAAACCAGGAAACGAGATACCAATGATACCTTTATTCTTCACTAGAAGGCCGCAAGTTATCATCACATTTTCAATTGAAGCAGTTGAATGAGTTGTAATGATATATCGTAATACATTGTATTTCTGCCACGTGGATCTTCATGTCCCATCTACTAAATTTGAAGGGCTATGACATTCTACAAAGTGGTATAAATAGTCTGTTAGGCATTCACATCTCATCCCTAGGCCTTATCGAACGTCTGGTCCCAATGCAACTCAAGAGCCAGCCTAAATTTTCAGGGTCGAGCTTTATCTAGGAAGATAATGTCCAGTTGTTGACCTTTCTTCATTGCTAGTGCAAGAAGTCTGTCCAAAATTTCTAAACACTGTCCCAACAAAAGGTTGATTTATAAGATTTGTATTTTCGAGTATGAATGCTATATTTACGATGTTCTTCATTTAAAATTGTGGCTGGAGTTATCTCCAGTATGCATTGAGCTGTCATCACATTTGTACGTCTCTCACTTGCTTCCTTGAGTTGTCCTTCGCAAATAGTCATCATATCTCAGATATGCTCCCAAAAGTGCCTCGGCACCAGCGGCACAACTAGTGTCTTGTTAATAACCAACAGAAACTAGAGAGATATACGGAACTTACTCTTCAGGTCGAGAGTATTCTGCCGGATTATGGCTAACACCATCTCGACATCTGACAAAGATCATAGCAGTCGGCACCTTCAATGAGGTGTAGACAGAGTCATGGCCTGCGCCGCTAACGAGCTCCATTCCACAGTCAATACTCTTCGCGGAGTCTCGTACGCATTGTACCATAATTGGATCGAAGTGGAGAGCAGGCGAGATCCAAAAACAGTCGAACTCCATAGTCAGACCGTGCTCCTTGCAGATCTCCTCAAACCTAGCTCTACATAACGCCTCGACAGTCTCAACATCTGCATCTGCTGGTGCACGGATATCGAGTCCCATGCGCACCTTACCGGCAATTGTGTTGATACTTTGGGGCCCTGAGTTGATTACCGCAATTGTAGCGCGGGCTCCTCTAGCGGCAAGCTCGCCCTCGGTCACAAAGCGATTGGTTTCTACGATCATCTTAGCCGCTCCCAAGAGAGCATCGCTCCGCCGGTCCATAGGAGTTGTTCCAGTGTGAGCTTCGCGACCGACAACGTCTACATTGTACCATCGGATTGACTGCACGCCCTTTACGATACCGACTGCAGACTCGGCAGCATCAAGGATCGGCCCCTGTTCAATGTGAACCTCGAAATGCGCTGACAATGGATTTGCGTCATAGCTGCATGGGATTTCACCCAAGAAACCAATACGTTCTAGTTCCTGCTTCAGGGTAATACCGTCCATGTCCGACCGGTTGTGGCCATATTCTGTGGTGAAAGCCCCTCCCCAGACACCTGAAGACAGCATAGCTGGCGGGAATCTTGCGCCCTCTTCGTTGGTCCAGTTGATGACAGCTAGCGGTGCATATGTCGTAATATTGTTGGCATGGATAGTTTTTAAGACTTCCATTCCGGACACCACGCCGAGAATGCCATCATATTTACCACCTGTCGGCTGCGTATCAAGATGTGAGCCCAGTCCAATAGGCGGAAGGTCATTATTCTCTCCTGGCCGAATGGCAAAGATGTTGCCCATTGCATCCACCTTGACCTGGCATCCACACTTTTTGGTCTCTTGGATAAACCATTCTCGAACTTTACGGTCATCATCGTTGCATGTCAATCTGTCTAGAGAATAACCGATCAGATCGTGTAAAATTTCACATTTTCAGAGAGTCAACATACTCATGCCACCATCAGGTGTGTTTCCCCAGGTGCACGACTCCTCCAGCGTGTCGACCGTTCGTTTAGCATCCGTCTTCAATTTGGCGTAGTAATCTGGTAGCACAGGAGCAAGCTTAGCCGCCGGAGGCGGTATTTCAGTGCCTAGAGAACCCATTGTGGAAATATGATCACACGGTATGTGAATGAAGCGGAATTCAAGTGACAAGCCAAGACCTCTACACAGAATAATTCAGGAGATCACGACAAAGGCTATAACGATGATCTCTCAGGATTCCACATCGCCTCCACGCCGGTAGTCTATCACAAAGGTGGCAGGCGAAGCTCAAGGTAGCAGATTGTACTCGTCTGGCTCCAATTAAGGACGGAGAAGAGCGTATATGTCATGTTGACCAATGATCTTTTCTCAACTAGACAAAGCCCCGTGCTCGTAAGGGTCCCATAACCACTGCCACTAATAAACAGAATTTAGTCCGCACCAGTCTCCATCAATGAGCAATTTCGATACTTGCACTGGCCCATAGCTAAATGCGGCGCGCTCTCTCCTTATCGCTTTGTCCTTCTGCCATGATTAATGGTCAGTCGAAGTGGCACCCGCCTCCGACCCGCCGCTATTTTGCCGATGCTTGCTGGGCATGCCTGCCACGGCGCGATAAGCCTATAAATGCGGGGGCACAAGATGGTACTAGAAGTTATAATGACCACATGAGAATAGTCATGGCGCTGATACTAGACAGCAGCGGCCAGGAGCTAGCGCTCTTCTCCGTCAACGTAATTCTCGAATGATGATTGGTCGGATACGGACAAGCCGCGATGAAGTCCGCTTCAGGATATGTCCTGCTTTCAGTCCACCAAGTTTTGGACAACTCCACACATCCTGGGGAAGGGTCGCGCAGGCTGCGTGCGCATATCCGATAGGAAATGGCTTCGCGATGTCAGCGAGCGATTCTCTCGTGTTCGAGATGCAGGAAGCGGAAGATGAAGGTACGGTTCATCCAGAACCCCTGGTTCTCAAACTCGTTGCCCCGAGACTCAATTGATTGACATCTGGTTCTTGACGTGTCCTTGCAGTGTGATAGGAAACTACCATCCTGCTCTCAATGCGTCTCTGCCAAATCCGAATGCACCGGCATATCAGCAAATACAACAACGGACGTACCGCGTAGTATTGTCCAGCATCTTGAGTCAGAAATCGCGAGACTAGAAACAGAGCTGGTTCACGATGGACGCCTCGAGGTTGTGCAAGCATCTGATATACTTTTGCAGATGCCAACGTCAGTTCGACCTAGCACCGAAACTGCTGGACGAAGCTCAAGTGAACAAACATTGAAGGATGGGACCCAAGGTCTGGGCCACCATGGCCAAGACACGCCTTTGCGCACTTCAATATTGTCGAGCAAATCACTCCAAGCAATTGTGTCAGCAACTCTTCCATATGGTTCGGGCGCAACGGATCTCTTGTCAAGAGTCCGTATGGGTATGACCCCTTCATCTGCTAGAGTCGGTCAGAGGAGTAGAACGACAACCCTCAACCCAAAGGCCAACAAAGGCAGCATCCTCCTCAACGCCAATACTCTTCGCAGTATACCCGTGGACATCGTTCAACGACTTATGAGGAAATACCTCAACACTATACAACCCGATAACCCATTTCTTGTCGCTTCTACGGTTGTCCAACAATTTCAATCTGTTGTAGAGATTCTTGGCTGGCAAGCACAAGCGCAAAGTCCCGGTGCTGAACCTTTGCCAGTCATCGCTAGCCATGACTTCCTGATAGTGTACCTCGTACTCGCGATTTCCGTTACCCTTGGCTCAGCGAATGGGCATGAGGAACGATGCATGGCATTGTCGGTTCAATTATTTGAAGAAGGCATCCAGCACTTATATAGCCTTCCAACCTTTCCTTCAGATATAACTTGGCTTCAAACCATCTTGCTTGTCCTCCTCTACGCTACGGTCTTTCCACGATCAGCAAATGTCTGGGTTCTATCTGGCGCAGCGATGAGGTCATGCTTAGAGTTGGGTCTGCATCGAGAGCCACCAGAGTCCATGGGGCTAGACCCCGAAACTTTGGACCTTCGCCGTCGAGTGTTCTGGGCGGCATATTGCATGGATCGCTCTATATGTTCAGCACTCCAGCGACCATTATCAACGCCCGATGCAGCGATCAACACCAAGTTCCCTGCCCTTATGGAAGACGATAGCTTCTTAGGATCCATCACTTACCATCAGCTCATGTCTGAGATATTCCATGTCTCCTTTCAGCGCGAGCCTATTCCGCCCGGTATGGCTTGGGACGATTGGCTTGCAGGCATGGAGAATCGCCTAAAGTCTTGGAATAGTTACTATAGTCAGGCCACGCCACATCACGAGACTATTGAGTTCAATATGGCTCGTGGCTTGATGCTGCTTCACCGGCCTTCACCGCGTGTGCCTATGCCGTCACAGCGTTCTTTGCTGCTTGCTTTTGAAGCAGCTTCTACAGCCGCCAGGATCCATCGGGACCATATCCGGGCGGGATTCTTTCGGCGCCCTTGGCTATCCGCCCACCACATGCTTGAAGCTGCTACCGTGGTTCTATACTGTTTGAGGTACGGTTGGGAAGCAATCACTGAGCGTTTTAATGCTCCACAAATTTTCGATATGACGAAGCTTCTAACAAGCAACTTCCTCGCCATAGCGGGTCAGGGTTGGCCGGAAGTCAGTATATATGCAGGAGTTTACGAGCGACTTCTTGGTCCACTACTCGAGCGTGTTTTTCTACGAAGCGCAACGCTAAGTGACAGCTTTGGCCCGGCGCAAGATGCTGAGCTAATGCGTTTGCTCTACCCGGGGCCGGCTCACCTCGAGAAACTACGATTTGGTCTGAGACGACAACAAGAAGAATTCAGTCCCTTTGATTTTAATCTATTCATGGCAGACGACGAGACATGGATGGGACTAGATGGCGAGGAGGACGCGGAAGGAGAAGGACAGCGATGGGGCATGGGCTTGGCAGCGGAGATGGATTTTGGTATGGCGTTTTGAGGGTTCTAGGACAAGTGATACCTCTTTATCAAGATTTTATCTTACGTAGCGTATATTTGATTATTATTCATTTGAAGTCATCAATTCTATCCCATACACTGAGTGACTAACATCGTTCTGCAAATTTCAATAAGCACCCACGATTCTTGCGCACATTAAATTAAAAACAACCATCATCCAATTGATCTAGATAGGCCTGAGACCACGACCCAAATATGTCCGTTCGCCAAATTCGCGCTCCGCTACCTGGAAGAGTGGTAGACCCATAAAGTAGCCGGCATCCTACGCATGGATAGTTAGCATCTTTCTTTCTCAGAATACGAGTTAACAAACCTGAGTTCCCAATGCTTCCCACGTGCTCTGGGACTCCTCTTTTCCTATGACAACAAGGGGTTTCCCCGATCCTGCTGCGGAAGCATCTGCAGCCAGTTGCACCTGGCAGCACTTATCTAGCAGGACGAACCAGGCAATAGTGGCCTCAATCGTGCTTCCAGCTGTCAGGAGTCCGTGGTTTCCAAGTAGCGCTGCTTTCTTGTCGCCAAGACATGCTGCAATTTCCTTGCCTTCCTCTGTGGCGAGCACAAGACCAGCAAAATTACTTTTGTCATTGTTAGTCTTATTCATTCTGAAGACGAATAAAAGAGAGCTCAAAACTTACGGATAGAGGACATGGTCATTGTAGAATGTGCAGAAGTCCTGAGTCAGCATATCCAGTGTCCTACCTGTTGCACAAAATGCACGGCCATAGATGCTATGGCAATGTGCTGCGCACAGGACATCTGGACGGGCTTTGTGAATCTCAGCATGAATTGCGTATGCCGCTAAAGTATGTGAGGATTAGCTGCAGTTCAGCTCCTTGTAAGGGAGAATGATGTATACCGTAGTTCAACCGTAAGTTAGCTCCTCCTTCGACGACTTTGCCATTGTGATCGACGCGGATCAGATCATCATCTGTGATAAGAGAAAAGTGAAGACCTATATGGAAAGCATCAGCCCGTCTTTCTCATACAACACCGGAGTGGAATTCAATGCTGTTAAATTCTACGGCATGAAAGCTCGACATGCTGAAGTTATGACCGGTATCTGTCCTAACGAGCACTCTCAGACTTACCAAACGGGTTCACCCAGAAACTCGTAGGATCAACCGGATCTATAGTATGCGGAGTTAGCAGGTTGTTCTCTGAATCACAAATGTGATCATAGAAGCAGGTTATTACCTCTCATAGTGATATGACCCGCGACTCCATCCGAGAAGCCACAGTTGGCAAAGACTCTATACGCCAAAGCCAGTCTATGCTTCAGGAATTTTTGCTCTTCGTACTTGTCCTCAAATTTGGGTGGAAGCGCCTCTACATCCCGAACGAATGCAAGTGAGGGATCTCCAGATCGGTGTTCCTGCTTCTCCTGCTTCTTCGTAACTCCCAGTTCGGCAACAGATGTCTCGACAGCTGAAGGAGCCATAATGGGCGATGTACAAACAGGACCAATCCCTCTTAGCTAGTGGCTTTCTCCTGACAGGTCTTCTGAGCGTTTTGGTTCCGTCAACGATGCAGTGTTGCTACTTGACTGTGTTCTAGCAATGAATCAGTGTGTGTGTTGTTGCGAAGAGACGGCCAAGGGCTGGCTCGGTACTGTACTCTGCAGTAGGCGCGTATCTACTAGACTGACTAGTTGTGTCGACTGCCAGCGATGAGGGGCAAAAAACAGGGTGGGGAGGTCGAGATAAACTAACGGACCACTAGCATGTTATTGCGGTCCTCCCAAATGCCTCCTCAACTCCATCGAGAGCGCTCTTCTCCGACGGCGGGTCTCCGGCCGCTGGCCGTTGTCGGTCATCGAGACATTCAACTCCAAAATGCCCGGAGCAGAGTAGACTGAAGACCGGAGCATGCAAAGAGCTATACGGCCGAGTTTCACCGGCAGAGCGGCATCATTAGGAACAATAGGACCATTTTGGTCTTGCAGTCCGACATTCAAGGGCAAAACTTGGCACCAAGCCAAGCAGCAAAGATTCAAGATGGGGAGCACTGCTGGAGCGACAAGCTTCGCCTCTCCTACCCACTTCAAAATAGTCGCCCTCGAAACTTTCTTCACCGAGTTGCCCGAACTCTCTGTTCCTGCCCCTCACACATTCAGCCTTGTTGAATACAACAGAACCAAAATCGACGAGATACCTTCCCGGATTAAAGATGCAGACATACTCATAATCACTACCATCCCTCTGCGGGCAGAGGTGCTCTCCAAAGAGGTTTCTCCCAACCTAAAACTCGTCGCGGCTGTAGCTTCGGGTACCGACTCGATTGACTTAGGCGCTTGTACATCAAGAGGCATTAGAGTACTGAGCAGCCCTAACTGCAATGTTGACGCTGTAGCCGAACACGCAGTTGCGCTGTACTTTGCTACCCGTCGTACCATCGTGCCAACAATGCGCGACCTACGAGCCGGCGAATGGCCCCTCCGTGGCACGCTCATGAAGAGTGCTTATGCCGCTGGTCAGCCGCCAAGAGGTTGTACAGAGGAAATTGTAACTGTCGTTGGTCATGGAGGCGTTGGAAAGAAAGTTTCGAAGATGCTTGGTGCATTGGGAATGAAGGTGATAATTGCGGCAAGGAAAGGGGCTCCGGCGACAGAAGGAAGAGTACCCTTCGAAGAAGCTTTAGCTATGGCGAGCGTTGTTGTTTTGTGCTGCCCGCGATCGCCGGAAACATTAAATCTTCTCGCCGGACCAGAATTCGAAAAGATGCGAAAGGATGCTGTGCTGGTCAACGTAGCACGGGGTGGCATTGTTGACGAGCAGGCACTATTGACAGCTTTGAAAGAAGGGCAAATCGCAGGCGCAGCTGTTGACGTATTTGGCACTGAGCCAGCTGGGCCTGAAACAAGCCCATTGCTGGGAGAAGAGGCTGAGGGGCTTAATCTTGTGGTAACACCGCATACAGCTTGGATTGGAGGGATGACAACAGCCAACTATCAACGGGTTTTGCAGGAAAATATCGATGGGTTCATTCTTGGCCAAGTGCCGCAAGATAGAATTAAAGCGTAAAACAAAGCAGTGGTCTGGTATGGAGAACACTTTGCATTCCATGCATATATGGATTGAAGCCGGCCAGCGCCTATAGGACAGCGTATAATTCTAAATGCTATATTATTGCTTATACTTGTCGTCTATAACTTGCCGCTCTGGAAAGCCGCAACTGGGTTTAGCACAGCCTCCTGAATTGCCATCTCTAAGGTGTCCATTTTAGTTTTCCCTATAGCTTCGTTGTCTGTCTTGTCGTAAAGTGTGCCGCCTTCCGTCCATATCCTACGCAGGGTATAAATACTTGCCAGTGGATTTTCTTTCTCCCAAGCTTCTGTCTCATAACGTTTTAGATCTTCAAGTGAAGTGAAGTTCACTTTCCACTTGCTATCTGTCTGTCTCTCAAACTCCGCCAGTATTTCATCAGGTGTAGTCGTAAACGAGTTTACTTTGACTGCTTTGCGATCACAGACTTCTGGGTGTTTGAGCACAGCGACCAATAGTCTACCCACATCTGCCATTGTGGTCAGACTAACAGGTCCTTGACCATTTCCTAACAAGGTTGCCTCTCTTTTTAAAACGTCAAAACTTCCCAATTGCGGTTCGTTCGCCATATTACCAAGATACAAGTCGGCGAATGGTCCCGTAACAATATATGAGTATGCCAACCGCTGGACAGCTTTTGATTCCATGAACGTTCTGACTTTGAGCTTCTTCTGATGAGGCTTTTCATTGGCGGAGGATGCGTTATACGCAATATCCGTACCGTACTCCGAGGGAATGAACCGGATGATACTAGGAGACCGTTCCGCAAGGGCAATCAAATCAACCTGCTTGTCTATAGCCCATCTTCCCAGAGCTGATACGACGGTATCGAAGTCTGGAGTCATTAGCATGTGAAAATTGTACTTGTCCATAAGAAAAATACCTCTGTATGCTTTCAACACGTCGTCTTCATTATATAAGTCACCGGTAATGATCTCTGCACCACGAGACGTATATGATTCAAGCAACTCCTTCTTTGTCGCTACTGTCTCGGCTGAGGTGAAGATACCAAGGCGCTCAAAGTTGTCCTTTGCGTTGATCAGCGCATTTGTAAGGACTTTTCCAATGACACCCGTGGCACCAAGAACCAGGATCTTCTTACTCCGTGTGACTGCCATATTAGATCACCCTGGACTTGCCAGCTTAACACGAAGTGCCCCTATTCGTCCGTCCGAAACAACCCTTCGTCGCCTGCCGTACTTACAATCGTATGATGTGGCAAACACTCTGGCATTAGATCGACTCGTACGACTTCTATAGGCTGTCTCCGAGATCCCGGGTCGTAAGATCGCCGACGATGTGTAAAGCAGTCGCAGTCTGGTTCTTCCGGACATCAGCGCCAACGGGTGGGAGGCGCGGTTGTGTGGGGTGTAGGTGGATGCGCTAAAGTCCGCGCCAGTGGCCTGGGATTCTGGCCCCTCACCATCGGTCCGGTGCATCTTTGTATGTATATGAAAGCCACGCTCACTTTTCCGCGATAGCGATAACTTCTCTTCATCAATCATAAGAATTTACAGTCTCTTGTCGTCTCTTTAATTCCCATCTCTCACATAATTTATATCACAGACGTCTAATATACAAACATGGGCAAGATCGTTGCTGCTGTGGGCTTGTCCCACGCCCCAGGTATGAGATTCTGACCCTGGAGCACTGGAATGCAACCTTGAGACTTCTTCATACTGATAATCGTCACAGGAGCCATTGGTTTCCCGGAGACAGCCAAGCCAGACGCCAGAGAGCGCACAGAGAAGGCGACTTTGGAGTTGGGAAAGACTCTTACAGAAGCGAAGCCAGATGTCATCTTTGCCTTCCTCGACGATCACTTTGAGAACTTCTACCGTAACCACATGCCCACTATTGCCGTGTCGATAGCCGATCACCACGTCGGTCCCGCCGACCAGTGGATGGAGCCGCTACACATCAAGGAGAAGACCTACTTCCCCGGCAACCCTCAGGTTGCTGAGCACCTTATCAAGTCCCTCGTCGAGCAGGGGTTCGATGTTTCCCGAACTGGATCCATCGAGTACGGCAACAACCTGCTCATGCCTTGGGTGCTTATGAAGGCAGACCTTCCCAACGTCTCTATTGTTCCTATCTTCCTCAACGTCTTCACACCGCCGTTGATGAAGTACAGCCGAGCCTACGCGCTAGGTGAGGCATGCCGCGTTGCCGCTGAGAGCTTGCCCGGTGACACCCGTGTGGCTTTCATGTGCACCGGCGGTCTCTCCCACTGGCCTCCTTACTGGAACCCTTACCAGGCTGGAGACCCGCCTGAGGATGACTTCCTCAAGCTGATGAAGGAGTATCAGACCGTCGGCAAGGAGGTTCTCAAGCGTGTGCCTGATCTGTTCGTCCAGTTCGATGAGTACGAGATCATCATGGCGGAGAAGAACGAGTATCCCCTCAACAGCAAGCATCCACTTGTCAACGCTGAGTGGGATCAGAAGTTCATGGATCACTTCTGCGGCGGCGACAGCAAGTGGCTCAAGGAGCTCACCTATGAGGAGGTTGAGGAGGAGGCAGGACACGGAGGTCACGAGGTTCTGAACTGGGTCGCCCTCAGCGGTGCCATGGGCGGCAGCAAAGCCGACCTTGTTCTATACGAACCTGTAATTGAGTGGATCTGCGGAATGACTTACGTCCAGTTCCCTGTCCCGGCATGAAGAATGATCACTGAGGGGCTTCGTCAGACAGGACTTCCTAGTCCAAGTACAGAAAATCTGCTGACGAAATCAGTGGCGTTCAACAAATGGTCTAAGAGCGTTTTTCTTTGTATATAGTGGTTTATGGACAGGATACTTTAGGACGTCCGCAGAGACGATTGTGGTGTTTTCATTCAGGGGTAAATGAATATCACCAAGAGGTCTACCAAACGGCCTTTGACCATGATTATGTCAGCCACGTAACATGTGTGATGAGGTGTGCAATAGACCAGATTAGTCTCTAATGAATATATAATCCATCTGCTCGCAAGCGCATAGTATCGCTTTACACTTGGCATATCGTTCTCTGAGAGCCAGTCTTCGCAGGGCTTCGCTGCGGCAATCGGCGCTATAGCTTGCACCCTACGCGTGTTTCAGGCCTGTCAGCCAGGCTAAAAGTCGGCCGCCCGCTAACGAAACCAGCATTACTCGAGTAGTCTGCCAGCCAGGCCAACCCACTCGAGGTCCTGGAGCTAGCACCCAGAGGCCCGCTAAAGGAGGGGAAGATGGTGCCCGGCGGGATTCTGAGTCCCTCGGGAGATAAATCACCATCGCTCATCTCCGTCAACCTCAAGAGCTCGGCATCACCAACTCCCGGTCACTTGGGTGACGCTCCACGAGACGAACTGGATACGTTACGAGACAACGATGGTGACGGGGCGATGTCGTCGCCGGCCGCAACGGTTGAGACTCGCAACACCATACAGCAACTGTTGCCAACCTGCCAGCGATGCAGGCGGCTCAGGCGCAAATGTGACACTCAACTACCAAGCTGCCGACTCTGCGATAAGGCCGGGGCGCCTTGCACCTTCTATGATCATGCCTTGAAGCAGACGTTGCCAAGAGCGTGAGTAATTTTCTTTTATTGTCATTGCTTGGCAGTCTCATTGTCACACTTTCTGGCTGTTGACTTACACGTGGGTCACGTAGATATGTCCAATCTCTCTTGACCCGAGTTGAGCATCTTGAAGCCGTGAAGAATGGTATCTCGAGCTCTCCATTCGAAAGCACTACCGCGACCATACCGCCATCTTTGGACCAGCCTCCGGCTGTGCTTGATACGCCGTTAGACCCAGAGTTGACATCCTCTTTATCGCCATCATTTGATGTTGTCATACCATCGACATCAAGCGCGGGGAGATCGCGGTATTGGGGCTCATCCTCAGTATTCGCGCTGACTGTGGAGATCTTGCATCATGCTGTCACTCGAGGCCTCATTTCGGCGGAGGACTCTATCGAAGCCGCCGATGTCGAGGAAGATCATGTCGAGATTCCATCTCCGTACGCGCAGACAGCCGCCCCAGACTCAGACATTCAGTCTCTGGTGCATCTGTATTTGATATCATTGAACACCATGTACGGTTTCGTGGACCAAGCCGAAACAAGTGCAGATCTTCAGACATATCTGGCTCTTCGACAGCAGCCGACATTCTCTCCTCATGCGCTTCACGGCGAACAGGCCCACCAATACTTTCGCATTACAATGATGTGCGCCATCTCATGCGCCAACCAAGCCAGATACAAGCCACAGCGTGCTGCAGAATGCTTAGCCTACTATAATGGTGCCGTGGCTTGTGTTGAAGAGGTGACATCAGAGGCCTCACCAGCTTCATTACAAGCTCTGCTACTTCTCATCGTATTCTGTCTCTTTCACCCCCGAAAGGGTGACATCTGGAAGCTTCTTGACTATGCCTGCCGTCTCACTATCGAGCTGGGCTATCATACAGAAGCTGAGCATGATCAAACGGTCGGCGCAGAGACCGAGACTGAGACACAAAGCAAGCTCCGCCGATCTACCTTCTGGGGCCTCTACGCCATAGAGCGCATTGTTGGTCAGCTCTTTGGTCGCGGCAGTGATCTACCAGAGTCTATAATAACAACTGAATACCCGAGCTCACTTCACATCGCATCTGGAATAAGTCCCGTTGCCGGGTCTGGTGTTGATCACCCTACATTGCAGACGATGAGTATCGCTCATCATTATCGGCTTGTATATCTTCGCTCTGAGATCTATCATTCAATGTACCTTCCCGCATCTCCTCCTGACCTTGGACTAGATTGGTTGAAGGAGAAATACACAACTCTATACGCTTGGCGACGGGAACTAGCGGTAACGGATGATTTGGCAGGCGTTGCTACGTTGACATGTGACGTTGGATACGATGCAACTATGTGTTTCCTGTTTCAAGCACTCCTTCTCAAAGCCCTAAGAGCCACAGCAGTTCCGGCAGCTACCGAGGGTGAGAGCGAGAGCGATCCTCAGCTCAAGCCTACAGAGGAGCGCATTCTCGTCGCGTCTGATCCATTCTACTCCGCCGTCAATCTAATCCGGACTTACGAGAAGATCATTCGCGCCCCAGAACGGTCAAATCTCGGCATATATCCCATGACTTTCATGAGTGCGCACTATATATACCTGGCGTCAAGCACTTTACTCGCATATGCACTTTTACGACTGGATGGAAGGGTGAAGTATCTCAAACGGATGTCTAATAGTGAAACAGTATCCGAAGATGAGACAGAGGAGTTAGACTGGGGTGTGTTTGTCGATGTGTCGACTTCATGCTTGATCTTGTTGGCGTGGTGCGGCGAGCGGTGGCCGGGGATGCTGGGGATGCTTGGAGTTTATCAACGACTTTACTCAAGGAGTATCAGGGAAATGATTGTGAAAGGTCTGGTCCGTTAGGAGCCCTAGGAGAATGCTTCACGAAATGGTATTGATTCATGTCCCAATTTTAGCAGCGTTTGCTTCTGGGGTTTCAGCTAGCTATTTGTGAAATGATGACTTGGTGGTCAATACGAACAGCGAGAGCTATTATGAGCAATCAATGCTCTTGCCTTTATAACTCATAAGATCAGAGTTCCAGGTTTATGACCAATGAACCACAGCGAAAAATTCAAGTTTCAAAGCCAGCTATACTTTTCCCGTGATTGAAGTCGGACCACGCCTATCACATCCATAGATCTTGTCGCCGAACAAGGCAAGACCTACAATCGTGCTGATGTTCATTGACTAGCAATGATTGGACATGACATTCTGAAGAACCGAATGAGACGAGATACAGTTATTTGATTGGCTGTCATCGCCGTTCATGTCCGCGTCTGCGTCGGAGTTGACCGCGGTTTGGTGAAGAGAGTCTGGGGTCCAGATCTCGGCGAGATCCCGACCGCACTCCGAGCCTCGTAGAAGGCGGAAATAGATGTGCACAACACTTGTGAAGGGTGCATATTGTCAGTGAATATGGGTCGCGCTTGTTCAACGGAGCCGGTGTCGCTTGCGCACATCCCCTTGCACTGTCACTCAAGGGTCTCTCTAGTCAGGGCGGTCAGCGGTGAGAAGTGTTCGGATGCACTTGCCATAAACAGGCTGGAGCTCTCTAAAGCTCTCAAAATAACATCTGCTCTCAATTTGCGTTCGTCCATATTCAAGCCATTTTCCTAAGGCGCTGATAGGACTCGATTTCGCCAAGCTCGTGTATTGCTCCTCAAAATGTCGGCTGTCAGAGCGCCCCGAACGGCCATGGCCATGCGAACAGCCACTAGAGCATTCACGAAGAGAGTTCAATACCGGACGATATGGGCTTCGGCTACTCTACGAGCAGCTTCTGCTGCGTTTCCCGGTGAGCCGTCTGGGCCGGCCGTGAAGACGGAAATACCGGGACCCGTGTCAAAGAAGCACATTGAGCAATTGAACGATGTATTCGATACCCGTAACCTCAATATGCTAGTAGACTACCCAAGTAGTCTAGGCAATTACATCGCTGATCCAGATGGCAATGTTTTACTTGATGTGTAGGTCCTCAACCGCTTTGTATGGGGTAAGAAACTGACATAGTTGGCAGATTTGCTCAAATAGCTTCAATTCCTCTCGGTTACAACAATCCCGCTCTGGCCGAAATAGCAAAGTCTCCTGAAATGGTGAATGCTATTATCAACCGCCCAGCTCTGGGTAACTTTCCTCCAAAAGACTGGGCCGAGACTCTACGCGCAGGCCTTCTCAGAGCCGCGCCAAAAGGCCTAGATCAGGTGTTTACTGCGATGAGCGGCTCCGATGCCAACGAAACTGCATACAAGGCAGCTTTTATGTGGCGCCGCCAGCAGGAGCGTGGTGGTTACAATGTGGACTTTACTGAGGAGGAGATCCAGTCTGTCATGAACAATCAAGCTCCAGGAGCCTCACAATTGTCCATTCTCTCCTTCAAGTCAGGATTCCACGGTCGTCTATTCGGATCTTTGTCTACTACACGCTCAAAGCCCATTCACAAACTTGATATTCCTGCTTTCGATTGGCCTCAAGCAACGTTCCCTCAATTGAAATACCCTCTTGAGGAGCATGCAGCCGAAAATGCAGCAGCAGAGAAGGCTGCACTGGAAGAAGTCGAGCACCTAATCCTCAACTACCATGTACCGCCCGCAGCCGTTGTGGTTGAGCCCATCCAATCAGAAGGTGGCGACAATCATGCTTCGCCGGCCTTCTTCCGTGGCCTCCGTGAGATCACCAAGAAGCACAATGTACTTCTTATCGTTGACGAGGTACAAACTGGTGTCGGCGCTACAGGTGAATTCTGGGCGCACAGCCACTGGAAGCTCGATTCTCCGCCTGATATTGTCACTTTCAGCAAGAAGGCTCAAGCAGCTGGCTTCTACTATACAAACCCAGAGCTACGCCCCAACAAGCCTTATCGTCAATTCAATACCTGGATGGGGGACCCGGTTCGTGCCATTCTCTTCAAGGGCATCATTGGCGAGATTGAGCGTCTGAACTTGGTTGAGAGCACTGCTCGTGTTGGAAACTATCTGTTCTCCGAATTAGAGAAGTTGGCGGCCAAATACCCTGGTCAATTCGACAATCTTCGTGGTAAAGGCCAGGGCACATTCATTGCCTTCGATACTCCGAAGCGTGATGCACTGCTCAAGCAGGCTAAGAGTTTGGGTGTCAATATTGGCGGCTCAGGAGAGCGCACTGTTCGGTTGCGTCCTATGTTGATCTTCCAAGAGCATCATGCAGATATCCTACTCGAAGTATTGGAGAAGATTGCTTCAGCATAGATAGAGTGTTCTGCTATATAATCAGAAGCGAAGAATTGATATCCTTGTGGAGATAATTGCGTTCATCAGGTCGTTAGCACTCTGAAAAGTGGATAGAGTTGTCATCAATCTTAGAGATAGAGAGGCTCTGAAATGAATTGAATTCTACAATCAAATTGGATGTTCAGGAGTTACTTCACTTCGTCGTGGTATGCTTGACTATAACTAGAGAATCATTGTATTCAGTGCACGATAAGCAAACTGTCTTATCTTGGTATAAACAAGAAACCCCACCATTGCCTGAGATGGATGTTTCACCGCCCAGGCAGAAATGACTCACCGCCCTGTCCTGTCGCCAAAAGCGTCTTAGCCAAACTCTAGTTCGTACCCCACCAAGGGATCGTGAACGCGGTGGTCTCGCGTGCTAAAATTTTCTGACAGAAAAAGATACGACCAACGATCTTCCTCCCCTCCGTCCCTCCTTCCTTGTTACCTTTCTCATTCTCTGATCAAGACCTCCAAGATGAAGTACGTTCTAGTGTCCGGAGGTAAGTCTATCAGAGCCACCCATGTTTGATTGGACAGAATTGTGCTGACTGGCGATGCAAAGGTGTTATCAGCGGGGTGGGGAAGGGCATCATCGGTATGGCGAGGTCATTAAACAAAGTCGCGTCTCGTGTCTGCTAACGAGACGTGTAAATAGCCTCCTCAGCTGGGCTGCTGCTCAAGACGATGGGACTCAAAGTCACGGTAAGGAGAGATTGACTTTTCCGAATTGTGAACCACATGCTCATGAATTGTAACTTCAGGCCATCAAGATTGATCCATATATCAATGTTGATGCGGGAACAATGAACCCCAAGGAGTACGCTCCCGCATCCCCTGCCTGCGTAGATTCTCTGCTAATTGTATTCATTCAAGGCATGGAGAGTGCTTTGTTCTATCGTGCGTGTCTTACTTCTCTCTACACCTGTAATCACCGCTAACATCCATCAGTGATGGCGGAGAAGTCGATCTTGATCTCGGCAATTACGAGAGGTATGTCCAAGTAGAAAACGCAAATTTGCATCATGCTCTGACCATGTACAAAGATACCTGGCTCTCGACCTGACCAGAGACCACAACATCACAACTGGCAAGATATACAAGCATGTAATCGAGAAGGAGCGAAGAGGTGACTATCTGGGCAAAACCGTCCAGGTTGTCCCTCACGTAACCGATGCTATCCAGGAGATCATCGATCGAGTGTCAAAAATTCCCGTCGATAACTCAGGAGAAGAGCCTGATGTCTGCATTGGTATGTTCACGATCTTGCACCCCTACTGAGTACAAATTATAAGCTAATCATGTATCTATAAAGTCGAACTGGTGCGTTCAACTGCTACAATCTATTTAGCCTATTCATTTTTTCTCATTTTATTTCCACTTGCGCCTTACAATATACTGACGTTAGCTTTCTCAGGGTGGCACTGTTGGTGATATCGAAAGCATGCCTTTCGTTGAGGCTTTGACCCAGCTTCAGCACAAGGCTGGCAAGAGCAACTTCATCAATATTCATGTGTCCTATATCCCGCTCGTAAATGGCGAGCAAAAGACAAAGCCGACTCAACACGCTGTCAAAAGTGTTCGCAGTGCCGGCATCATCCCAAACCTGGTCAGTGCTTGAAATCTTTGGACATATATATCAACCCCCCATGTTTTCTTGTCTAATAATATAGACAGATTGCCTGTCGTTGCGAGGTTCCTCTTGATGAGTCCACCATTCGAAAGATTGCAGTGAGCTGCCAAATCGAGATTGAGCAAGTCATTGCGGTAAGAGATATGCCCACAGTCTACCAAGTCCCGCTTCTGCTCGAAGAGCAAGGCATGCGGAAACTCTTAGAAAGCACACTACAGCTAGACAAGATCATCCCCTCTCCTATCCGAGTCCAAAAAGGAGGGGAGATCTGGAAGACTTGGAACAAGACTGTCGTCCCAAAGACTCATCTAGAGTCGGTCAACATTGCCCTGGTTGGCAAATATGTCGATCTCCACGATGCTTACCTCTCTGTTGTCAAGTCACTGGAGCACTCGGCTATGCGTTGCAACCGCAAGCTGAACCTAATCTGGGTCGATTCCGAGAATCTGGAGGAGAAGACGAAGATCAGCGACCCCACAAGCTACCACAAGGCTTGGCATGAGGTGTGCACCGCCTCCGGCATTCTGGTCCCCGGTGGATTTGGCTCGCGAGGCACCGAAGGCATGATGCAAGCGGCAAGGTGGGCTCGTGAGCGCAAGACCCCTTACCTTGGTATCTGTCTGGGATATCAAGTTGCTGTCATCGAGTACGCTCGCAGCGTTTGCGGTCTTACCAACGCCACTTCGGAGGAATTTGATGCGCAGGCTGAGCACCGAGTCATCATCTTCATGCCTGAGGGTTCCAAGGACACGATGGGCGGTACCATGCGACTGGGTCTGCGATCAACCCACTTCCAGCCCGGCAGCGAGTACAGCAAGCTGCGGGCTCTGTACGGTGAAGTGCCCATGATTCAGGAACGTCATCGTCACCGATACGAGACCAACCCGGATTACGTGGAAACGTTCGAGAAGGCGGGTCTCACCTTCATCGGAAAGGACGACTCTGGAGATCGTATGGAGATCTTCGAGCTGAAGGACCACCCATGGTTTGTTGGCGTGCAGTATCATCCAGAGTATCTGAGCCGAGTGCTCGACCCCTCCCGACCGTATCTGGGCTTCGTCGCCGCCAGCTCGGGCTGTCTCGAGGAAGTCACAAAGGAGCTTCTCCAGGAGAAGACCAACTTCGTCAACGGAGTGGTTGCCGGCACCCATTTCTAAGCAGACAGGAGAGACAGAGTTTGAGAAAAGCATATGGACGGCGATCAGGGATGATGGATACGTGAAATTGAACAATCGGCATCATAACAACATCAGACGTTTTCTCTTTGGCGTTTCTGGAACATATAGATATAGCACAGTCTAGAATAACGAGCACTCTAGACTCAATAGGCGCAGTAAATGGTCATCAGTGCGCAAGCACACTCTTGGGTAAATCTGCCGAGCACAGGGCATGGGGAGACTCTCTCGGTTTGGATGCTTGCTTCTGGATTCAAGGGGCGCGCACTCATCAAAGGCGCCGGTATTATATAGTTATTTGACCACGAAATGAATACTCAACAATCTTCACATGCTATCCCAATCAGTGCATTATTTTTTGAGTATTATTAAGTCTATGTTACTACCTTTACTTTCGGTTACAATCAGACATACCCCATGTCACTACCAGTATTGATTTATTTTTCTCTACAATTTCCAACCTCCCAACTCCGAGCTTTTTCGACGGCTAACGATGATGATGCAATTTATCGCTTGTTGAAGTTCAAGAATCGGCTCTGTCAAATGCATTAGTTGAGTTCTCAGAGGATTGCAAACTGGGACCTGGATCTTACTGCTAAGAACAGAATGATGATGTTGCTGCCGACAAAGGAAAGGAAGATGCCCAAGTCACGCCACCTGTTGTCGAAAGTCAAGCCGAGCGGCTCGTAGAACTCATCTCCCACGCTGTAAGCGCAGTACTGGCAGTCGCTCGTGGTGTTATCAACGATGTAACCGGGGCCGCCGCGGGCGAAGAAGTTCTCCATATACTCGCCGCAGGTCTGGCCAGATGGTGCAGTGAAAGAGTTCAGCTCGGCCGGCTTGCAAACGACAGCGAGCTTGTGCAGTGCTGTCGTCACCATGCCGCCGATGAGACGCGTAAAGGGGTCGAGCTGATACAGCCATGCGCGCCAGAAACCGGGCATCTGCGGTGCGGGGATAGTGACACCGCAGAAGAGAGCGAAGGTTATGATGACGAAAGGGTCAAGCTGGGAAGAGATGAAGGCAGATGGAGTGATGGCAGCCAGAACCTGGCCAAGAGTAACGGAGAACAGCTCAGTGATGAGCACCATGAAGAATTGGTAGCCGGCACGGCTGCTTTCTTTCTGAAGCCCAGGCACGTAGTAGACCGGCAGGAAGAAAGCAACAGCGCACATGATCGAATAAGGCATCTCAGAGATAACCATAGAGGTAGCGAAGGTGAAAGGGCTGTACATCTTGCTCGACTGCTCGCGGAAGAAGATAGATCGCTTGATGTGATACATGACCTCGACTTGACTGATGATCAATGCAGGCAGAACGGTGACTTGGAAGGTCACGAACACCTTGTACTGCAGCGAAGAACGGGAGTCATCAAGGTTCAAGAAGGTAAATCCGGTGAGCAAGGCGATGGCGATGTGATTGAACAGACGAGTGAAGAGGTAGTTCGGCGAGCGCCAGAAAGAAAGGTTGGTGCGGTGAAGAACGACCTTGATCTGGTGGAGCAACGGGGAGGCATACTCTTTCTGGAGATCAAGATTGACCTGCTCGCCAGCGGCTTTGCGGGACTCCTTCATCTGAGAAATAGTATCCTTGACATTGGCAAGCTCAGAGCTGTCAGCCCAGATATCAGCCCAGTCCTTGTTGCCAATGCGCGGGGAACTGCCAGCTCCGATTGCCTCGAGCATGAATTCGGCGACGTTGTCGGTCTCTCCTGCAACAGCTCCGTGTCTGCGAAGATACTCTCGAAGCACGCTTGCATCCTTTCCGATGTCTCCGAAGTACACACATCTACCGCCGGATTTGAGAAGTAGCAGGCGGTCAAAGTTCTCGAACAAGGCAGCGTTGGGTTGATGAATGGTGCAGAGAATGGCTTGGCCAGCTCTGGCGAGCTTTTGCAGAAAACGAACGATATTATAGGCACTTTGGCTGTCAAGGCCAGAAGTTGGCTCATCCAAGAAGAGCAGGAGCTGAGGCTTGGCAGCAAGCTCAACACCAATAGTTACACGCTTCCGCTGTTCAACAGTGAGACCCGCCTCGGGGAAGCCAATAATGGCATCTGCGATGTGCTCCATCTCCAACAGAGCAATAACCTCTTCGACATACTTGTACTTCTCCTCTTGAGGAGTCTCCATGGGCTGTCTCAGATCGGCAGAGAAGCGGAGAGCCTCACGGACAGTTTGAGAGGGATCGTGCACATCCAGTTGCTCGGCATAAGATGTGCTGCGTTGAAACTCCTTACCAGGCTTAATGCCATCGACAAGAACGTCACCGGAGATGACACCAATATTCTTACGGCCAGCAAGAACGTCCAAAAGCGTGGTCTTACCAGCTCCGGATGCCCCCATTAGGGCTGTGAGTTGACCAGGCTTGACATAGCCGAAGACGTTGTTTAGGAGACGTCGAGTGCCAGCCGGTGTAGGGACATCGTAATTGAGACCTTCCCATGTCAGGATGCTTTCCGATTCAATCTTCATCTCTGAGGTCTCGTCTTCCTGCTTGGACGAGCGCTTCTCCTCGCGCTTGCGCTGGAGTGCTTCATTCAAAGCTTTGCGTTCCGCATTCGGCTTCTGGAAGATCTTGAACGTGTTGCCGCCCATGCCAAACTTGATGATCTCGCCAAAGGCAACATTCAGGAACAGGAAGAAGACAATGAGAGCCATGATGATACCCCAGTTTCTCCAGAGATCACTAGGACTATACGAGAAACCCTGGGTGATATAATCTGACCCAGAGATCTGAAGCGTGCCTGGCTTTGATCCAGCAAGAGTACACACTTGGTGGTTGATGTCATCATATCCATCGCCAGATGGGATGAGAGAATCAGACGTGCAAGTCATGTCAATCCTACTGAACTCATTCTCCATCATGGAACTGAAGGCTAAACCCAGAACATTGATCCAGTAGATCCAGCGCAGCCAGACCTGCTCAGATTGGTACTGGATCAGATAACCTGATGTGGTGATGAAGAATGTAATAGTGACGACCGCGAACTTGACAGCGTAATCGAAATCCGGACTAACGCAGCCAATAATTCGGAAGAATAGAGTCATGGCGACGTTACCGGACAAAATCATAAGGTAAAAGGTGAAGAAGGCTCCAGCACTTCTCTCCAGATTCGTCATGAAGTAGACGATAATAGAGAAGAGAAGGATTTGAGATGCAGCGAAAGCTTGATCAACGATGATCTGTGCAATCCAAAGAGCTGAGGGTCTGTGGAAAGCATATGCTTTGTGTTTATTGACAATGGAACGACCTGTCATCGTTGATGCCAGCTCGGAAAAGGCTTGGAAGGCATTGAAAAGGAGAGAGATGAAAAGAAGACCACCTTTACTGAACGCACTGGCAGACGTTTTACCGAGATCCAGGTAGAGAGTTCCAAGGACGATAGCAATAACGATACTTCGGAGCCAAGAGAGGAAGAGAGCGAGACGGTCTTGCATTTTCAGCACGAATTGTCTCTTCATCAAGGCCCAGACTTGGCGAGGGAAGCCAACCGCATAGACGGAGCGCTTTGCACCAGAGCGTTTGGCTTCCTTGACAGCAACCTTGAAATCCTCATGTTTGGAGGTTTCTTGCGTCAGGCTTGCCTTGTACGAAGTCATCTCTTCCGACAGTTGTGTTGAGAAGCGAGATTTCTTGAACGCCTCACCAAGTGTCTCCGCATCGTGAGGAGCGTTCTCGGGTGAGTAGCCCTGGGCGTACTCGCGCTCGAATTCATCAGTACAGCCCGTCACATAATCTGGAGTTGTCTGACGGGGACGAGGGGCAAAGCCCAGACCTTCGAAATATCCTCGCGCCTCAGCTGTAGGACCAAAGAAAACCTGTTTGCCAGAGTCGATCACCAGCACTTTATCGAACTGTTTGTAGATGTTCTCAGAGGCTTGATAGAGAGAAACGAAGGTGCTGGTCTTGTAAAGGTCGGTCTGAACACGGAGAGACTTCACAAAGTCCAGGGCAGTAGAAGCGTCGAGACCCCGCGTCGAATTATCCCACGATAGAATGCACGCGTTGGTGATAAGCATCTCTGCAATCGAAACTCGCTTTCGTTCTCCTCCAGAAACACCCCGGACGAAGGGACCACCCACAACGGTATTACGTGTGTGTTCGATATTGAACATCTTGAGCAATGTGGTGATAACGCCCTCCTTAAACTGAGACTTCGAAAGTCCGGCAGGAAGTTTCTTGGGTGTCTTGGTATCCAGCGCGAATGCGAGCGTTTGTTCAACGGTTAGAGTGGCGTGATGGAGATCGTCCTCGGCATTGTAAACGGCTTCGCCTCGATATTGGTCGAACTCTTGAGCTGTAAATGGGCCATAGAGAACCTCGCCCGTCACGCCTGTGTAGCCATATCGTTGGTTCGCAATCGACTTTAGGAAGGTCGTGCAGCCCGATCCAGGTCGTCCAAGAACCAGAATCATCTCACCAGGCTTGCACACTCCACGGAAGTTGTCCAGTAGCGTTGCCTCAACACCCTTCTTGCCCAGTCCAAGGAGCCCCATCACCGGTGTGACCACGTCGAAAAAGTCTTTGAATGCATCGGGGAATGTTTTGACGTAGTTCGTGAACCCTCCCATGCCCTTCACCGTGAAATCGTTCCAATAAACACCAATATGCTTCGGTCGAATACCGGCCTCCTGCTCGGCAGCCAAACCACCACGCAGTGCTGTCTCTAGATCGAATTGCTCGTCTTCCGAGGGCGATTCGGTAACGGCACCGTTGCCTTTTTCTTCGTCGGCGTGCGTCTCTTTTCTTCTGCTGCTCACACGGCTCGCCCTAGACATGCCCGACAATTCCCTCTGCAGCTCCGCAAAATCGGCCACGGCCTGCTCCACGGAGACGCCAGTATGAACTCTCGACAAGCCATTGGGATTATTCCTGTGCACCTCCTCTAAATCGTTCTCCGGGTTTCTAGTATCGGACGAAGTCGAAGACCTGGGGGGAGGATCTACGATCTCCTTATCGCTCATAGTTGACCTCTCCGGCTGGAGATTGGCCAGCTCCTGCTTTTCGATATCCTTGTCCATAGTCAGAATGTTCGTGTAAGTCAATTGGCCCTCTGGTTGTGTGTATTATTTTGCGGGGGATCACGTCAGCTGGTAATCTGCGCCGGCTACCCTGAGCGGCGCGGATGCGGCTCCGAAAGGGCCAAATTAACTTATAGCGAAGGATTTACGGTAGAAACTTCGATTACAAGAAAAAAAGGCAACGTGAACAGCGTGTGCCGAAAAGAGAGGGTGGAATGCGTGCAAGACCAAAACACGGTCCTACATGGGGAAGAGAAAATGAGAGCCACGAAGGGGGGCAGGCAGCCTCACTCCCCTATATAACAAACAGACCTACAGAAAAAAATAAAAGATTCTGCCACGAGCCACTACTAGGAGCCCAGCAGCACACACCGACCGGCTCCGGGCCATTCAGGAGGAGGGTCCTGTCTTGGCAGGCATCATCTCCGGGGGATGGGATTACCAATCCAGCGGCCATTTCATAATAATGGGTACTGGTAATGGGGAATGCTTGCCTCCACGACCCGGCTGGGTATGGCTTCTGTTCCGGGCTAGAGAGCAGAAACAGAATCTCGCTAATGCGCCGCAGGTTGAAGACTTCTTTCCCCACCCGCACTAGTCGCCGTCGGAAGGCCGTCCACAGCCTCGATAGCGGATGTTTGAAAGTTGGACCCCGTCAGTGAATAAAAGACCTGTCCGAAGATTAACCGGAGCTTCTCCGTCTGGTTCCCCCTGACAGAACACAATGCTCAAAAGCGATGAGAAGGAAGTGCTCTTGGAGGAGTTTTCAGACAGAGTGTCGTGATGCACTGTTGACCAGGTCGAGGGCGCCCTGAATGTTGAATGGTCAATGGGTAGGAAGAGGGTAGACAGCCTTTCGATGTCTGAGCTGACAGGGTGTGCTCGGGTGTGGATCGCATCACGGATCGCAAAAGCAACCTGATGCTGGTGCATGTCCTGTGCAGGTGCATGCGGCACTTCGAGGACTCGGAGCCCAGAGCGTATCTCGGGCCAAAGAACGTATCACAGTCCATGATCACCGCCGCACGCGGCGGCACGCAAGTACGCGTGAGTCAAACGGCGGGGGTCGACCCGACTTGCAAGTTATTATCATAAAGGGCACGTCCTTTGGAAACCGTCGGGGTAGTCATTATCACACGGTTTGTCACGCCTGCCAATGCCTGCCAAGCATGCTGTCTTGGGATGTGAAGAATGTAGCCCAGGGGCCGGGCGTGCTAGAAGTCGTGCGAGCTGCATGCTCATGCGGTGCGGCTGCAGATGCCCAACATGGCTGTCGCGAATGGCAGTCGGCAGTGGGGTTTCGCAGCGGCGAAGACTCACCCGGTGAGCATGTGGGGTAGGGAGTGAAGGGTGCCACAATGGCCCTGTCAAAACTCCAATTGGACACACAAATTTTGATGTCGTGAAGGCCTCGTGGGACTTCCCAACAACCATCCTAGGGTCGTTTGGGAGGCATCTCTCTGAGTGGTCAGCATTTGGTGTCAACCTGCGCTGTATCGAGGCTCCTCGGCCGGCTCACGGCCGGTTCGTATTGAGTAATCCAGTGGGACTTGGAGGCTGAGTGACCCGGAGTTGCACTGGAGCTATGAGATTAAATCCGTATCATAAACACCAAACAGAAGGAAAAGTGCCGTGTTTTGCCTGGAGGCCCCTTTGAGCCAAGACGAATGCCCCTTGGAGCGGCTCAATTTGCAGTCCGATCAAGACCATTGTTGATAATCAAGATCCACTACACGGGCTGCCCGGCTGTCTCATCCGGGTGAAACAGTCGATCTCCTTGTGTTTCAACATTTGAGAAACGTCAGGTCCCATATCTGCTATTTTCTTGCTGTCCCACTGTGCATCGTAGGTACTCAGTGCACTGCTCGCTGTTTAGAGTACAGCGTGCGTGATAAGATGAGCATGGCAGACAGGGCGCCAAGCTACTGCAGTAGCTGTTGGATTAAAAAAAAATTAGTGACAAGCCTAATGGCGGTCGCCCCGCTCTGCTTGAATCAAAAGCACTTGCTTCTGGCGGTCATCCATGACTCGAAACATCGACTAACGCTATCACTGCTTATCAGATCAGAGAGGATGCTTGTCTGCTCACCGCCTAGATAGCTTACCGTAAGAATCATAGAATCCCTCTCGGGAGAGCTTATACACCGGTCGGCATTCGTGAACAAATGTGATTCATAATGAGACATATGTAAGCGGACGGCTATGGCTACCTTGAAAAGGGATGATAGGCCCGGTAGCAGCGATTGTAGTGATATCGCGACTGGTGTTTAGGTGATTTGGCTTCGTGGAAGGGAGCATTCGGCATAGACATCGATATGGGCGGAATGGCAAGTGATGAGTGATGAGTGATCAAGAGATGTCGTTGTGTTTGCCGCGCCTCAATGGATTTCGGTGACGGTTTAAGAACCCATCGCTCCTTCCTTCCGTTCGGAGTGCGGGCCACAATTAGGACCCCGACAGTGGCGTCCTCGCCCCGACGGCCCCATCAACGGCGATGCATGACTGCTTGAGCACGAATGAGCGACGACAGGCCCTTTTTTGCTCCGTTTAAGAGCTCCATACCTTCGGCGCCGAGCTACTAGAATAGTGCATCTAATGCCCATTGTGAATTGCTCAGAAACATTGTGCTACGGGAAGAGCGTCAAGCAATAAACGCTCACATTTGGGGACGAGGCAAAGCATGCAATGTCTAATCGAAGAGATTACATTTCGATTGAACGAAATTTGTGTATTGGTTCAGAAGGAGTACTTTCGCAGTCTATAATCTGAGCTCTGCCGCCCGTCGATGCCACTACCCCTGACATCCGACCGAGATATTCAACAAATCGTTCGCCCAGCGATGATGGAAGAGAGAACAAGACATGATCTTGGCCCCAATGCTGACCACCCTTGGCAAAGCGCCATACCAGTTCATCACACAGATATCCTCAATTAACGCCGGCCATGCAGGAAGCGTAGAATGGAACTGGCCCCTCCTGTCGTCACCCGTAAGCCCCTTTTCCGTATTCGCACACAACCCTGTTGCCAGGATTGAGAGATATATCATCGTCAGTGAAACGCTCAGTTTCACTGGCGAACAGCGAGAGGCCTTGTCAGAATGAGTATGCTCAGACCGAGTTCCTCTATCTATAGGGAAGATGGACAGCGCCCAGATAGTCTCGCTACAGAGACTGATATAGCGTGCTATAGCTCTGACTCGGCACCATTAGTTTCGAGTGCCATCGGGCTACCATTCTGATGCTGTCTTTGGCGTCCGAGGCGGCTACTTCCAGGAGGGCGACGTCGTACCATGGCTCTACCATTAAGGTTCATACTTTCATCGTCATCGTCGGAATCGGGGTGCTCTGATGCATATATGCGTGCTTCGTCCAGCTCATTTATATCCTCTGGCTTGTCACGCAGCCACTGCATCCGTGGACCAGATCGAGCAATCTCAGATACTCTAAAGCCATAGATCTTAGGCTCGTAAATCTTACCACGTCCCAGCCCCGGCGCAATGTTGCGTGCATGCATGCCATTGACCAACTGGTCCGAGTCTGCAGAGATTCGAGTTCCGCTGGCGGAGTGAGATAGTGAGCCCATAGAGTGACTCGATAAGATATCGGCGCCGTGTTTCGTATAATCGTATTCAGGGAATGTGAGTAGGAAGAGTGCGCCAAATGTGCGGCCGAAGAATGCGCCATCCACGGTCTGGAAGCGACTGTTCGGAGGTACGTAGACATCCAGACAGGAAGGGCAGAAGAGCTTGACAGTATCCTCGCCGGGAATGTCGGACAGGCCTACAGGTAAGGTCCTAGCCAAGTTGCAGTTCGTCCGCGGGCAAACGCCAAAGTGCCCTAGCTCGTACTTCTCCGACATTTGCTGGATACCCGCACGAGAGCAGATGAATCTCTGATGGATGAGGCCATACAGCATCTCGGCTGAAGATTCTATCACAGAAAGATCGCTTGCGATACGGCTATGATGCCTTCGCTCGCCATGTGTCCTCCTATCAAGCCCGCCTTCTGACTCATCTCCCTCATCCTCTTCCTCTTCGTCCTCCTCGTCGTCGTCATCCTCGGGTTCTACATCCAGGATCATCTGTAGAGAAATGTCAGGCAAAGTCTCCTCAACGCACTTACTCCAGGGCCGTCTTACCTCCAAGGCTTCCTTGTACATGGCCACCTGGGTTTGCAGACCAGTTAGATTGAAATCATCTTCGATGAATTCCTCCGAGACCTCAGCGAAATATTCGTGGCCCAGCAGAGAACAGAACGAACTAATCCATGACTCTGGTGTTCCCGAAGACGTAGACATCTCGTCGTGGGTCGCGGCGCTACCCCGCCGGAGAAGGGAGGAGGTGGGTTGAGTATCGAGCTGCAAGTGCAGGGCGCGTTACGTAGGTGGGCGTGGAAGTGGGATGCCTATGTACCCTGCCGAACGCGGTGGTGGAGGTGGAGGTGGAGGTAAGGAGGGGTGTTTATGACACCGGCATGATCAACGCACTGGTTTGCGCACGATCGCGGAGGTGAAGCTGGACGAGCGACAAGGCTGCAGCAATGGCTCGTGTAAAAAAAATTTGTCCCGCCGCCTGGCCGGTGCCTTCTTGTTTATTATCCTGGTTGTGGAATTGCGGCCTCGTTCATTTGGGTGGTTGATGGTGGGATATCCTGAGGTCCGTGCATATAGCCCCGCAATTATGATTTCCCACTCCGATTATCTCCTTTTGATATCACGTGGCTGTCATTTCAGAGGAGCAAACACATGTACAAGAATGCTTCCGTTCACCAGCGATGACATTCCTACGCATCGAAAGCTTGCTCTTTTACGTTGTTTGAAGATCGAAGTGATGTAAAATGACAGCACGACCATAAGATTATGTTGTTGCTGAGGTCAACCTAGGATGCAGATCTCAGGAGGAATCACCCTCCGAACGGCTTACTCCCGAATAGCTCGGCCTTTGTCTAGACAATTACGGTCTCTTTCATCGGTTCCAGTTTCGGAGAGCAGTTTTGATACTCTTGACATACAGCAGTTCCGAGATGTCGCATTTGCTCCAGCCCGTACACTCCTCATGAGAGGTCAAAACTCGCAGGGTTTACCAGCGATCCGGAAATGGTTTCAAATGCAGGATGATATCTCATATCTTCATTCCGAAGAATTTTGTTTCACGGACTACTTGGAGAGCTTTAAAGGAATGTGCTTTCCGTATGAACTTATATACCCTCAATGGAGCAAAGATTTGGCCTGCGAAAGCGTATCCCACTTCAGTTCATGGCTCTCTAAATCCGAAGACGAGGAATACAGGCTTATTGCAGATATGTTTCGAGATATTTTTCCTTCAGAACCGTCTAAAATAGCGGGTAACTCACAACTTTTTCGATTTGAGGCACCTCTCACTCTTCTCATCAGTGCTCTCGAGTATAATCGACAGCAACGGGCGTCTTCGAACCGGGTTCTTACGCAGCTTTACATCGCACAAGCGTCTCTCAATGACCTCCCTCTGGAGCTCAGAGACGATGTTACAATTCCGAACATTGTAAACTCTGCTGGCAAAGGCGATGTTTACGACTCAAGTGTCTGGTTAGGGCTGGAGCCGACATACACCCCCTGGCATCGCGATCCCAATCCAAACTTGTTCTGCCAACTTTGCAGCTCAAAGGTCATTAGACTTCTGCCTCCTAATCCAGGAGAGCATATCTTTCGAACGGTGCAAATGAAGCTTGGGCGACATGGAAGTTCACGTATCAGAGGCGAGGAGATGATGCATGGCCCCGAGAGAACACTGCTTCATGATGCTATTTGGAGCCCTGACACAAATCCCGAAATCTTTGAAGCTCGGGTCAGCCCTGGAGATGCATTATTTATTCCGAAAGGCTGGTGGCACAGTGTCAGAAGTGTGCATGGAGATGGGCGACTGAATGGCTCAGTCAATTGGTGGTTTCGATAAGCGATCATAAAATCTACTTTTCTGTTGCCCGGGTGATGGCCATTTTCCTTCGATCAATGCTCATCCTCCTCCAAGAACACCTGGAGCTGCTCCATCATCCGAAGAGATTCCGCACGGAAAAGCGATTCTATATATCCAGCTGCCAGTCCCAGGCCCGTAGGAATACCAAGTCGTACTTCCCGATCGAGAGTGGTTAGGCCTACTTCTCTTTCTCTGATCACCATGTCGACTATTACGTCAACCTTTATACCAAGAATAGCCGGCGTTAATGTATGTGGTTGATGGAAGACGACGTGGCGCCCACTTTCATCTAGGTGAACAACCTCCCCATACCTCGTGCCGCTCGGTGACTGTTCTTTGTACTTCGTGCCTGGTCTAATCGGGTTGTCTGAAATCTCCGTCGTCCCCTTAAAGACTCCACTATGACATAGCCATTTATTGTAACCCGGCAGGTCGCATATAGCCGTGAATGCGCTTGCGGGTGAGCAATCGATATCGATACTCATGTTTACGTGTCGACTGGTTGGCGCCATCCTGTCTGAGGAGTACGAAGATTGCAAATTTACAACTAAGAGCCTGCTCTGGCGTTGCGCAGGCTAGCTCCGAAAGTCGATCATATATCAAAGCGCTTGAAATAAAGTCCACTTTAAGTTGCATGTGAAAGAGTCTGAGGTATTGCGGGTGAAACATGTCAGTGCTAGATTTGAGCTGAATCAGCAACATACGCAGCGCAGACCAATTAGATTCGTAGCCATGGCCCATCTACCTAGACATGGCATCTAAGTGTAATGAGGAAAAATTTGTTTGGACTTGAAATATTAGATGATATAATATCAGAGAATGGGCGTCACCATTATTGAGAGCCATCTAGGTCACTCCTAATGGTAAAGACCGTAGTGTATTGAATTATTATCGTTAGGTAAGACTATCCCAGTGTCTTGGGTATAATAGGATAAAATCAACTGGTCCTGTAACATTCATCATTCTGGTTTGCGCTCAGGTCTGCAAGTGAGAATTCCGCGGGTCCATAGGGGCCATAACTAAGGGGATCTTTCAGCCCGGGCCGAAAAAGCACACACATATCCAAAACCATCCTCAGACCCCAAATGGTTATTCGCTTTTTATTGGGTCGCAGCCGGGACGGGCTCGGCAGGAGGTGCAGCTGCACTCTTCTCATGATGCTCGTGATGAGCAAGCTTTGACTCGATGTCACCACGTTCAGCTTGCGAAGTAAGCTTGGTAGCCTTCTTAGTCTTCCACGCGGGAGTCCCAAGGTAGGGAATGCCATTAGGGTCTTCGAACATGGCTTCTGTTTCTTCGAGAGTCTTGCCGGCGGTTTCAGGAAAGATGAAGAAAACATGGATAAACATAGCGACGTTGAAGACGCCGAAGATGAGGTAAGTCTTCCACCTGTAAAGTTTTAGTATGTCAACTATTCAGCTGACCTTGAAAGTGACTCACCGAATATTCTCGAAGGCGACAGGAACGAAAAGACCCAGTGCAGTGTTGAAGGCCCAGTTGGCAGAAGTGGACAGCGCAACTCCCTTGCCTCTAAGTCTGAGAGGGAACAGCTCTGGAGGGTAAGTCCAAGAGACAGGCCCCCATGTGGGAGCAAAGGAGGCAACAAAGAGGTATGTGCAAGCAATCAAGCCCTTTGCAGCACTTCCAGAAACTGTCATGGAAACCTCGGGAACCCCATCTTTGCCACCGGGAATGACGGTACCGTGAGCTCCCAGGATACCAGCATTGGCAAACATCCACGTGCCCATGAAAGCCGCTCCAATTAACAATGTTGGGCGACGCCCCCAGCGATCCATCCATAGCAGGGCCGGGATCGTCATGACAACATTTATGACATATTGAATCGATGAGGCAAGCAAATTTGCGTTACCACTGCAAATATATATTAGTGTCTCCGGATATGTGAAAGTACGCAATGGTGGGACCAACCTATAACCTGCCATAGAAAAGACGTAAGAGATGTAATACACTTCACAAGTGTAGTCAGCAATCCTGCAAATTCAATTGCCATACTGGTAGTTTCGGGTTCAATTGAAAGACTTACTCATAACGTTCATGCCCGTAAGCTGTGACCAGATCTGATCAAAGAGACCAATGACAGTTCGGTTGAGCATTCGAGGCTTGAAGAGATCCAAGTATGTAACATCAGCAATTGAGGCCTCAAAGGCGCGCATATCCTTGATATCCTGTAACTCGAGGGCCACAAAGGGGTGGTGAGGATCTCCATGGCCGTGAACGAGGGTCAATACAGCGTGGCAGTCTTCCCACCGGTCCTGTCGAGCAAGCCAACGGGGAGACTCAGGGAGAAGAATCATCATGCCAAACAAGAAGAAAGCCGGAATCATTTGGAGACCCCAAGGGATACGCCAGGAGGCAGTGTTGTAGTTGCGTGAGTTTTGTCTAGATCCGTCAGTGAATTCGTCCATGAAATATCATATTTCAGATTGGGACGGATCTCGCTTACTCTCCTATGAAACTGCAGCCGTAACTGATGTAGTACATGATCAAAATACCCCAGGTGATTGCCCATTCTAAAAATCTGGAGTCAGTAATGTTGTTGTAGGACAGGGTGTAAAAGCGACTGAGTGTTCAACTATGCATTTGGAGACTTGAATCAAGGTTTCAAAACTTGAAAATAAGCTTTTCGAAGCTCAATTTAAGTCTTCAGAAAATGGAGACTTGTATGGGTTGATCATGAACCTACGTTGCATTCCGATGAATCTTCCTCGTTTGCTTGGAGGTGAGATCTCCGCAATGTAGACTGGAACTTGAGCGCTCTCAATTCCGACACTGATTCCGTTAATAACCCTACCTACACATAACATGCCAATGTTCTGAGCAGCACAGCATAGGGTTGAGCCAATTAGCCTGTCGTTTGTTTGTCAGATGAGTTGGTCGTAATCCTAATTTCATTTCGACTAACCATATGATACAACCAACCATGATCGAATACTTCCGCCCCAAGCGATCACTGAGCGGTCCTGAGACCAGAGCGCCTACCCAGGAGCCTGCTGCCATGCTGGCAGTAATGCCACCTTGATGCAAAGACTTGGGTCCACCTGCTCAGGGACAAGACCCGGTTAGTGATTGTCTCCTCCATCGAGATGGATCAAACATACTACAATCATCATCATCCGTGAACGGTGGGCCTTTAGGGCCTTGATTAAAGTAACAACGGTATGAATTCTCACCCAGCTGTGCGGATACACTGGAAATCTTCGGAATTCCGAGTCAGTGGTTGTCATATCAACTCCAGAACTTGCTTACATCGAAGCCGAAGAGGGCGCCGCCCACAACCGAAACTGCAGCGATTACGTATATGTTGCCTATTGCCATGCTTGCTAACTTTCAAAGACTTTCGACTGCTTTATTCTAGAGTGAAATTAGGGCGAAGGCGGGTGGGTGAGGGGGAGAGCGTTTAAATGCATGATCTTCGCTCCGCATCTTCGATCCTTTAGGCACGCATTGTACTTCCAAAGGGCAAATTACATGGTATCCTAGATCGTCCCACGCAACACTCCAATAACTAAGCTGGCCAAAAGGCAACCAATGGTTTTCTTGAAGGTAGGTCAAGGAAGGGGGTGGGCCGATGAAAGTGACAAGTTATTGGCCATCATGGGAACGCATCCTTCGATTGGATGTTGCTACTGAACATGTGCTACACTTTACGAAGTCATGAAGAAGTAGTATTGGCCTGCACTCGGCATTGGGAATGCCGTGGGAACTGAGGAGTCAGACAGGTCGGGCTCGGATCTGCATAGAAGGTCCGATAATTAGTGCACAACCCCAATGATGATTGTCATGATACTTGGCCATGACAATCCGGGGTAGTACAGTGATCGACACTGATACGCGTCAACCCCTCCACCCAAAAAGGCGTCCACCTACAGCGGTCTTCTTGCAGATTCATGGAGGCGTTCCTCGGAGGGGTGCACATGTGAGTGTTATGGTGTGTATCAGTTTTGTCTCCATTATTCGCAACAATATTCTCTTGAGATCGCCACTATATGCACCAAGAAATTCTGGCCAGAGCGCTTGGCAAGCGTTCAAAGAAGCTTTGGCAAGCTCCAAGCCAGCCCCGTAGCTCTTTATTAGTCTCATAACCCCAGGCCAGATCTACCCCGGAATGGTCCCTGCAATGACTGTTATCCTCCGAAGCATCCGCACGCATACAAAACGTCTCGTTACATTCGGGCCGTTCCCCACAACTGTCATCAGTTCTCTGGAGTGATGTTGCTGCAGACTGGAGCGGGGTATCCAGGCTGACAGGCCCGCCGCGAGGTGATTGATGTAAGATACAAATCCAGCCGGCTATGAGAGTCATGTCACCAGACAACCCCTGGTCATTGAAACAGCATGACAGACACTCAGTCTGGAACAAAAGGTATGATGACCAAATGGTTGTACATAATTTCATAGCGCAGCATGCACTCTGATGGTGGAGTGCATATATGTCATCGACCATATTACTCATCAGTAGCGCACCGATGGTGGCAACGGTAAGGGGTAGTGGCATAACAAATGCTCCAGATCAGGGCCTTTACGCGCTTTCAGTTAGCCATCATTCCCTCCAGGTAGAAAATATATACTACCTACCACTCCCGCAAAATGTCTGAAACCACAGGTCCTCTCAGGGCCTATCGGAGCCTGCCCGATCTGAGAACCATTTTGATAATTGTAGAGCCACTTGATTAATGCCAAGACCATATGACAAAGCTAGATAACATTTTAGTACTCTATCCGCTATTCTTAGTTAGCAGCTGTAGTATAGTAATACTAGAAGTTAGAATAATCACGACTGCTATTGGAAATCCCGCTTCACAATGCTATATTTGACAAGACTTAACAGAAAGCTGTTGATGGTTACCAAGATATCGTACAAAGAGCGCACTGTTGTTGAGAACGCAGGATTAAAACTACCTGCTAACTTTGTTGAGCCATGTAGTTGAACAGTCTTTCAATAGTCCCACTGGTACCTAGCATGCAGTAGTGGCCCGGATACTTTAGGCACCCTTAAATTTCTCCAATATCTGGCAGACATTTCCAAATATCGTTCATCTTCAGATACTGAATTAAGAATCGTTACATTGAGTGGTGGAACATGTATAACTTTGTTCTCTCTTACGCCCTGCTTCCGGGTTGTGCGTTTTCTGTTGTTATCCAATTCGTGTCTGTTATGAATCAAGGTGTTGAGGTAAGAGTCTATCCTCTCTCCGGACCCGCCGATAACGAACGCCGACTTCGATGTTCTAGTTTCCATCACGGTGGGGTACCACTCGATATTCGAAGTCATGCGACCTTCAAGACAGTCGTTGGCTTACCCTTGCTGAAGGGGAGGTTTTCGGGCCAAGGGAGAGGCATTCAAGAGACGATTGGGGTGTCAACATGAATCCGCCATGAGATACAGATCATGCAAACAATCATCTGAATCGCTGTTTAGTTATCGAATCTGTATGATTCATGGCAGAGCGAACTCGAAGTATCCCACATTCCTTTTGTAGGAATTGCGGTACTGAATTTTTCTCTCTCTCCAAATCCGTTTGATATCAGTCTCCACGCCATAATCCGTAGAGTAGAGTAGACATCACATTAGAGCAAAAACGTAGAGTTGTCACGAATGTAGTTGATCGTGAATTGTGCCCTTGTTGATGAGTAGCGATTATATTGATTGCGAAGACATCGAACTAATATGTGTAGGATGGCACACCTACTTCTACCTTGATATTGACCACATATCGCAATGTATTCGAGATCCACATAAAAAAATGACTCATTTTCAAATGTGTAGTAATGTGTTACGCTGGCTTGTGCTGACTTCCGTGCTTAACTAATCCCTTCATTATCGAGTCTTCTTCCAAAAGCCGAAAAAAGAAAAAAAAGAAAAAAAAAAGGAAAGAACGGGTTTTTTGGGACCGCCTGTAATCTCAATGAAAGGTCGTTAGCCCCTGCCATCGTTTCTGCAAAAAACCTGGCTCCATTGACCGTAGGAGCCTCCTGCCACAACTCAAATGCACCGGATCCGGGATGACGCTGGAGCCAGAGCTGATTAGTTGCTATGATCCTTGTCGATCACTGCTCCAACAACTTTCTATAGCACTCAGCTCGCTCTGGCATGCTCTTGATCGACATCATCTGCGAGATCTCGCGCTCGCTTGCCTAAAGAGCTCAATTTTCCGGTTATATCCCGAACGGATTCCCGATTTTGTGTCTGTGCCTGCTTGAGTTGATGGATAGTGGAATTTCTAGTGCGAACGGTTTTCTCCAGTTTCAACTTTTCGTCACGGAGCTTCCTGTTCTGGCTTTCATAATCCTGAATTTGAGTCCTCAAGTCGTGGTTGTCCTCCTTGAGCTGTGAAATGACTTTCAAATCGCTGGGTCGGGATGGTCGACAGATATCATCCATCAAGGTAAGCGATGGGCTGGGGTAGTCCGCCGCTAACGCCTCCGGTGAACATCCACACACAGTGACAAACTCACCGAACTCATCAGAGTCCTTCGGCTTCCACAGTGGGGAGTGATATTGAAGACGTCGACTATGCTGGAGTGAGGTCTTAGTGATCCAATACTGCGTAGATTTATATTCCAACTCGATCAGGTTAATTTCGTTCGAGACCATGTGCACAAGCGCAACTCCTTTTGCACCCCAGATTCTGATATGGCCATCTTCGTGATCTTTGTTGACTTCTTTGATTGGGCCTGTGATATTGGCCACTCCACACTTGATCAGATCAGCCGTGAGCGAGAATCCTGCCTCCCACTCTTCCATGTTAGACGGCGCCATGGTGGTAGAGAGTGGCGTAGGTGTGTTTCGTTTATGGGCTGGACGAGAATGAAGTTGTCTGTAGGTGCAGTGGAAGTTTGTTTAAGCGAGTAAAGCGGAGAATATGGAAGTTTGACAGGCAGTGGAAGATAAATTCCAGAAATATAGCTTGAATGAGAGGAAATAAATTGAATGGTTTTGGTCAGAGGAGCACTCTATATGAAAGGAGCGAGAACTCCTGACGTGAAGATTTTGTCCTTGTTGGTGACTCGATGAGCTGGATTAGCTAGAAGAGGGTTTGGAATGAGAATAGCTGAATATAAAACTGCCGGTCTTGCCTCGAGTGACCATCAGGTGCAGCTTGCCCTTTCGATGTATGAGGTTGGTCCTTCTCGAAAGATGATGATTTGTTGGTTTTGAAAGTAGGAGCTTTAAATATATCCCCACATATAGCTTACTTTTCGCAGCTATTGGACCCCTTGTTAGCTTCCACAGAAGACAGACTGCAGAAGTCCTTACGTTAGACTTGCGTCTTTTTAAAGCCAACCCCACGTAGTTCGACCGCCAGCTATTACGGTAAAGATATCGCGTCCTTTCTAGCAAGTGAGGGCATCTTCCGAGGCTAAATCTAAATTCTCAGTCATAGAGAATAAGACAGGTCGCTTGAAGGGGCAGGTTCCCCTCGAGAGAAAGATTTTACGAAAGAGGAAGTTACGCCGTCTCGTTTCATCAATCTCAACTCCACACAAGCATCTTTTCCCAGGCCACGACAACCTAACTTGTCAAGTTCTCTACAAAGCCTTTTTGAACTTCCCTAGATTCGCCATCACGAGGAACAGAACATGATACTAAAGTAACCCTCAAATTCAACGACTACTCTGATTCAACATATCATGGCTCCGTTGAACCTCAAGGAATGGCATTCAGTTTTGTCTATGACTGACCGTCTCATCGGGGCAAATGACAACACTGCCATTGATTCGCTCCGAGCCAGTGACGCAAATAATCGCGAACCAGTCATCTATGGCCGCGACGGTCATGCCACACTGTGCGTGAAAGACAAAATGATCATTTCGGTTACAGTCAAGACGAATATAGGAGGCATGGAGAAGCAGGTCGTGGCCACTCGAACCTCGATCGCACATACTATACGTCGCCACCATTCTCCGTGGTGGAAATTGTGGCTTATAATGTCTACGTCCGGTGCTGAGGAGAACGAGTTCGAGACGGAATGCGGTTGCTCGATGGATGATCTACGACAGGATTTGCCCCGTCCGTACGTCACGCAATTCGAAGACCATATATTTGCTCATAATGACGGCAAGATCAGCAAATATAGCTCCTCTTTGCACCGCTCGCAACAAGACCTTGCGGCTTCTCAGAAGGAGTTAGCAGAGCTCCGACAGGAGGTCGTTAGGCTTCGTAAAGCCATGGAGACTCATCATGAGCGAGAAGTCAAGCTGGAGAAGGAGGCTGAGCCGCCTTCAGAGCGCCCATCGTCCTACTCCTTTTCCAGATCCTCCATCATTCAAGACTCTACGCCCTCATGTACGCCTTGATATTAGGGCGGATAGATACAGCGGGGAGTGATTACGACTTCGCGTTGAAGAATGTTGGCTCAACATAGAACTTGCTTTATATGGCTGGTCTCGGTTGAAACTCATCTGATGTGCTCTGTCTCTCGCGATGGGTCTTACTACATGGTTTCCTTCTCATGACTTTGGCAGGACTAGCATGGCTATCAACGGACCTTGATACATATTACGAGAAATTTGACAAAGTTATCGCTGCTCCATGACATGTCCTATTCTATGCATGGTGATAGCGTGGAAACAAGCTTATCATTGTACAGTTCATAGTTGAGAAAGCGAGGGAGCAATCTTGGTAAACGTTCGAATTGCTTAATTTGCTACCTATGATCATAACGTCGTCATGAAACCGAATCAGTCACATTCCGCCAAGCCCAAAAAAACTCATTTTCAGCAGCCCAAATCCCGATGGCTGCCATCATCTGTGCTCGTTGAATAGCAAAACTTCTCAACAAACGTCATCTTCTAGACCCGCCACCGTTTAGACCTTCGGGTCCTGAACGGCGGGAACAGGAGCAGACTCCTGAACACCGACACCACCCTCAGCGGGCTTTACCGGAGTCGTAGTCTCGGTCGTGGTCGTGGCGCTCTCCTCCTTGCCACCCGGGGCAGCGGGTGTCTTCTCGGCACCAAACACCTTCTCCAAACCAGCAGCCTTGTATGCACTGCCACCGTGCTCCTGCTTCTTAAGCTCCGCAAGACGGCGGGCCTCGGTGTGAATGTCGGTGACCTGCTTCTGGCCCAGTGTGTAGAAGTTGACAATCTTCTTGCCGGGCTGGGTGGCGGTGGCCTTCTCGAAGTAAGAGCCCAGGCCGGTCAGCAGGGAGTTGGCGCGCTGGGTGATGCCGTAGCTCTGGTCGGCGGTCTTGGCACGGTCGGTGGCGTGGTACTTTGCGTCGAGGCTCTGGATGGTGTTCACGAACCGTGAGGACACGCCGTGCTTGTGGTCGAGCTCGATGGCGCGCTGCAGCGCCGCGTCGCCGACGACGTAGCCGTGTGCGAGATACTCGGCGAAGATACGACTGCGGGGCTTCTCCTCCTGTGTGATCTCGTCCGAGTCGCGCTCGGCATTGGTAGTGACATGGGTATCGTCATCGGACGAGGAGTCGCCAGCGGAGGTGACGCTGATATGGGAGGGGCCGAGCTGGGTGCTGTTCAGGAGCAAAGCTGTCTTGGCAGCGGTCTCCTTCTCGAACACGACAGTGGCTGATTTGGAGTCGCCCTCAGGCTTGACATCGATGGATGCGATCTTGCCGCTGGGAACTATCAGTAGCTGTTCGCCGAGGAGAGTAACATAAGGGGAGATCTCTTACCAGAATGCGAAGAAGTCTCGAATCTCCTTGTCCTCCGTGGAGGGAGAGATGTTCTTGACGTGAACGGTAGTGGCAGACATTCTGACGGTGCTGTATCGAGTGTGAATATGGTCTTGGTGCGGGGTAGTTGTCTGATGTTCGTGATGTGGTTGTTGCAAGGGGATGGGAAAAGGTGGGAGGAGTTGCAAGGGAGGGCTTTTGTTTTATATGACGGAAGCTCAATGATACCTATAGGCCGATTTGCTCGTGAGGTGCCAGCCGCTGTGCCAAGACTTGTGGATGTACGTGTTCCTGACGTTCGCTCTCAAGGTGCAAAGCTAAGATCAGAGAGGGGCGAACAGACGTCATCACAAGTGTGGCTGTGCTCCGCTTTCCACAATACCCTGAGAACGTCTGTTATGAGAGTACCCCATCATGAGGCATTAAATCGCCGTCATGCATTTGTACCTTTTTACTTTCTCAACGCCTGAACTGGTTCCTTCCCAACAACGAAGGCAGTAGCTAACAGGAGGTTTGCCCTAGGTCCAGGCGTCTACGAAGTGTCGCCTGCATCCATTGGGCGAGTTTCATAGCTTGCCTCGTCATCTATCACGTCGTTGAAAATGGCATGTGAAATTTAATTGTAGGCTGCTATGCAGTTATCTGTCACTGTTTGAGAATCTCGAATGTCTCTATCACGAGATCAACAATAAGCACTGGTGCATTCCATCTCGAAATCGAATAACGATGTGCAGAGTACCGCCACTCTTGGTCGAGCGTGTCATTTGAGGCTTTCTTGCCTGTCTATAATATACAGGTGGTCATGACATTCGTGCCTGCATGATAAAAAAAATGCAGGCTACTCCTTCCCTCTACCGGAGTAGAACCATGACATCGATTTATTTCTGAGTCTTTGCAAACTTCTGCTCCAGCGCATCCTCCATTGGGCCCTTGGGGTTTGAGGTCAAATTCTAGAGTGCTGTTAGTTTGCAAGATTCCATTCAGACGCCTTTTAGCAGACTGACCTCAAGACCGGACTTGTTGACCTCTTCCTTATTTTCGGAGCTGTCTGTACCCTTTCCTGAGGCAGGGGTATCATGAAGCTGGGCGCCGGTCTGACGTTCGGGCGGGGGAGACTCTGCACCTTCAGGCATATTGATGGCTGTATTTGAAGTGTAAAGGGATTGTTTTGAGAGACTGCCAGCCCATCTCGTTAGCATCAGGCTCTCAGCGTCATTGAGAATGAAGGCAACTTTGCTGGTAAATAGGAGGTTGCAAAAGGGATGGCTTACCTTGAGGATGGCTAAGGACTTGATGAGAATAGCTTGCCGTGTCGAATGTACGGTAGTGAAATTGCTTTTGGAGGATGAGAAGATTTAAATACAGAGCTTCCTCACGCCATGTATGCTGCTCACTAAGGACCAGACAGCTTCGTTACAGCCGCTTGACATCAAATGCCCCTCTATGCCGTCATTGCCCATCATCTTCCAGGCTGTGACATCATATGGACAATCAGTTAGACTGCCCTGCAGGTGGTGGGCTATCTCCAGATGGACAGCCTTATCGATAAGATGCCGGGTGGATTTTAGCAATTTAGAATACCTAGGCGAGCTAGGGAGAGAGGTACGCTGTACCTAGGTAGCAGCCACAACTGCAAGCTGTTCCAGGCCTACATTACCTTATTCACGACTTCGTATTCTGGAAGAAAACCACGACTATATAATTTAATGCGTAATGTTGGTTAGTATCGAGCGTTCTTGCTGATAGGAAATAGTAGTCAATGTATATGCAGTTCGGGTACTTGGTAGGTGTGTCAGGTTGTTCTTATCTTCGTCCCAGGTGCTGTAAGAGTACCAGCCACAGCGCTACCAGAGCTTGCACCTTAGGCTCAAACTTAATGGTGGGGCTAAGTGCCAAAATACCACGGGAGGCTCTTCCACCCAACCCGACAACGAATCACTTTCCACCAACCTGGCCATCTCCAAACGGCCGCATAAACTACCCATTAAAGCAGCAATTAAACAAAGCACCGCGTTCAGCATATCACATCAGGTCTACGCGTCGCTTCTCCTCCCTTCTTCTCTCGCACAGCTTTCTGATGTTTTAAATCACCTGGCATCTTGGTTCCCGGCTGGGAGCCTCAGCCAAGTTACCCTCCATCAGAACCATCTCCAAACCGCCCCTTTATTCTCCCTCTATACCTCTCAAGATGCCTGACCTTAACTCGGTCCCAGCATCCCCGCATGCTCTTGCTGCTTCTCGCCGCCAATCATCTCATCAAATGCCACCGCCTCCAGTCCCGAGCTCGCCGTCCTTGAACATTCTTCCTTCGAACCAGAATGCAGTCAACAATGCTTCTTCCTCGTCCCTCCCATCCCCACACCTTCCACCGGCGGGCATGCCTCCTGGCCCTGTGCAGGCGGAGAATACTACATCAGTGGCTGGACCTGGGCCGATTCGCCATCCTAGACCGTTGACGGCTGCCGAACTCCATTTAGAGCTGGAGAAGGAGCAAGAGGCTGTGGTAGGTCTACATCATCGGTTGTAGCTGGGATAAGACTCCTAATTGTGATCCGCCACAGGTCAATCGTCTTACCAGAGAACTGCAACTATTACGAGCGGCTCAAAATGCCTCGGTCGTGTCGAACGCATCGTCTACATCCGCCAGCGCCTCCGGCACCGAGGCCCCTATCGTCCCCGACAACCAGCACCTCTTATCTGGATCGGGTTTCTCGATCCCGTCCTCCAGCGGCCGTCGCCATCATCGCACGGCCTCCAATGCGAGTGCACGCAGCGTCACTGCTGCCGCCGGATCTGGACTTGTTACAAACACTACCTCCGTCGTGGGTATCACAGCTCCGGCTCCCATCCGCCCTGGTGGTGTTCCTCTGTCTCGCCAGAATAGCAGCCAATCTCGCCGCAGCCAGACTGGCTCCCCTGCACCGCATGCACAGTCACACCCGCATTCATACACACATTCACATCTGGCCGACCCTGCAATAGCAGGTTACTTTCACCACCGCTCTCCACCGGTGCCTGGCGCAGTCCCCTCCGCAACGCCAGGCAGCCAGAGCGAGCTGTCTCCGGGTATTCTTCCCGCCACAACTCGCTACGAGGAGACGGCCTTTTACCGCTCGGAACTGGAGTCTGTCAAGCGCGAGAATGACGCTCTCAAGCGCCGGATCCGAGACCTGGAGCGGATGGTGCGCGATCGTCGTGCAAGCGATGCGAGCCGCACGAGGAGCGAGAGCGTGAGCACAACCGCGAGCGTCAGCGCCGCCGCTGGCGCGCCAGGGGCTGGTGCCGGGATTGCGGGCCCACGAGAAGGCCGGGAGCGGGTCGTCAGCATGCTGAGCACGGCTGGTAGCGTCGGCGTGGGCGTGCCGGAGGACGAGGTCAGGGTGGGCGAGAGCGCTGCGTCTGCTGGGCTCCGTGGCCAGGAAGGCGGGCAGCCCGCTCCGGGAGCGTGATCATGGATTGATTGTTCATTTGCAGTTTCAGGGACATTCGAGATTGTGGGCCATGGGATATAATGGACAACCTAAAAATGAATGATTGTATGACCAAGGCGTTTCTGGTAGCCGGCGTCAGGGAGGTTTACTCTGTTTTCGATAATTACAACGGCCTCAGTCAAAGGGCACGGGCTCTAGTAGATCGGTTTCTTTTCAATGCCATGAATAAATTCTTTATTCCTCGCCTCATAAACTGCCCTAGGCCATTAAGGTGAGAATTTTCCATGTAGACCAGCGTGGTGTGGAAAGTCTTAATGCCGATGAAGAAAACGCTGTGTAGCCATTAGCGAAAATACAGTAGCTAGCATCAACTTCACAACTACACGCTCTCATCAACTCCAAACTATTCGAACAGATTGGTCAAAACAGTAAACAGTGCAGGAAAAAGGTTAATGAACGCAGCCAATACCACTCGGGAAACTCCGGTGCAGCATGTAAGTCTCGCCGTACACTTGGATCGGCATAGCGAACGTGGTTGACATCCAATGGCTATGCCGATCCGTTATGCCGGTGCTGAACTCCGGGCGAAGATCTTATTCCGGAGGACACCCGCAATGACAGCCGGTGTGCCTGGCTCCGAGTCCTGGCGGGACGACCCGCTCCGGGGTCCTGCTGTCACAGGCCTCAGGGGAGAGGAAAGGAAAGAATCGGAACAGGATAATGTTACCCAGACACAGTGCCAGCAGGTCTAAACAGACGAGAAGGCGCTGGTTTGCGCAATCCTCAGCCTCAATCTGATAAGGCACGGACGAAAAGAACCCGGAACAGGCAAGACAGCGTGAGAACAGTACGATAACGTGCATTATCGTGACATGCAAGGTCTGGGGCGTCTCCAGATCAGATCTGTATCTCGTGTCAGCTGGCGCCGAGGGTCTAGAATCTCGGGTGAATCAAAACTGATGATGTGGTCTATAGGATCTGGTTATTCGGTATCGGGGGCCCTCGGCGAAAGGTGCAACGAGGGTGGCGTCGCCGTGCTGTGCTGCAGACCCGGGGCCGAGTTCACTGCCGGGGCACACGGCCCAACGGAGCATGGGGGTGTGCGGACAGACGATCAGTGCTGATCGGTAATAATGCACGATAAACTGAGCCGCCGACTGCATATACTTCAAAACAGCTTTCATTCAGGCAATGGAAGAAACCGGAACGAGTGACGATAACCTTGATTAGATGTCTGCGCTATCTTAGACTTATGCGGAGAGAACCCCCACAGCAGGCCTCCGATGGAAATTTCCCTAACAGGGATAGGATTTCGAATATGGATCTTTTATTTTTATTTTTCTGTGGAATTGCTTGTGGACACCCGGGGAGGAATCTCATCACGATGCTAGACAGAGACCAAACGCCACGGAACTGCTTCCTGTTTACTCACCGATAGTTTGTCTTACTGCGCGGCCGCATTGACTCTAGGAAAATTCCGATCTATCAGCCGTGATGCTCTCGTGACATCTATTACGATGCAGTGGTGAAATCTAGATCCCAGCCCATTCCCCCAGCTCACAGATCACATGCGGGGAAAGCCACCAAAACGGGCGATGCCAGCAAAGGGAGTGAGGTCACGATGGTTCCGGAAAAGGAGACAGAGGGGTGCAATTTACGTAAATGCACTGGAGCCTCAGCTATTTCCAATGAGGATCGGGTGATGTCGGAAAGGTTCAATAGCAGGAGATGCCACCAGAGTGACGAAAGCGAAAGAAAAGCCCAATGCAGGCGGCAATCGAGTGGGGCCGAATGCACCCACAGCGGGGTTGGTTCGTCCCTGCTAAAGAGCCTAGAGATCCCAGATGGATCCCTAGCCCAGCGTTTGAACCTTCGGCGTGGCAGTGCATTACGCACCTGCATTTTCCCCATGCATGCAGCAGAATCTGAAGCAGAAAATATCACGGCGGCCCAGGTTTCTGCCTGAAGACTCACCAGCCAACTTTCTGCAGCAAAAAAGACAGCGGTTGTGGTGCAATGGCAGACATCAGAGGTGAGGGAGAATGTAGAGAGACAGACGTCAGTAGGAGGGGAAAAGCTTCTTCCCACACTGCGGGGTAGAATGGCCTGGGCTTACCGAAGGTTTGCGAACCGCCAGACGTAAAAAACTATACTGGTTTCAGCCCTTCCAGGGCGGCCTGGCTGCCTGGCACGCCCCCTGAAAAGCCTAGGTTTACAGGCGCCACGGCGAGATTCTGGGGAAGCCTAGGGGGCGTTCTCTAGCCCTTGTTTGGGCTGGATCCCGACTGGCGGCTGCTTCATCCCCCCTGCCTCCACTGTATTCCGCCCCATGTTGCTGGAACAACAGCATGCTTTCAGTTGGAGATTCGTAAACTGGGTCTGAGGAGCCCCCTGTAAGCATATTCATGCTGGTTCCGATAGGCCGTTTCGGCAAAGTTCCGGGGCAGCTTTTACACAGATTCACGGGTAGTTAGGGGGAGCTTACTGATGTCAGTATCCCTACCTTACGTGCAGTTCTTTCTCTCTTGGTCAACGATCGCGATACGAGTGACTGCCGTTTGCCTCTTTCATGCACGATGCGGGAGCAGCTTGTTTACGGGTAGCTGGCCTAAAACCGATAGAGGTACCTAGGTAGGTACCTAGATGAATAATTACGCCGAGGAGGATTGGGTCGAGATTCCTGACACGAGGAAAGATAGAACAAGTTTCGGCAATATCAACCCGGTTCGGTTTGGATTCGATTCGATACGATAATGATGGCAACTGCCCCGGGAGGACAAACGGGAAGGGGCAATAGAGTGACATTTTGCAGGAAAGAGCAGGCGGTGGCGGCGAATGGCCGGGGAAAGGGCTACCCAGGCGTGCCAGGTACCCCTCCATCACGCTATTCTGTCCCCAATTGGAACATCTCCTCACATATGCAAACACCACCGCCTCCAACTTGTCCCGATAATCTACAATCCCCAAGATAATCACGGCCGCCGCAGCGAAGGAGACAAGCCTAGCGTCAGGCGAAAAGTGCAGCTAGGCAGTACTTGCAGTGTATACTGGATGTATGTGCTCCCGATGCCTGCAGGGGTTTCTGTCTGGCCCTCCCAAGTTGGCTCCGAGATCTTTTCGTGCCCCAGCAGCCCAATCACCGTCAGCATCGCCTCCCAGCCAGTCGAATGCCGTCGAGGAGCCTTATAGACTCCACACTGCCCTTCTTTTTATACCCTCGGCTTCGGACGCTATCCCATCGACAAGAGCCGTCTGGCACTATCAGTCGCTATCTTCTGCTGCGCTCCACGACAAAGTGGATCAGACTCGACGACTACACGCACCCTCTACCCGCTACGCTGCCCGCTACGCACTCTAAGCCCAGCCAACCCCTGTGCTGCACCTCGAACAGAGCCGACGCCAGAACGATCTCTCCCGACTCTCCACGAAGTTTATTAACCATGAAGGACCCCGTTGCCAGAACCTCTTCTCCCTACATCGATCCTCTCGTCAAAGGTCCCAAATCCCAAATTCTCACCTCCGGAACCCAGGCAGACCTTCGCAAAAGTCCGTATTTTTTCCTCCATTCCCCTTTTTTGCTTCTAGTATCAATATCTCTATCATACAAATTACTGACTTTCCTGCTCTACAGTGCTCGTCAATACCGTTAACAAGACCGGCCTACACCCCGGCGGTGTTCAGTACGTTTCCCCCCGTCTTTCATCCGCATAAAAACTTGAGATCTAACAAGCACTTGTTTGCAGGCCCCAAAGTGAACATACTGAGCTAGGTACGAACTGCAGCCGCATGCGAGCTCCCTGCCCCGGACTCACGTGCTCGCACCGAGGCACATGGCGGGCAGGAAAGACTGACAGGAATGAACAGAGGAGCTCCTCCACGAGAAGGCCCACATCGACTATGACCGCGTCGCAATTGTGAGCTCCTCGCCTTCATACGAGCACTACCTAATATGCCAATTGGGTAGCTTGTCTCATATTGCCATCATGCTAACAACATCACCAGATTCCCAACCCTTCCGTCGCCGCTCTCTACGAAGATGCTCTGGTAAGCCTTTATGCCTGAATCTATACAACCAAAAGCATGTTTGCTAATGTCGCCCAGGTCTACGAACCAGGTTCTGCTATTTCCTCAACCGGTGCCTTGACCGCATACTCTGGTGCGAAGACTGGCCGATCACCTCTAGACAAGCGAATTGTCCAAGAGGAAGGCTCAGAAAAGGATATTTGGTATGTCCGCGTCCTCATCGCCAGACTCGGACATATCAGTCCGTTCTGAGCCTCTGTTTTATTTTTCAACGATCATTTTACTGACTACTCATTCTATAGGTGGGGACCCGTCAACAAGCCCATGGCTCCTGATGTAAGTCTACTACTATCCAATTTCCACCTGCACAAATGCTTTCTTCTTCCCCGCGTCGCACCACATGCTTTTCCAAGAAAAAAAAAGTCGTCGGCCGTCCAACCGCATTACTGGTGACGAGCCCCTCATTACCGACACTTACCGGACCCAATTTCCGGCTGCATCTTGGGATAAGCTCGTGAAAGTCGTCTACACGTCATTAATCATTGACCACATCGGTTTCCATCTATTACACAGCGCAAGTGGTGCGATTGGCAATGATTTCGACGATTTGATGCTCCTCGTGCTGCTGGGCCCCCCACTTACCCGGCGCTGTCGTCATAATGCAACCCCCAATTCCCGAGCCCAAGAAAATGCACCCCGCTCCTCCGCTTGTTCGATAGCCGAACCAAGAGCCGCCCCGCCCCACATCCTGCCCGATATTCTCCTATGCCCATGCCCCAATTACAAAGTGCATTTTTAGGAGCAACAGGGGAATCGAGCACGCGACTAACACGTGATTTCTCAATGATAGGTCTGGAAGATCAACCGCGAGCGAGCTGTCGACTACCTGAACACAAGAAGCCGAATCTATGTTATTGATGGATTTGCTGGCTGGGACGAGAAGTACAGAATCAGAGTGCGAGTTGTCTGCGCCCGCGCCTACCATGCTCTCTTCATGCGCAACATGCTCATCCGCCCCTCGCGGGAGGAGCTTGAGCACTTCCAGCCCGACTACACCATCTACAATGCCGGTACTTTCCCAGCTAACCGATACACCGAAGGTATGACTTCAGGGACCTCGGTCGCTATCAACTTCGCCGAGAAGGAGATGGTCATTCTCGGTACTGAGTACGCCGGTGAGATGAAGAAGGGTGTCTTCACCGTGCTTTTCTACGAGATGCCCATCAAGCACAACGTTCTGACCCTGCACTCGTCCGCGAACGAGGGCAAGAACGGCGATGTTACCCTGTTCTTTGGTCTGTCTGGAACTGGCAAGACCACTCTGTCCGCTGACCCCAACCGAGCTCTGATTGGTGATGATGAGCACTGCTGGAGTGATCGTGGTGTCTTCAACATCGAGGGTGGTTGCTACGCAAAGTGCATTGGCCTCTCTGCCGAGAAGGAGCCCGATATTTTTGGCGCCATCCGCTTCGGATCTGTCCTAGAGAACGTTGTCTTCGACCCTGAGACTCGCACTGTCGACTACGACGATGCTACCCTCACTGAGAACACTCGATGCGCCTACCCCATTGAGTACATCTCCAACGCCAAGATCCCTTGCTTGTCGGAGAGCCACCCCAGCAACATCATCCTTCTCACATGCGATGCCCGCGGTGTTCTGCCTCCCATCTCCAAGCTGAACCGCGCCCAGACCATGTTCCACTTCATCTCCGGCTACACCTCCAAGATGGCCGGTACTGAGGATGGTGTCACCGAGCCCCAGGCCACCTTCTCCTCTTGCTTCGCCCAGCCCTTCCTTGCTCTCCACCCCATGCGCTACGCCAAGATGCTGGCTGACAAGATCGACACCCACAATGCTAACGCCTGGCTCCTCAACACCGGTTGGGTCGGTGCCGGTGCCGCCCAGGGTGGCAAGCGTTGCCCGCTCAAGTATACTCGTGCTATCCTCGACGCCATCCACTCCGGTGAGCTCGCCAAGGTCGAGTACGAGAACTACGAGGTCTTCAACCTTGCCGTCCCCAAGACTTGCCCTGGCGTCCCCTCTGAGCTGCTCAACCCCAAGGCAGCCTGGACCGCCGGCCACGACAGCTTCAACACTGAGGTTGGCAAGCTCGGCAAGCTCTTCATTGAGAACTTCAAGAAGTACGAGTCTGAGGCCACCGAGGACGTTGTCAAGGCTGGTCCCACTGTATAGAGAAGGATGCTGCAAAGCATACGGTTTTCCTTTCTCTCCCTGTCTGAAGACCTGTAATGGACACTGCCATCCGATGGCAGATGTTTTGTCTGGGAAATGTTTTTCATCTTCTACTGTTTTTCTGCGGTAAATAACTCTGTTGTTTCATCATATGGGAACGCAAGAACGGCTTAGAGCTGCACATGACAACATCAGGCCCGCGACGAGCACACGCGCTCCGAGCGAACGGCTGGATTTGGGACAAATTTAACACATCAGCGATACCAAGCCCGCAACGAGCACACGCGCTCCGAGCGATCGGCAAGACCAAGATCAAATGGGAGCTTTCATGGCAAGTAACAAAAGGTACTTTTGCCCTCCCCGGATAGTTAGCATCATGATAGGCACGAAATTGAAGAATGCATCGTATGAGCAAAATATTGTCACTCGTTTGGTAGACTTGATGTGTGTGTAATAATAGTAGATGATTCTATACACACTGAGTGACTTATATATCCCTGCGCCGATTATACTTGGTTTGATACATCTAATGCTCTAACTCCACGAAGTCTCGACATAAGCTATTACACTTCTGTCATCACTTTGATTCCTTCTTAACACAAATAATCCAGTTCAGGTACCCACACGGCCACAGATGCCTCTCCCGCCCGCTCCTAACCTCCCACCCCTCAGCACCACCCTCGGCACCGCATGTGCGCAGCAGCACCTCGACCTCCTCGGGAGTGCGCACGCGCAGGCCGGACACGATGCCGTCGAAGACGAGCACAAAGGGCAGGACGGGGACGACCCAGGCCCAGAAGAGGGTCATGGGGGAGCGCCAGGCCCAGGCGTAGTAGGGGGCGGTGAGCATGATGCCGACGCCGAAGACGAGGGTGGTGAGGAAGCCGGCGGCGGTGCGGTCGGGCAGCTCGAAGATGGCGAAGCCGCTGGAGGTCTCGAGCGTGTTGCGCAGGATGGCGCGCGCGAGGGCGTCGTCGAAGTGGTGGAAGGCGAGGTTGAAGAGGCGGAAGACCTTCTTCTTGCGGTCCCTGTCGGCTGGCGAGCGCCCTGGGCCGGTGCTGTGCTTCCGGAGCAGGTCCGGCGGCGCGTTGGCTGCGTCCACGGGCGAGGGCTCGTAGCTGATGTTGGGGCTCGCGGCGGCGGCTTTCGCCCAATCCTCGACGTGCGGGTGCAGGTCCGTCAGGACGAAGCGGACGGCGTCGACGTCTGCGCTCTTGGACAGCGAGGCCAGCTGGGCGTTGAGGCTGGCCTCGATGAAGGGCGTGGGCCCGCCCCCGCCGGCGCAGAAGTCAATGAAGACATAGTCAGTCACCGACGAGGCCAGCTTCAGACACAAGACCTGGGCGGCCATGCTGGCGGCGGACATGCGCTGCAGGACGGGCACGCGGAAGGTCCAGGCCTGGGTGAGGGCGGCCTGCACGCGGGCGCGGAACCAGGGGTGGAACCTGTGGGCTCTTTGGTCAGCGTCCTGGCATGATGATGGGGGACATCATATGGTATGATGTATTATTATATGGAATGGCCCGACTAGGCTAAAGGATGTTGCGCTGCTCACCATGGCTGGTCGTCGATCTCAAAGAGATGCATCCGGGGGATGAGCGGCGCCATTGTGATTGGATCGATGCCCGGGTGCCCGGGGCGCCTGCACGGAGCTAGAAGTTGATAATAGAGAGGGTTTATTCACTTCAAGTCAATTGAAATAGGCAACTATCGCAGAAGTTATGAAGATGTGGTCAAGTACGAATTGCACCTCTGAGTATGAGGAATTATTGGTTGAGGTCCTCACAGACGGATTTCATGTGAAGCTGAGACAGGAGCTTGGACGAGCTCCGTTGATAAAAGTGAAGAGCTGCCCCGCCACTCGCAGAGCTATCCCAGAGCTGTTTTAGAATCGACAGGGGGGTCGTGGTCCCTGCAGTGGCACTCGAGACCGCTGTGCTGTGGGTGTCGTCATGATTACCCCTGTATCATCCCGAGAGCTGATGTGTTACTGGGGGGTTTAGATAGTTAGTGTAGGGCAACCAACAGACAGCCACTGAAGTTGACCGCAAATCGAAGCTGATTCCAATCGGCCGAATTGCGCTTGGCATCAGCGCACTTTTGATTCGAGATCAATCCGGCAAGCTGCCCGAGCTTCCCACAGTTATTCATTTAACAGTGCGGTGCAGTCAGAGGCATATGCAGGCCAGACCACGAGCATGTGGCACGGGAGAGGCTGAGCCACTCTTGTCTCATTTCTTACGCACTCATCTCTCTCAACCGCGTTTAGAAGACATTCTGTAGACTCTTCACCTTCTGCAAGGTCTGACCTGATCTCACGCTCATTCACCTACGATGGTCCTGCTGAGCGGCTCCACGCCGTGGCTGATCGGAGGAGTCCTCTTATTGAGTCTAGTCTTCCGGACTCTATTTGGCGGTTCTCGGATCCGAAGAGACGGCGTCGCGTTGAAGTAAGCTTATTTGCTGCCTCGGAAAAGACACCACGTCCGCCCCGGACTCCCAGCCCCTGTCTAACCTCTTCACAGAAAGCCGCCAAACACGTTGCCATTGGTCGGCAACGGCCTGCTGTTCCTCCAGGCTCGCCAGAAGCTCTTCTCATGGTTTGTGAAATGCGAGCGGATCTTCGGCCACGAGACATTCGAGATCTCCGTGCCGACGCTGCCTCCCGGCGTGGTCATCAACGACCCCCGCAACCTCGAGTTCGTGTACAAGCACGAGGGCACCTTTGGCAAGGGCGAGTTCGTCAAGCGGCCGCTCGCGGACCTCTTCGGTAGTAATGCCCCCTTTATAGACAGACAGGAGTCTTGCGGCTGCCGCATGAGATGTTCGTTCACTGACGCTCTGGCCTAGGACATGGCATCATCAACTCGGACGGCGAGCTGTGGAGGGTCCAGCGCAGGGCGGGCATGCAGTTCCTCAACGCGGCGAATCTTAGGGTCTTGACGGATATTGCCCTGCCGCAGTATCTCGCAGACAGCATTGGCTATCTGGGGAAGCGGGCGAATGGCCAGGTCGTCGTGGATCTACAGACGGTGTTTCACGAGATCACGAGCCAATTGATGGGCAAGATGGCATATAATGTGAGTACTCGCTCTTGAATTATCATGGTAGGACTTTGCAAGGCTGATTATTGGCAGATGGAGATGCACGCGGACGACGAGTTCACAGTTGCGTTTGATTATGCGTCTGGTGGCACTGCAGAGAGGATACAAAACCCTCTTTGGTACATCACAGAGATATTCTCCGGCGCGAAGCTACGGAAGTCCATTGCAATCGTCAAGGCATACGGACAGCAAATCGTGTCAAATGCGGTGAAAGACCGTCAGCAGGGCAAGTCAAGGTCACTCACTGCCTCGGAAAACAAATTAGATGAGATTTCCGGCAGCTTGATACAGTCCTTGCTCGATTCAATAGGCGATGAATCCATGGTCGCGGATTCAGCGCTAAATTACCTATCAGCAGGTAAGCTAGATGATGTCATGTCGAGACTTCAAATTGACCGTATTCAGGACGAGATACTGTCGCCCAAGCCCTAACTTGGGTGTTCTACCTACTAATGAGACATCGGTACGCCGCCGCCAAGGTCCGCAAAGAAGTCCAAGAACTCCTGAGAGATCATGACGCATCGTTTGGATCGCAAGATGTTGATCCTACGTTGTTCAACCCCGCTGTCATGCCATACACAATGGCCGTCTTCTACGAAACGCTTAGGCTATACCCGCCCATCCCCTTCGAAATCAGACAAGCAGACCACGCAATCACCCTCCCAGACGGGACCTTCCTCCCCAAGGGCTCCGTGCTCGTGTGGTGCACGTGGGCCATGAACCGCTCCAAGATGACCTTCGGCGAGGACGCAGACGCGTTCCGGCCAGAACGGTGGCTGGTCGACGGGAGCTTCGTGTCGAAGAGCGCGTCCGAGTTCCCGACCTTCAATGGAGGCGCGAGGACGTGTCTGGGGAAGAGGATGGCCGACCTGATCGCCGTGCAGGTGATCGCTACACTGTCGTGGCTATTCGACTTCATGCCGGCCGAGGACGGGGAGCGGGTGAGCAAAAGCAGCTTGACGCTGCCGATGGAAGGGGGGCTGCCGAGCTATGTGAGGACTCGGACACATAGTATAGAACAGACATGACTTTACGAGATATCTATAGACTCTTTTGTGGTTTGTGAAAGTAAATCACAGTGCCATCGACATGAAGTAGCCTCTTCGTGCTTGTAAGGAGAATGATGGCGAATACAGTCGTACAGTATCTGATGTTGCTCCTTCTGTGGAGTGATTGATGAAGATAGAACAGCAAGTGTTGGAGCAGAGCACAGCTCGCCCATTGAATCGATCCTTAACTCAAACAATACGTACAAATGTCTGTATTACACACAAGTATATATCACAAAATGGCCCCCATGATCTGGACGTATCCAGGTTTATCCCCAAACTCCCCATGTAGTAAGCACAGATGCGTAACCAATACAAAATCTAGGCCTATTATTACCCTGATAGGACCATGTACTCCAATGCTATGATGCTTTCCCACCGCCTCCGCCACCACGGCGTTTGCCACGTGGGCGGCCTTCCCCTTCAGCAGGAGTAGTGACCGCAGGGGATCCAGCAGCTGAGTTCCCACCACCCCTTCCGCCAGCACTCTGGCCACCACCACGAGTCTTGCCGCTCCTTCCTCTGCGCCCTCTCATCGCACCCTTCTCCTCCTTCTGGGTCTCTCTCGCAACTCGACGGGCCTCTTCCTCCTGTGCCCGACGTGACTCCTGATCCCACCACTCCTGGAACGCCTGCTCCTCTTGGATCTCCTGCAGGCTGCGCTTGGCGACAGCTTCTTTGACCTTCTCCTGCTCACGCTTCTGCTGACCTATGATGTCTGCCATACTGAGACCCAAAGTAGGTTCCGTCTTCGGAGCGGGCTTGATATAAGACTTGGAATGCGGGACAAGCGGGCTAGATGCCGGCGCAGGCTGAGCCGGGGGTCTCGGGGAAGCAGAGGAGGGCACGGTTGGTGCACTAGGAGTGCGCGACTGGCCCGAGAACCGAGTGTCTGGCGAGGCTGTGCGCCTGTGCGGTGCTTTTGACGATTCAGCAGCTAGGAGAGGCTTTGGATTCGGCGGTGTAGGCAAGCCATGGGCTGTGGGAGCCTTCTCAGGGGTTGAGCTGGAATCCCGAGAGACTTTCTTCCAAGGTGCAGGCCGGGAGTCGCCAGATGGTTTCTCCCAGGCGATCTTCGCTGCCGCCGCTGCACTAGCCTGAGCTTCTTGTGATGCTTGCAGTTGCTGCTGTTTTTTGCGCTCCTTCTGAGACAACTTGGCCGGCGTAGACTTGCTCGCAACTTCCTTGACATTCTGAGCTGCTAAACCTGCTGAAAGGGCTGAGCGAGGCGGCGTCGAGTCTGCTAGGACACCTCGAAGATCAAGCTTAGAGGTGGGTAAGATAGCAGGGCCCCATGGATTACCAGGTTTAGGGGTATGAGTGCCAGGAGAAGCAGTTGGAGATCTCGACATTGCGAGGGTGGGATTTCCAGCCTGTCCGACCGATGAACTCGACAACTGTGGATGGGAAGCATGCTTGATAGATCTAGCATTTGCATCGCTCCACGACCCTGGAAGTGCAGTCATGTCTTCCGATATTGTTCGGCCATTCAGGTTCTGTGGTCGTATGGAAGGGCTATCAACTTCGGAAGCATCTTCCTCATCCATGTCAAAGATAAGATCTCCTTGAGATGCCTTTGGCCGGAGAGCTGGGCTGAATGTTTCGAGACTAGCAACCTTCGACTTCCTCCTGACTCTATCAGGAGATGATGAGAATACCGCTGTATCATCCAGGCTCCCGAACCTGGTCTTCAAGGAGGTTGAGAGCTTCCTCTCATCATCCCTTTGCGTTGCCTTGTATGCCATTTCCTTGACTCTTCGCTGTCTCTCCTCGTCAATGTCTTGGGCTAGCTCAGGATATCGCTCATGCAAAAGTAGCTCTTCCCGTCCACTCTTTGCAAATGGGTGTAGCGCAAGCTGGTTGTCTCGCACAACTTCATCTAATTCGAGCATCAAGTCTTCATCTAAGTCGTCTAGGAGATGGTTTTCCAGCATAGACTCCATCTGTAAACAGATGTACTCCAGTCCTGCGTCCTTGAACTCTGATACAGCACAGGGGCTGATCGCATTCAAATAGTGTGAGATGTTGCGCGTATTAATAAATCGTCCAATAGCCTGTTGGCAGATCTGTGAGAGTCTGTCCAACATTAGCTCGTTGGCGACGCCCATGACATCCATCACTAGATCGGAGAAATCATCCAAGCTGTCAGATACAACAGGCTCAAACAGCTCGCCGCCCATATCAGCATATAGATAGCGCAAGACGTATTTGAAAGTCTCAGGTTCGATGTGCTTCAAGTCGATCCTAACTTTCTCTGTAACCCCTTGAGCTTCGCGGCGACCTGCTAGCCAGAGACCTCGAGAGCGGCCATTGAAAAGACCCTCGAAGAAAGGGCATCGCTGACAGAGAAAGGTGCTGTGGACTGTCACCTCGGCTTCATCCAGCTCAAGTATGGCATCGCCATCATCAAAGAAACGTCGATCTTTCGTTGCGACCCTGAAGTCTTCGTCCATGGATCTTTTAGGAGTTGTCTGCATCCTGACGGCGGCTTCAAGCTTATTCATATCAAGCTTTGTGGCAACCTTCATCAAATCCGTACGTATTTGGCGATACCGGTGCGCTAAAGGAGGTGCTTGCCGCGTATAGTTCCAAGCCGGAATCACCTTGTCTTCGTATACATATAGAACCAGATTCAGTACTGCTATAAGGTCCAAGCCGGTGAAAGTTATTAAAGTCTTGCCGTGAACAGCCGTGATGCACAATGTATCCGCGACATCGAATGACCCCTTTCTGCGAAACTCGGCAAGTGCGTTGCGCAAGACTGGACACCGAGCAGATAGCAGCCAGCTATGAACTGGTATCGCCACATCTGGGACACTAGATGTGCACACTGCCGTATCAAGATCTTCGTTCTGATACTTCCAGGTTGTCAAATGGCGTTGAAGATCGGACTCAAGATCAGGAGACTTCAGCACCTCATATGCTACGGAGCCTAGACGCTCCTTGAGCATATCCACGTTCCAGAATTTCAGGGTGTCCTTGTCCTTAGTACTTGGTTCGGATGCCTCAAAATCTCGGAGACAGTTAAGTGGCGCAATGTCATCCCAGAGAGTCTGCTCGGAAATGTCAATCTGTTCTCTCATGACATCGGAGTCTTTTCGTACAGCGGCAAATGCCCCAAAGACTGAGCTTCGAACCGTTACAATCTTGGTGATACTTGGCACACGCTGGAACTTGAAGTCTTTCCGCTTGGACCCAGCGGCACCAGACACGTGTGAGTCCTTGACCTTTGCTCGCTTGACACGTCGCCAGACGGCACCCGATGCTGTACTGATGATCACCGACCCGTGCTCGCCAACATCGACAGACCTGACGCCGTCCTTGTGTGCGTTCCATATGCATTGTGGCTGCGTGACAGCACCTTTTATCTTTGAGGGATTCGTCGTGGATGTTGATGACGTCGTATCTGTCTTTTGAGTCAAGTTCATGGTGAAAAGATCTCCTCGCCCAGTCACGGCGGCTATGGTCTCCCCACCAGAGGCGATGTAGCTGATCTGATTTCTGCGCGCATCAGATCGATTGGACATTGAGACACTACTAAGACGATAATTCGTAAATGCTTCAGTAAAAGGGAATTTCACGATATTATAACCGTAGCTTGTGAAAACGACAACGGTATGATTCGCCAAGAGACATGTCGTTGCTTTATCAACTGCTGACACCATGACGATTGGTGATGAAAATAGCGAGGCCGCGACTTTTCTGGGTATCTGTTGAATCTCGAGGGATCTTGAGTCGGCATCCATCAAGGCTAGTTGTCCAATATTCTGCCCCCAGCAATATAACGATGTTCCAGTATGCGCTACAGAATGGATGGCAGATGCAGCAACTCCCAGAATCTTCTCACTCTTCAATGGGCCAAAAACTCGGCGAGGCGTAGTGCTCATAGGCTCTTCACCCTTGTCTACCGGCTCAGGGAGAGTATAACCAAGCTGTGATTGCACGTTAGAGCCCCATGTCCAGAGTTCACCAGAGTCAGTAACAGCCATGGAATGATTCTGGCCCAGCGCCACCTGCACGACTTTCTTGTTCGTCAGGCCACCTTGAACAGGAGTGTAAACAAATCGAGTGTTTTCGTCACCGAGACCAAGCCGGCCGCCACGCCCAATACCGCAAACGTAGAGATTCGAGATCGGATCCGTAGTCAATATGGCACTGTGGAGCTTTGACAACACAACGTCATGTATCAAAAGCGGGCGATTCCGTACCAGTGTAGGGATGTCATCGATGTCTAGAGACCTTGGACCTGACATATCGTGCTGCGTGCTGTCCAGATATTCATCGTAGAACCTCTGCAGAAGATGATCTGGCCGCTGTAGATAGACGCGTTCCGGATACTGTCGATCGTCCTCGTCGCCTAGTCCCAGTGATAGATTCTTGTTGCTTCCGAAAGCGAATAGCTCGTCACCATTAACGAGGGCTTGCAGTCTATCACTGCTCGTTGGAAGATCTAGCGCCAACGCGACATCTTCGCCATCAGAAACGTCTTCTGCTTCCTCCGTCTCGTCAAGAGCTTTCAGGTCTCGTTCGCCAATTGTAGAATTATAGAGATCAAAGGGACTGTTGCCCTCATGGTCCTTCGTCTTGATCAGAAGTCCAACTTTGGCGATCGATGCGCCCACAGTCTGTCCTTTTATGTCCTTGCGTTCTTTCTCCAGCAGCAGCCGAGCGATTGAGATATTCCCAGTATATAGCGCGCGATGTAGTGCATTCCAGCCACTCTCGGGGTCTTGCGCGTAAAGATCTATGGCGGGATGATCAATCAAGGCTTGGACAAATGCGATCGCATTCTCCGAAGTCGAGGAAGCCGCGCGCAACAAGATAGTCAGTCCGGCATGGTCGCGGCTGTTCACTTCGGCGCGTCCTAAGGCATTCGACCCAGACTTTGCGTTACCAAAGCCTGCGCCAAAGCCCGAAGACTTGCGCGATTTGGTGGCTCGTGGGGAGGTCCCGAACGCGCCGGGACTCCCCCCTCCAGTCCCTAGATTGGGGCTCCTCGTGGCGGCTTGCGCATTGTAGCCGGCGGGGGCAAGCAGGCGTCGAAATTTCTCGACATCGTCTTCCCAGTAGGATTTCCAGAGTAGGTGACTCATTAGTTGCTCGAAACGGACGGCGAAGGCCCCGGGCGGACGTCTCTCTTCACCACTTCGAATAGCACCTCGCTGTGAGCCTCGATGCGGGTCACGGCGTGTTTAAAGGTGCGTATTGGAAGCGCAAAAAGAGAGTCCCGAAGGAGAGGAGGAGAATCTCGACGATAAGTATCGGCGGATCAGTGGTGCGGCGTAGGGTTTCCAAGGAAGTGGGAAAATTGCCACTTAAAGACGGGTCGAGATAGCAGTGCTTTGGGTTCACTTTGTATGGTCGCAGTTCGATAGCTAGTTCGAGAAGAAACTGCGAAGCGCGCGCTTTACGATGGCGAGGATACGATGGTTGTATATGGGCGGTTGATGGAGTCTTGGAGCTGGAATGGAGAGGGGGTGTTGGACGCCGTGGTTAATTGCTGAAGAGTAAGCTACCTACTATCTAAGTCTGTGTGCGTGTCACTATCGCGCCTGCCCTCATCATCCCAAAGAGCGCCAAATTCCGGGCAGGAACGTGGATGGAGGGGCACAAGGTTCCTCTAACTCCGGCGAATCAGGACCCGAGTTTTACCGGTGTGCTGGATCTCTCCTTCCCGAATGACTGAACAGACCCGGAGACTAACATCAGAGCTAGAATCAAATTGAGTTACTCTACGTATTTGGCGCTCAATTGAATCTTGGTGTATCTTGAGGCATCAATATGATCAATCGTCGGAGGGTCTCATTATGTAAGTTGCAACGAGGATAGCTCATAACATGCTGGTCTGGGGAGAGAAGCTGTGCTACGAGGCAGTTAATTAGTTACTCGAGAAGAGCGAACGCTTTGATACGCTGTGTGGGGACCGGACCATTCGCCCCGCCTTCTGTCCGCTACCGTTAACTATCAACATTCTGCCGGCATTTGTGTCGCGACCGATCCACCTAAATCATTTCTACTCATAGAACATCATACATACTCACCTCGTCCCTACTCCTCCGCCAAGGCAATAAACATTAATTCTTGAAGAGTAAAAATACTCACCAGAAAGATGAATGTTAATTGAGACCGTTTTATCGTATTAAAGTGGTTACTGTTAAGAGAGGCAATGGTACTATGTCTTGTTGTATATGTTGTTGTGTATTGGACAGAGTGATCTGGGCCGAATATGAGCAAATGAATCGACAGTTCTGTTTATTACTATGAGTCTATCAACTCCTGTAAGGTAGTAATCCCTTCTTCAAGAACAGATATGTTGTTAATCACACTGCCTTGCTGGTTTGAAGACTTGCGGCCTACGTTGTTCTATATATTGCTTAGATTATTGTTGGCCTGTCAGCTTGACATTAGATCAACATGCTTTAGTGAACTTGACGCTCGCCATGCTGTCCTTGATAAGCCATATGGTTCACAGCTCTTAATATGACCCCCAATTGAGATGGTAATGAATCAGTGTACATTTTTAAACCTGTCGAGATACGATGGCATTCTTGTCACGCCAGATGACCTCGGTCTCCGCATTCGGAATGGCGATGTTGAAGCAGCTATCTCATCATCCATTGACCAAGGACCACATCCATCGCATCAGCCAAGCGATGCTCAACTGTCAAGCACGACAGACAGGCAACACAGTGTTACGAAGGCCTGGGCGAGTGGAACGAAGCTTGCTGCGCACCAACGTGGCTGCCCAAGACACCTTGCACCGGTACACACGCACACAGAGACAGATCGGACTGCTTCCGGTGTGCAGGCGGCACAAGAAGGAGAGGCTGTCAAAGGCTCGTTGGACGACCGTGAACGGGTCCTCTGTGTTTCCCAAGATCGTCGTAGATCGAAAGGCCGCCCCGGCGCCCCAGAGCAGGGGCTAGCTTCCGATACGGCACGGGGGTTTATTGTATGCGGTTCCAGCTCGCTACTGGAGCTTGCTAGACTCGTTCTCCACGTAGAGGCTCTTGTGTCGCGGCTTCAATTGCATGCATCGAGCTGCGTTAGATGCGCTGTGACTTGTCGCCACAGAATCCCCTGCGACCTGCATCTTGACCTGCGTCTCGCATCTTATCAATTCTCGGTTTTTCCTTCGCCAGATAAGGTGAGATGGAGCTCCATGGTCAAGAGCCGTCTCCCACGTCTCCCACGTCTCCGGTGAAAGCCGACCTGCAGGACCACACACCCTCCACTGCCAGGAGGTGTGGTGGACTGGATGACTCAGCAGATATCACCAATGATGTGCCACAGATTCGACGGAGGCGTGTCTATGCGGTGGAGCTCTCTGTTGAGCTATCAGTTCATATCCGACAAGTTGTCTGGACTCTTTCAGGGCAAATCCGGAGCCAAACATGGTGGCAGCAGCAGTGCAGCGGCCTGTATGCAGTAGAACGTATGACGATGCCGCCGGGCTGTTTAGAAACGTTTTTGGGTGCTCCATCTCTGGTTTGTGCCTACCAAGTGACCATTCACTGCGAACACCTCCTCTGCCAAGGGTGATAAATGTTAGTTGCGCAAGGATAGCATAACCTCCTCAACAAGAGATTACTACCTACCTACCTAGGTAGTAAGGACCTCTATAGAAGTTGATAGACGTCGAGTGACAAACGGCACCTTTAAGCTCTTGACGAGTGTTACGACTCTCAACATTGAGTATCTGCTCTTCACGAATTAATGTTTATTATTATTACCCTGGTGGAGGAGACAACCTCTCAACCAATCTGGCCGTTGACAGGGTGGCTGACTGCGCCCAGTGAATGCACGCCCATGGACGGGAGCACACCATCACTGCAACAGGAGGTCATCCAGTGGACCACTGGTCCTGCATACCAAACCCTAGCCAACGTGAAGAGCTCGCAGAGTCAGTCCTGCAGCTGCTCTCTTTTCTTTTTCCTTTCCTCACAAACTCACTTACTTTATTTCAATTCACCTTACCTCTGAGGTCGTCTCTTCATTTTCGGTCAATCTTTGAGCATTTGTGCAATTACACCTCCAAAACAGAGTTCTAGCATCATAGAGCAAAGACGCCATTTGGGGCGGCACATCTTCGATCTGCTCCGTGCTTTACCCCATTTTTTGGCGTGTGTCTCAGAAACACTCGTTTCTATTACCTTGCTAGGCCTTGCTGGGATAAGGTGTTCCTTGTAGGGTTCCGATAGGGAGAGTCAGTGCCCTGCTTTGGGATGACGAAAGAGAGCCGCCGGCGATCACGAGTCGCTCCTCTCTTACCTGCTGATGCTCTGCTTTGGGTGCTCACTGGCCTAATCCGACTCTGATCCTGGTCCTGATCCTGCTGGTGCTGTGCTGGTGTCGTCCCCTACCGGAATGCCGCTTTTCGCTTGAACGCTGCATTGGTAGCAAGGCGAAATCCGACTTGACTCGATAGACCGACAGACCAGAGCATCATCCATCATCCACCATCCATCCCGACAACCTTGACGGCCCAGATCCCGAGATCCACTTCCGCAAGGAGGTATCCACCGCAAACCACCTGCCCTGCACTGCATTGTCACTGTCAATGTCAATGTCACCGTCAGCTCTCTAGTCTTGTAGTCACGCTTCCTCGTGCTCATCCCGTTCATTGCCTTACCTTACTTTGCCATACCGTACCTTACCATACCATACCACCTCTTTCCTCCCTCGACCGTATCCTCCTCGGCGATCCTGCTTCCACATAGCACATTTGCTTGTCTATATCGAATCAACGCCACAACCAGGTTATCCGAGCCCAGGCACCACCTAGAATTATGCCTGCCGCCGCTTGACAAGCTAGCCCGGAAGAAACAGCCCTGCTGATTGCTGCGCTGAGGCCCTGTTGAGCCTCCCGCCGTTGCCTACCCTCGACGAGCCAACCATCACTCGAGCTCTCCTGGTTACCCCAGAGCCGCCGTTTACCTGCATGGGCAACACCTCTCAATTCTGCCTTGGGGCTCAAATATCGACTTGCCCTCCAGAACGTGTAACAATGGATGCAGATGTCCGGTGGATTCGACTGCCTACCATCTAGAACCCCCAAATCCACACGACCCGCTGTTAAGCGCCGCGAAACAACGAGCGTCCCTCTCCCGTTCCCTACGTCGTCTTGGGCGGGGTTGGCGAACGGTCGCCCGTATCAAGCATTTCCTTGCTTCCTTTCATTCTGGCTCAGAGACCCTTTTAGCTACCGGTTGTTAGACTGCGCATACCGGCATCACAATGCATCAGCAGTCACGGCACCCGCCGAGGGTGTCTTCGCCCGCCTCGTCGCCCCAGACAAATCCCACACGAACGAACAACCCGAGAGAAAACATTGGGGGGCACGTAAGGACGGGTTCAGAGGCTACTTCGAGGCAAGAAGCTACGGGCACGCCGGAGAGTGGAGAGGCATCCTCATCCTCTGGACCTAGTCGCGAGTCTATCAAGAAGCTGGACCAGATTGTCCAGGTAAGATGCATCATCGTGACCGATAGCTCTTTAGATCGCTAACTTGAGCTCAGAACTTCCATCTAAAAGCTGCTGTCGTCATTTTACAGTCTAGGATAAACACCACACCATCTGCGGGATCGAAGAAGTCTGACGGTAAGAAAGTCAACAAATGGGTAAGCGTCATGATCCCGCCTGTTGGATATGGTGTTAATACTGCATAGTTCCAATTAGAGACCGATGATATCGACGACTTTCGAGACGAGCTACGGACATGGAAGACCTGTGGAAGCTTCGAAAATCGACCGCCTCCCCTTATAATAGAAACATACCTCGACGCCTCCCGACTGTCCCCCAGCCAGAGTCTTGTCATAGTGGACGACAATGGCAAGAGATGGGATGTCGTCGAGGCTCTCAACAACTCCGAATCATCTAGCGATGACAGCTCGCCTAGAATGCGCAAGCGAAACACCGAGGTGATCCTGGAACGCTGGAGAATAGAGCTCCGAACCCCTACGAACGAGAGCAATGAAGACTTTGGTGCCACTCTCCCAACCATATATAAGCGCAGCATTGTATTCTTCAGATCCCTATTCGTTGCGACTCGATTTATGCCGGCCTGGAAGTTCTCACAGCAAGCAATGACAAAGAGCTCGCATCCGTCATTGGAGGTAAGGTGCCGAATCTTGACGAGCGAGACCGATGCCCATGGATATGACCCCCTGCGGCAACCTCTCTATGATGGCAGGGAGGTGGTTACAGACTATCTATTTGGCGACTTGGAAGTGCCTGTCGGCCGGTTCCTCGCGTCAGTGAGCTACCGAAATGACTGCAACTTCCGCGTTGATGACTCGGAAGCTCTGCTCAGCTCAAGGTTTATGGGCGTAGATGAGAATTACTTTAGGCCTTCTTTACCACAAAGAGCCGAGGGAGGACGACGTGATTCGTACGCTGAGGTTGGCTCTTTACCGGCTCATCGTCATGGCAAAGGGCTGCAGGACCAGCAACAAACGTATGGAAGTTTGTCTACCTTTCACGGCGCCGGTCCTCTGGGAACAAGCCCAATCTCGGCTTTGAAGGCCGTCAAGCCGATCGGGTCAGATACCAGCTCTCCACCGGAATCTGCACCAGCAAGTGTTGAGCCTGATCCGCCACATTCGATGCCCATATCTGGTCACTCATCAAGACGGTCTTTACGGAGCTTAGAAGGCATGGGGCGACGGCCATCCGTGTCGTTTCAGCCCTTCAAGGCCGGATCGCTTTCCGGATCGCCGAGGATACCAGACGTAGATGCGCCCTCTTCGCCGCAATCGATTCAGAGGCCATCTGGTCTAAGCGCTTTAGCTCAAGCCAGGAACAGGAATTCCCTTACGGCCGGCATGGCAGCTTCACTTAGGGGTGGACCACCTGCCGGTGAGATTCCCATGGCCAGCTCTCCCAAGCCTACTGTGACAAGTCGATACAGTAGTAGCTTTACGCACCGAAGAGGGCGACCATCATTCGGTGGCACAAGCAAGACCGGAGATGACGATCAGGTCAGCAGTGGAAAGCAGAGCCTCTCATCTTCGGTGGCGCAACCTGGATCCGGCCTCCTTGCAGAAGCTGGCGGTGCTAGCTCGGGCTCTTTCCAAACTGACGATGATAGTATATCGGACTTCTTAAAAGTGCTCGACAGCCGTAAGACGCTGCAGAGCTTTGAGCCCAATAAGAAGGGTGAATCAGCAACCAAGCGGACAGTTGCCCAACTGTCGAAATTCCAGCTCATGCGCGAATCGAATAATGCTTTGACTGAGTCTATGACCTCGTCAATGCATCTACATCGATCCTCCAGCTCGTCAAGTCGTCAGCTAGCTAGCGTACCTGGTATGGTCGCTCCGGCGTCCATTTCGGCAGGGTCATCGCCCGGAAAGCCTCTTTCACCTCACACGCCGCATACGCCCGCCATTCCGTCGAGACTTAGCGAGAACTCGATCATTGACTATCAGGCTCAAGCCCAAGCTGCCCGTAGAGCTGCCCGGGCCACTGCTGAGGCTGCTACAACGGAAGAAGAGGGCTCAGACGGCGTCCAGGCGATTGATATTCCGTTGTCACCACGCCTGTTGCAGACCAATCGCCGGTCGAGCTCCGTTGCTCAACAGCATCGCTCGTTGATCGATGATGAGGATACCGATCTGCCATATACTACTCATCGAAGCATTAGTCTTGGCGCAGATGAGCGGGAGCCACCCACCTTAAGTACTCTGCTCAATATGGAGCGAGATTCAGGGGGTGAGACTCCCGCCCTCCAGCCTCCGGCCGATATCCGTGCATCTGCAGCTCCACGCTCGTCCAGCTCTGCAGAACAAGATAAGAATCCGCCTTCAGGCTTGTTATCTGCACCATCGTCGAGTTCTCCGTATCGTCTCCGGTACCAGAGTAACCGGGGCAGACCAACGCCACCACAGTCATCTCGAGGCAGCTTCGTGGGCTCTTCCAGTGGGCGCTACCCTCTCAACCGGGGTGAGAACGAGGCTGATGAGGAGCCATTGCTCTTCGAGTTGAGCGAACTTGGTCGAGAACTTGGGCGCAGGAGTCTCGAGGAGGGACGTGGGGGTGGTAGCGCCGGCAGCGGCTCAGCCGAGCGTGGTGGCTTCGAGTCCAGGGGCTCAAAGAGAGGCGGATGGTAAACCTCCATTGTTGGGAAGCTAAATTTGCAAATTATACAGACTGGATGACACGATTGGGTGCGAAAGGGATACCAGACTGAAATCATGGTGCCAGGGGTATACCCGGACCTTTGGATTGAACAGAGGTGGGATGGGATCAACTGGCACCCAATTGCTTAGGATAAAGGGACGGCGTTTCTTGGAGAAGTTCATGAGAGCGGGCGATGTCCTAGGGATTTTTGTATTAACTTGGCTCTTCATTAGAACGGCTGGACATTGGGATATTCTTGTCTCGGCATTATAGCCTGCGCCGGACGTGACTTGTTAAGTGTCATTGAGGAAGGCATGACCAAAGTAGATTATCAACTTATTCAAATTATCAAAATCTTCTTCTGGCTCATAGTGATACCTAGGCAAGAGCCGAACTCTCCAATTGCAGGCAAGGACGTCTTGGTAAGCAGGCTCCCTGAAAACTATATAAGAAACCCTTTTCTCCCCCCTTTTAAAACTATTTCTCCTCCTACAACACCATCCACGCCTCAGGCCCAGCCTACACTGCCCCAAATACCTTACGCATGCACTTCATGCCTACTCATTCATCATTGACTAACTATTTAGCATCCTAAATAATTATATCGCTCCAAGTATTCAAGTAACGAGGACGTGGCCGCGCTGTTTTGCTGCGGTGACGACGACCTTTATCCTCCCTCCGAACTCACAAAAGATTGCCATTTCCCAAACCAACTTCTATACAACAACCACATCCTGTCCTTGGCAAACTCCTACGATACGCAATAAGTTTTTGCCTTTCCTTCTACTTTTTCTCTTCTTTTCTATGCAATTTGCTCGCAAATCCGTCTCATTTCCTGAAACTCTCCACTTTCTTAAACATTGCGGAAACACGCGCTGCCTCCGGAGTCTCTTACAGCGACTCCAAACTTACACAGGAAGGCGCCTATCACAGTATACCTTAGAGTACACAACGAGGCTTTAGCCACAAGCACACACAATTTCTTTTCCTTTCTCTCTCTATTTCTTCCATTTTCTTTCTTTACTTCCTTTTCTTTCAGTCCATGCTCTTATTCTTCAGGAAACATTTCTTTCTAAGCGTCTACTATCTTAACCTACTCCTGTCATCACGAAAACTTCCATCGGGCGATCATGGACAGCGCAAGTGAGTCTCGTAGGGAGACGTCAGAAAGCATGTTCCTGCCTTTAGACTCTCCACCAGCCGAGAATGCTGCTCCACAGGCCGAGGTAAGAGCGGTCGAAGACAATAGCCCCGAACGGGGAAGCTCGGAAGCGCCCATAATGGTTGAGGATGATGAGCCTGAAGCTGAAGAAGGCGCGGCTAACAACAATGATTCGGAGCCCCAGGGCCCAGGGAGCGGGAGTGACGATCCCGAGGAGGAAGCTGAGGTCGACGGGCGCAGGAACGATGATTACCAGGTTGAGCAGAGCCGCGTATCATCCCAACAGCAAGATCCCGAGGGCGCCTGTCCGAACAAGCAATGTGCAAACATCCAGCAGATGCTCCTTGAGCGAATCGCCGAACTAGAGAGGCAGCGAGCCGAAAAGGACGCTGCGCACAGCGTTGAGATCCGCGAGCTGAAGAGAAAGCTCAGAAAGAGCCCAGAGCCTATCAGCGAGAGTGATAAGCTGATCAAAGACCAGAGGGCGCAGATTGATGAGCAGAAGAAGACCATCAAGAAACAGGAGAGAGACCACCTGAGGAAGGACAACATCATTAAACAGCAAGAAAAGGATATTTTGAAGAAGTCAAAGAGAATCGAGGCTCTCATAGAGAGACTTGGTAGAAAACCTGGTGTCAAGAACCTAAAAACTCGGATCGTGAGTCTATGATTTCGAGTATTTTGACAGGATACTTATCTTTCTTATAGACATGGCCAAAGGAGCTCAGAAAGTTCTTAGCTGGCACAAGCAAAGTACCATACGAAGAGATCTGGAAGCTTTCGAACAAAGAAGAGAACATGAGCATGAAGCTTGAAAAGGTGCACCCAAATATACGCTTTATTGCACCAAGAAAGGGTGACATTATCCGAGCTCGCTGCCGCCGGGACAGATGGAAATCAACCACCAATAGAGACACCAATAGTTCTACTATGAGAAGCCCTTTCTATACGCATAGTTCTCTGTCCAGACACAGGTACAGAACACTAATGAGCACATCATATCCACAGAGATGGCATCAAGTCAGACCTCTGAAGCTCCTGGAATGGCGTAAGCTAAGACCATTCATCTTTGACGAGCTTCCCGCTGAAGCTCAGAGCCGCATATTCGAGGAATGCCTCTACAAGCGACATATCATTCACTGCATCAGCCGTCTGGATCCATTTGTCCCGCCTGAGAATGCCCGATTGATCCACCGATTTCACTGGGGACCTCGAAAATGCAGCCTTACATATGCATATCGAGGCCGCCAGGTTCTGAGCATCCTTCAGGTATGCAAACGCTGGTACTTTCTGGGTACTCATGCTTTTTATGGAACCAATTCTTTTGGTTTCAGTTCGCTGGGAGAACTCAATAGATTTTTCAATGGAATTGGCCCAGAGAGAGCTAGCAGAGTCCAACACGTTGAGATTACATGGGTTGGCAGCCAGAATGTCACCTTTGAAAAGCAGAAAGAGAATGGCAAGGAGAAGACGTTGTCTCTCCGGACGGCGCCACTTCTTTGGCTGGCCGAGCTCCTACGCTTGAAGACTTTGACCATCCACATCGATGAGTCTTCAGAGAAAGTTATGCGAAGGCCCTATGAGCCGAGGAGCTTGATCAGCTGCATGAAGACGTTGACTCAGACACAGCCGAACTACCGCCTCTTCCGTGCTCTCAGAAATGTTCATGGGATGGATTACGTATATGATCTACGGGGTCTTCGCTGGGTTCACGTCTATGATTTGTAGGTTCTTATCATTGCTATACCGTAGTAACAATATGCTAACATGATGTCTAGGCGTCCTGTGATCGAGGATGATGACCATGTTCGAAAAGACGTTCGAGACACATCATTCGTAATAGATGTGAATCGAGTCACTCAGATGGAGAAGCTCCCTCTCGATCTCCATGACAGCAAATTGGAGAATCTACCACCTCTCTCGCGTGGATAGAGACCACGCAAGATCGATTTCGATATCATTGATGCATACTATGAAAAAGACCCATCCTTTGATACGCGCTCCAATGATCTTGATCACGAGGTTCGAATTATTGGTCCGAACGTAGGGTCAGGATCTTGCCCAAATCGACGACGTGCACGTTGTCGACCTCCCCGTCGTGCTCCTCCTAGCCCGGCTCCTCGACATGTTCCAGATCCATCACCCAGTAACGATTCAAGTTCCGATTCTGAAAGCTCTAGCAGTTCCTCGAATCTTCCCAGCGACTATGGTGACGGAGTGCATTCTATGGCTGGCTCATCAGGAGCATCTGATAACCATGAGCAAGACTATGTTATGTCGTCCATCTAGAATGTGGATGATGAGGCAGCTCTTCCATCAGAGATCATCGAGATATCCAGTGACAGCGACGACCACGATATGATTGAGGACGAGTTTAGTTCTCCAGAACATGAGCAGCCTTTCGCACGCGAGTCAACATCGCGAGGTCGCCAAACCGTCAGTGAGGGCATGTTCGTCACGCCCAACCCGGACGAGAGGCGTGGAAGCACGCAGTCATTGCCTCCTAGCACCGTGATAGACCTAACTGTCGATGGAGGAAACGGTGTGGCAGTGGCACGAGGCGTGAAACGCTCTCGTTCCGTTGATGATGATTCGCGAAACAGTAAACGCCAACAAACAGGGATGGAATTCAGAGGCTTTTTCCCACCATGTCCCCCCAATTCTCATTGATACTTGCAATGAATAGTTGCTCACCTGGTTAGCACCACGTATCTTTTTAGCTTAGCTGTTAAAACCACGATTCCATTACACATCACAGCACCACGACGCTTATCCCTTAGATAGTCACTACACGCATTTCCCATAAATATTAGGTCCATAGGTGACTAAATCAATTACTACTCAACCCCCTTAAAAGATCTTTGGAAAAAACTTTGGTGTGTTCTTCTTGTAATCTTGGTAATCCTTTCTGTCTCCAAAGCGCTTATCGTACTTAGACTCACTCAGGGGTATGCCACTGACCTTTACCAGCAAAAAGGTAGTGAACGCCGGGCTGATAAGGGGAACAGCCAACGCAGTAAGTTGGCCAGCAAAGCCACCGTTTAGTCGGAGAGCAGCTTGGACGGGTCCAGAAATCAGTACACCTGCAGCCGTTGTGGCGATACCTGTCCAAAGAGTCGCTTCGCCAAAGTAGTTTGGGAATTGACTATTACAGTATTAGCTATTGGAAGCAGGAGGATATTGGGATAAGATACTCACCTTCGACTCCACAGTCCCCGAGTCATAAATTCCTCGTCATGGACTTTGGCTTTCTTTTCTTTCATCCATTGAGATTTCTGTCGATCTGCAATCACTTCAAAAGCGAAGCCTCCTATCCACAGGGACAGGCCCAGCACATCAGTTACCTTGAGCCCAGGAATAGCTGCAAAGGCAGAAGATGGAACTGCGTTCAAAGCTACTACTGGCAGGGTAATAAGCGAACACCATGTTGCCTGGGCCATCCAGGCGGCGAAGAACTTGGGTGGGGATTTCTTCATCTCATCAAAACGGGAGTCCTTGCCCTCGCTGAGAACTCTTTGGAAAAGATATGTTCCCAATCGAGCTGCCCAAAATACCACGGCGCCAGTGAGTACAACCTGTCTCCAATTCAGCCCAGCCTTCTCTGGGGTTGTAAACGACTCAAGCAGGCTTGGAAGGGATTTGCTGGCCCTGGCTGACCCTCCGGCATATTTCGCTCTCAAAGATGGTAGATATAAGCTCAGAGTTACAACTCCAATATTTGTGAGGGCGCCCGAGAAATCGTAGAAGCGCTCAGACTGTGCGAAGACCGAGGGAATTGCGAACGCAGTCTGAATGGCGAAGGCTGCGGATACACAGGGAACAACTGTCCGCAACAGCGGGCTGCTGAAGCTCGTTATGTGAAGAAAGCGCTGAAAGAGGCTCATTTTTCTCAAAGTGGTATATGATAGTCCAAAACCGAGTGCTGTGCTGAGAGAATGCCTGGTGGTGGTTATAATTATGTTCGTTAATTTGCTTGCTAAGTTGTAATGATGGATACAAGTCGTGACGACATCGAAGTCAAGACAGAATGCGAGGCTCCTTCAACGCACTGTTTGTTACCCCACATGAAACATGCCGCTCGGATGCTGCAATACTGAAGAGGCCGAAAGTAATTGAGGCCCCAACAGCCCTTATTAAGCCCGAATCGCTTGGGTCAGCAATTTTTTGGTCAATGAACTCAGTCATAGAGCTTGTGAATTCATTCCTATAACTGAATTACCAGCTGCGCCGGAGCTCTCCGCCCTTGACTCGTTAACATGTCTCGATCCCAACCACGTAAATCAACAACACAGATCAGGGCAAATGAAAGCTTTCCCGGCGATTTTTAGACCTAATTGCAAACCAATTTTCCACCTCAACATGCCCCGGGTGCGAGTCATGTGTGCTGCACATAACTTCCGGCATGATCATAACTTCTTGGTATTTTGCTGCTCTGGAGGAGTAGCGCTGTTTTATCATCAGGTAAGCCTCCTAGCTGACATTTGGTGGTAGTTAACCTGTTCTGACGACCTGTGACTTTGCCAAACACTCGGATTCTCGACTTCGTCTTCTATGTCCTATTTCTGTCGAGTTGTGCCGTCAGGTTCACATTGGTAGACAACTTCATGAACCGCACTCCTCGAGCTTTTGCTTGCCATTAGACAAGAGCCCTACTTTTGCTTTCTGCTGAGCATTATCTTCTCGAACTCTGCCTCATTAACACCTCCTCTACCTTCCGTATCAAACTCGTCGATCATCGCCGCCAACTCGCTCTCGTCCATTGACTGTCCGATTTCATTCATAACCCTTCGGAGATCTTCTTGGGTAATAAGCCCCGAGTTAGAAATATCGAAAAGTTTAAAAGCCCTGGAAACCTCCTGCCGGGGATCTCTGTTGTAAACCAATGTCCCGGCTATGCCCTGCCATATCGGAAGCGTGAACTCCAACCAAGGTGGACTACAGGGTCCACGCTTTGGGTCCCAGTCTACCGGTGGGATGCCATATCGGGCAAGATATGGGTAGGTCTCTGATTTAGGCAGCTCGAAGCCAAGGGCTCGTAAACAAAAGCGAAACTCTTGGTAGTCCTGACGTCCTGATTTGCGGATATCGAAGACATTGAACTGTATGAAGATTAGCTGGGGTTATTTTGACTGCAGAAGTCGCGGACCTACGACATCGTTAATCTGCTCTTGCTGCCGAGCGTCTAATTTCAAGAAGTCTTCTCTAGACGGAGCGCCGTGTGCCGGTAGACTGCCGACGTTTCTGGACATCATCGCGGCGCGGAAGACCTTGTATAAAGATTATACGAGTGAACTGTCGAGGTTCTAATGTTTGGAATCGTGTTGCGAAAGAGGTGAGCTCAGATAGGTTCGGATGAAAAGGAGAATGCGCATTGGCTTGGTTTTGCCAGGTTGATGAGCTGGAAGAGGCCGATGGGATTGACAATGGTCAAGAAGATATTGCGCTTGAGCTTGCGGGACGAGTAGACCTTCGTCGTCTGCTGACAAGCATGTTGCTGCAAGCTGCAGCTTGTCAACAAGATAGACGCCTTCTGTAAGAAACTCTGTAAGAAACTCGACTTGACTTGGGGTGTTGTTGAATAAACTGACTCTCTTTTCCAATCGACTCGACGACCGGCTTCGAGAATTCCAAGCAAACGCGCTCGCGTCACCCAGGGAGTGGTAACGGGAGCCAATTTAAAGTGGGTCGATGATTGCTGGCGCCAATTGCCCCTCCAAATATGCAGGGTATCCCTGCTCCCTGCAAATCCCATCCAATGATAGCCACCTAGCAGACCCATACCCAGTTTTGCAAAGATGTGGATGAGACCTTAACGTTATCGCAACCTATTATTTTTTAGCCTCAATTGTGCCTTGAGCAGAATTACTGCCACAACTAAATCTACCCAGGATGCCCAAACGGAAGCGATCTATTGAGGATGAGCTGGAGGAGAGGCTCGCAAAATGGAGGAAAGATCTGTTTCGAGTACTGAAAGTCGCGAAGGGCTTCGAGCGACAGCGACTAGCAAAAAGAATACGAGACGACAAGTCAACACCCGACAAGATCTCCAGACTGGAAAGAGAGGTCGTAGTGTTGAAAGTATGTGCTTTGAGCTACCCCATCCTCTGACAGGAACCGATGTACTGACTTCTTTGATTCCCAGTCCTTAGACCTCCAACAGACAGCAAATACACACCTGTGCTCCGCACTGTTGCGAATCAAGGCAGTGGCCGAGTCGCCCAAGCTTCCAGAAGACGTAAAGACTGGCGTCTCGAAACCCGATATTTCAGAAGAAGAACGTACTGCGCTGCATAATGTCACCAGCGCTCTCTATAATCGTAGTCAGGTAAAGGAGGTTCTCGACCAGGCTGTTGCAGACATATGCGCGATACTACGAGTTCCGCCTCCCGACAAGAAGAGCAAGGGCAAGAAAGGCGAGAAGAAAACCTCTACGGACAGCCGACTAAAGGAAGACAAGGCTGTCGAGAAGAGTTTACCAAAGAAGCAGGTGGAGCGAGAAGGCTCCTGGTCAGGCGAGGAGGAGGACGAGTTCGAGGGCTTCGACGATGAGATTGATGGAGCAGACATAGAAGATGGCGAGCAGTCTGACTCAGATGCACAGGAATTCTCCAATGAGGAAGCATCAGGGGATATATCAAGCGGCAAAGAAGAGGAGGCAGTCGACCGTTGGGAGGCTATGCTAGGTAGCGGCTCCTCAGACTCCGACGAAGAGGACGATGCGGAGGACGATGATGATAAATCTGCCGCTTCAGACGATGCCTCGGCTTCAGCGTCCCCGCCACGGAAAGTTGCACGCGCAAAGGCCAGCAAGAACACCAAGCCTACTGGTGCCGATTCATTATTTCTGCCATCACTGATGGGTGGCTACATTTCGGGTTCCGAGTCAGCGTCTGATGTCGATGTTGCACCGCCGGCCCGTAAAAACAGAAGAGGTCAGCGTGCGAGACAGGCCCTGAGCGAGTTGAAGTATAAGGATAAAGCCAAGCATCTCGAAAAAGCTAAGAAGGGCAGAGATGCTGGATGGGATAATAAAAGAGGTGCTGTGGGTAGTGACAATGGGCGACCTTGGAAAAACGGCATACACAATCCTCTTGACAGAGCCGCCAATAACGGAGGCGATGCAGCATTTGACAGACCCAAGCGAACGGCGCCGCCACCGAAGAAAGATAATGAGGGACCTCTCCATCCCAGTTGGGAGGCGAAGAAAAAGGCAAAAGAAATGCAAAAGACGGCAACCTTCCAAGGCAAGAAAATTTCGTTCGATTGATAGCCTCGAGAGGTCAAACACAATTGAAACTTCATTGCTCGGATGCATAAAAATTCATTCTTGACAACTTTGAAGTCACCGTTTCCTCCTTTTTCAACCAGTGATCTCTATGTCATGCATCTATACTTCAGACCTTACAAGCTTTAGGCACGTGAGAGGATCGATATTCACGGCTCACACTTCAATGGTTTGGCGAGTTTGACTGTCCTTGACAGAGCTATGCTCAGCCAGGCTGTCTACTAGAAAAACCCTTCGAGGATTAACACGCACACTATTCATTATCACCATTGCTAATCGGGCCACGGATCTTTTCATCACATTAGGCCACTGATTGAACAACTAGCTCTGAAAAGCTGTAGATAGACTGTGAGTACATATTTTGAGTTTAAAACTAAATAATCATCACGCTGTGAAAAATCTTCGAGAATAGAAAGAATATCCTCACACAGTTTCACGAATAAAGCTCAGCAGTAGCAGAAGCTGTGGTGAAATATGTCATGTAAGTTGTTATCGACTGTTAAGCGCTGTGACCTTAACCCTGTGTACCCCCGCCGGATGTGGCTAACCTGCAGCGTTAAGTGCGGCGAAGTGGGCCTCCGTTGCCTGGAGAGACAGACATGCACTAAAGAGTGGCCGTAGTGCACCATCTAAATTATGTCATTGTAAACACAAAGCAATTTGTTCTGCATCAACGGCCACATCAGGTGGAGACTGCACTCTTTATACAGTCGCCTGGAGACGCGAGACAGGGTTTCTCTTATACGCGTTTCCAATCAATGAAGTACGTTTCCCTTGGCTCACGTCTCTCCTCGACTCCTGCCTCAAAAACACAACATCCATACTGAACATCTACAGAAAGCCAGGAAGTCATTTCGCCGTGCAGCCAACGAACAGCCTCACTGCCAGCGAGACACCTGATTTCAGCAGGTCTCCACAGAAGAGTCCAAGATCGAAGGCAGAACTCCAGCAAAGCTTCCACGACTTGTTGCAGTCAACGACGTACGGGCTTCCCAAGGAACGTTTGCAACACCTTGCCGAGATGGCGCGCTCACGCAGTGCCTCCTTCGGAGACGATGACTTAGAACTCATTGGGTCACAAGTTGTCAACAATGACTTCGCAACGCACTCGCAGTCGCCTTTGCGACCGATTGATGGGAATAGAGAGACCATCGACCTCTCGGCCAGCCCTGCGCTGGCGTCGAAGCCGACAATGGCAGCTCCGCCAACACATGCCCCCATGTTCGGAAAGCCTACAAAGATGATGTCGAGTCTTAAGCAGAAGGCATCTAACATGTTCATCCAACCGAAGTCACGGCCAGAGCACCATCGCGACTACAAGATCAATGCGCCAGCCGCCCCGAAACATGCCGACCAGAAGCCCCAATCGCAAACCTTCAGCTCCATGAGCCCTACTTCACAGACAACTAATGGCTACACCCAGTCTTCATACTACAGCCAAGCTCAGCCTGCTTCGGCTTATACCGATCAGGTTTTCTGGACCGATCCCACAAAAGCTTCAGCAGACTTGAAGGCACTGCTGGAAGGCGGGATGGACGAAGAAGACGAGGAAGGAGAGAAGGAGAAGCCTGGAAAGAAAGATGACGGATCCCTGGAGGGCATTAAGGTTAAACTCCTGCCGCATCAAGTAGAAGGCGTCGAGTGGATGAAGGGCCGTGAGCTAGGACCGGTGAAGCGCGGCAAGGTTCCCAAGGGCGGCATCCTTGCAGACGATATGGGTCTGGGAAAGACTCTACAATCAATCTCGCTGATTATCAGCAACCCGATGCCCAAGAAGGACGGACCCGGCTGGAAGAAGTCGCTGGCGCCTGTCACAGGATCCACCATAGTCGTTGCGCCACTGGCGCTGATACGGCAGTGGGAGGCTGAAATCAAGGAGAAAGTCGCTCTTTCCCACCGCCTCAGTGTTTGTGTTCATCACGGACCCAGCCGTACCAAGCGGTATCAAGACCTCGCCAAATACGATGTGGTCATTACCACGTACCAAATTCTCGTGTCCGAGCATGGCCACTCTACCAAAGACTCAGAAGGGTTGCAAGCCGGGTGTTTCGGTCTTCATTGGTACCGTGTCATCCTGGATGAGGCACACAGCATCAAAAATCGGAATGCCAAGGCGACAAAGGCGTGTTGCGCTCTAAGATCAGAATACAGATGGTGTCTCACAGGAACACCAATGCAGAACAATCTGGATGAGTTGCAGAGTCTTGTCAACTTCTTGAGGATCGCACCTTACGATGACCTGAGACACTGGAGAGAGCAAATCGACGAGCCAATGAAGAAGGGCAAGGGCCATTTGGCTATTCGTCGACTCCATAGTCTTCTTCGCTGTTTCATGAAGCGCCGAACTAAGGAGATTCTCAAAGAAGAAGGCGCACTGCTTCCAGGTGGGAAAAAAGCACTTGAGGCAGCAGCCAAAGACGGAGATTCTGCGGCGCCTGTTCCGACTTTCAAGGTCACTGAGCGGAAGGTCGTGACGATCGCAGCCAAGTTCTCGCCTGCTGAGCGGGTGTTTTACGACAGACTTGAGGATCGCGCTGACAAGAGTCTCAAGAACATGATGAAAGAGAAGGTCAGCTACGCAAGTGCCTTGGTCCTGCTACTGCGTCTAAGACAGGCCTGTAACCACCCTCAACTAGTCGGAAATAAGTTGGAGAAGGATAAGGACGCATTGTCCACGGACACTGCGAACCAGCCGAAGAATGCTGACGCCAACGTCGATGCGCTTGCTGATCTTTTCGGAGGCATGGGTATTGAGTCCAGGAAGTGTGATATCTGCTACGATGAACTTCCCCGAGATGACATTGCCCACGGCGAGGTGCAATGCTCTATATGCAGAGAAGAACTGGCCAAGATCCTCAACGAGACCGCTGAACGCAAGCGGCATAAGAAGAGAAACAAGGTCAAGAAGATCGTCGAGGAGAAGGTTAAAGTTGAGGTCACGAAGAAGCGGAAGCCTAAGGGCCGGATGATCATCACCGATAGCGACGACGAGGAAGCCGACGGCAGCTGGATTGTTGGTGAAGATCAGCGCGGTTCGCTACGTCTTGGCAAAGCCGGTGGTGAAGAGGACGAAAATGCTGAAGGCGAGGGCGAATCTATCGGGTCAGAGGACTCGATTCACCATTCCGAAGATGAAGCCGGAAGTCGGCTCGACAGCTTCATTGTTGACGATGAGAACGTCAAAGGCGAGAGGACCTTGGGCAACATCAGCACCCTAGACGATGATGAGACCTTTGTGTCAATCAATAAGATCGGTTCACAAGTGGTTAAGAAAGAATCCCAAGCATCTCCACAATCAGCCTCTGCTTCCGATAATGGCTCTGAGACTGACTCAGAAGAGGAGTCTTATATATCCGGAGCTGACCTAGACTCGGACTCGGACGATGATGGTGTCTTCTGGAAGCCGAAGAAAGTTCTGACCGAGTCTCGTCTCATGACCTCGGCAAAGATCCGCGAAGTTGTCAAGATCTTGCACAAGGAGATTCATGAGCACAAGTTTATTGTGTTCTCACAGTTCACCTCCATGCTTGACTTGATAGAACCATTCTTCCGCAAGGAAGGCTTCAAGTTCACCCGGTATGATGGAGGGATGAAGAACGACGCCCGCGAAGAGAGCTTGAACAGGTTGCGAAATGATAAGAACACTCGCATCCTACTCTGCTCTCTCAAGTGCGGCTCGTTAGGTCTCAACCTGACTGCCGCAACGAGAGTAGTTATCCTTGAGCCATTCTGGAATCCTGTAAGTCAATCCGATGCGTCATTTGTCGGGAAGCATGCTAATCTCAAGTTCTGTAGTTCGTTGAGGAGCAGGCGATCGATCGAGTTCATCGCCTAACCCAGACTATCGACGTTATTGTGTACAAATTGACCGTCGAGAAGACCGTCGAGGAGCGTATCCTCGAGCTTCAGGATAAGAAACGTCTTCTAGCCCAGACCGCTATCGAAGGCGGCATGGGTAAGAAGAACGCACTCAAGCTTGGTCTCAACGAGCTCATGGAGCTTTTCAAGCATACTGGCAGCCAATCCGAGGACTATATCGACTCTATTGATGTTGCTAAGGATATCGGGGCTATGGTCAAGACGACGAAGAAGCAGCGCCCGGTTGACAGACCCGAGGGTGGAAGCGTTTACGATAGACGATGGTAATGCTTCTCGTACTAGAGTAAGGCGTTACGGGGTTCAGATTCCTTATGTTATGTATATTGTATTAGACCTAGAGCGGCACTTGCAGGGCATTTGAAGACGCGGGAAGGTTGGACGAGACTACGTGGATGTTTCAGTACGCACGCTTGCGTGTGCTGCCTCGACCTTGCTGGTTGTTTTTTACGTGAATAAATGAATACCCCTTTGAGACTACTATTCGCGATGTGTGCGTCCCAACGTTTATGACCCAATTCAGCGGGATTGAACACGGCTTATCCACCTTGTGGTAACTTTGCTTCTTCCGTCCAGTATTAAAGCCAGTGATTGCAGCCCACCAACCTATTCGTCACAGACTTATAGTCATTACAATCACTCGCATCATCTTCTGCTCTGCATATGACCGTGTCAATTTCCTAGCTATGACCCAAGCCTATCACACTATACAAGCTATCCCTCCCTACGCCAAATCGACCCTATCTCAACGGAGACCCCTTCCCCGGCGTAAACGCCGCACTATTCCCAAACGACGTCGGGGGCACCGCAGCCGCCCGTCTCGCCGGCGTCGACGGGCCGGGCCCGCCCTCAATCGGTATCGGCGGCGTGTCCGTCCGCTGCACAGGCATGTCATCCTTCCGCGGCGGCTTGTAGTTCGTGTCCCTGCCGGCACGGTAGATATCCTGGAGCATGGGCTCCAGGATCCCCGCGTCCTCAAACTCCAGATACTTCCGGTACAGCTTCAGCGCCGTCCTGGCATCCTCGATCGAGTCGTGCGTCTCGAGCTGGATGTCTTCCTTGAGCAGATACCAGGCCAGGAAGGCGAGAGAGAGCTTCCGCAGCCGAGACTGCAGGAAGAAGAGGTTGATTGTGTCGATGATCTGTGCTTTCGGGACTTGGATGTTGATGACGCGGAAATCCTGTTTCAGACCATGTCCAAGGAATTTGCAGCCAAGGTTGAGCAGAATCCAGAGCTTCTTATAAGCAATCTTCAAAGACACGAGATTGTGCCTTGTGGTACGCGGATCAAGATCGCCATGAGTGATACCCGAATACAGCGTCAGGTAATCAGATATCGGCTCCTTGATCTCGATGTAGTCGTCGATGAATGGCAGTCCTTCGTCCTCGCCCATTCCACGGACCGCAGATACTCGGGCAAGGGCGTAAATCATTGGGCGAATAGTCTCGCGCTCGCCCTCCGAGTTCATCTCAATCTCAGGCTGTTTGACGGCAACGAACTCGGTATCGATGCCAATTATAGTGTCAGGGCCAGGGTTTTCTGTGGCCAAATCCAGGACACGGTACGTCTTCTCTCCCGCGTTGGACTTCAAGTCTAGAGACAAGATGGACGTGTCCAACTTGCTCCTCCACTCCGTGTCTAGCTGGTTGTTCGCTGCCTTGAGCTGATACATCAAGACCGAAGGCGTCTTCCAGCCCGTGTTGAAAGTCAGAGCTTCCTGCTTGGACACTCCGCGAACGGAGAAGTCGTTAAACAGATGCCACTGGCTCTCCGCCGGCGGGGTCGGCTCCGCATGAGCGACGTTGACCATAGCCACAAGATGCGGCTTCTGAGGCGGCGAGCACTCGATGTTGACCGATAGGCCAACGAGCGAATACACCATGATGTTATGGATGCCTCGCTGCAGATGCAGCTTGAGGTCTTCCCCTTCGTAGCAGAAGAACTGGCCTTGATCCACTATGATCCCAATTTCCTCCGGTAGCCATCCTGGGGTTGCCCACAGCATCCTGTGCTCCGCCGACGAGACCTGCGCGTTGAGCGTCAAGACTGCGGGGACGCTGTGAATGGTCTTGCGCGTTGCGAGAGATTGATACCGGTTGCATCGGTTGCACCAGCCCTTGTTGGTAGTCTCTCGCTCAACACTGGCCTTCAGCACTTGGGAGAATGTAATTTTAGTAGCTCTTCCACCCCGAGAATTCTTCTTAAAAAAACGTCAGCACCGAAAATATTTTCAGTTAATAGTACGAGATAACTTACATTTGCAGGGTAGAGCAACTCGTTCACATATGTTGACCCAGGCCTCGTAGTCTCACTCCTGCAATTCATGCATCGAATCGACGTTAGTGCAGAGGTAGCCAGAACCTGCTCCATGGCATTGTTTCCTGGCGACATGCTATTAAAATCACGCGCCATTCTGTCAAGCAGGAACCGGGTCAGGTGCTGTATCATCGTAGCCAGCGGCGCGCGTCTGGCATCGTCCTCGAGCAGACCAAGCGGGCCAGCTTGGGGGTGGTTGGTGAGGCACTTGAACATGTTGGTAGCCTGACAAGTAGATCCCTCAGCCTTCTGCAGCATGTCCGACAAATAGCCTAGTTCGCATAGGAGGCACTGATCGCTAATACATGCTGTGGCTGCGTGCTGAAGAGCTAGGTTGCGTATAAGTGGTGTAAAATGCATTACTTGTAGAAGTGAGTTTGCGTAGGAGTTGACGATATGATTCTCCAAGCCTGCATATCGTGTCTTGTTATAAAATCTGCATCATCGTAAGTATTTGCCATGAAATACCGTTCATTGTTCACTTACCCAAAATCGAAATCATCGACGCCAAATCTGCTGTATTTGATCTCGACATTTCGATACATCCCGGGGACATCGGGCTTCAAGCTTTCTAGTTCTGTAGTCGTCAACGAGTCGACGATATCTTCTACCTTTGCATCTGACATTGCGCCAGACGCTTTAGCTGACTCTCGAGCCTTCTCGCTCAAGAACTTCGGTGCTTGCATGGTATTTGATGATTTGTCGGAGCTGCGAGTATCCTCGACCTGGTTCCGACGAAGACCGCGAGTGTTCCTCCCGTACAGCCCAAAGTCGGCTGACTGCAGACCGGCGAGATAGCTCGGGTCATATCGAGCAGGCGGTGCTCCTACATCTGATATCAGGTTACTCGGCCAGGCGGACAGCAGTGTCTCTCTATAATACGGCATGCCGATGGTGTTCAGCGGCGTGTCCGCAGCCCAGCTGATCTGCGGCTGCGGCTCCTCGCTGTCCGGGAACTCGACCGGCGTCGCAAACTCGGCAAAGTGGATCTTGGACGGCGAGCCCCAGAGATGCATGTAGCACTCGGTGTCAGCCAGGGCGATGGCCTCGCCCGAGGGCGCAATCTCAATCATCGTCACGTACGACAGGACGTTAGCCTGGCGCACGTTGCTGGTGTTGGGGTTCAGCAGGTCCACGACGTGCATCTGGCCGCCCTGGGACACGACGATGCCCGTGGTGACCATGCGCGGGTGCATGCGGACGTAGGCCGCCAGGGGCGGGAAGGGGATGGGCGACATGACGCTCATGTTCTTGAGGTCGAAGACGTTGACGTAGGGGTCGAGCATGTACGTGGTTGCCGCCTGCTGCTTATACGAGGCGCCGCAGGTCACGATGAAGTCTTGCTGCACGTCCATGTCGTTGATGTAGGAGGAATGCGCCCGCCACTTCTGCAGGATGTTGAGCTTGGTGGTGTCGAGGATGTTGACGTAGCCGTCTTTCGTGGCGGCGCAGATGTGTCGGCTCTTCTTCATGAGGATATAGTGGTCTGATGTAGGGACCTGCTTTACTACCTCGCCTTTGTTCACATCGATCACGAACATGGTGTCTTGTAGGCCGGCAACGAGGATCTCGGATGTAGCCTTCGAGGTGAAGCTCATGCATCGCAGGTCCTTCATATCCTCATGGCTGATGTGCCATATTGGCGGCCCCTTCCGCGAGGCCATATGAACACCCTTCGCGCCGAGCGCGATGACACCCTTATCATTGAAGAGCAGCTGGCGCACTGGGCCATCGGAAGAGGGGTGTGCTTTGAATGATGTGTATCGCTGGAGATCGGTGCCGTAGAAGGAGGTGACCCGGCCCTACAGCATTGGTATATTAGAATAGACTCGAACATCCATGATACAGAATATCCTACATATTCATTGCCAGCCCATAGAAGCTCCTGGCTGGTATCGAAGGCCAATGTCGCGACGGGTGTGGGGATGGCATGGGGGTGCCCGCCCGGCGGGGGGAGCAGAACGCGCGCAACCTGGCGATAGTCAATGTCAGCATCGTGCCCGAGTGTTCGCGCCGTATTGCAATCGGGGACCCGTGGGCTGCAGAGCCCCCGCGGCGGTTGCGACAAGATCTTAGGTCCGCGAGGCTGTCGCGATCCCCGACCTGACCTCGGTCGCAAGGCCATGGCGGGGTGGGCGGTGGTGATAGCGATGCATTGAGCAGACACTGAGAATTACAGGATGCTCAAGAAGGTAGGATTCTTACCTCATCCCAGTCCGCGTCCATTTTGGGTCCCAATTTACATCTTCACGGGTCAATCCATGGTACCGGTGCTGTCGGTGAACCTTCTTTCACCTCGAAGCTTTCTCCTGCAGCTCCCTTCCTCAGCCTTACATACCAAACTTACTTACCTACTCCAGTGCGCACGAGCCACCCAACAGGGGAGCATTGCTCGTGCATCTGAATCCACTACAGTAACAGTAGTTCGCCGAAGTTGATCCGTCAGCCAAGTAGTGTGGGCCAGAGTCACAATACCCTCATTTATCCTACGGACCTCACTTCAGTTATATCACTCCGTCAAGGCCGTTTTCACATGAGCTCATGGAAGATTTGATTCTTTGCACACTTCAATACTCATTCTTCACTTAACACTACTATGTACGAACCTAGAGTTAGATATGGTATAAACATGTGGAACCGGCCTATGATCAATGCACCTTAAACGCCGCATATCAATCTGATCATCGTGGAAGCAAAACAAAGGGTCACAAAACGTCGAGGTGACTACTTTGTGAGCCATCCTAGATAATCAGCAACGATGAGAGTCACCATCCTACAGTTTTCACGTCAGTACTTGGAATCGAGCAAAACCCAGCATCTTTGTCTCAATAGGGGTCAGCACTTACGCGTGGGGAGCGATGCGGACATAATACGTCCCGAACCCTCGATAGAACCTCAGCATACCCTCTTGTTTCGCGACCTTGCCAAAGCAGTCTATCATGCTCTTGTAGGGAAGCTTGCCGTCAGGTCCTTTCTGCTGCTTCTGCAGACGAGTCTTCACGAAGTCGAATGGTAGTGAGAAGAATGAGGCAAAGAAGCCTGCGATCGCGCTGGCAGTGAGCGTCTGGGTTCTTGAGCTCCACTCAGTGTGTACCTTGAGCTGCGACTTGGCTTCGCTGAAGAAAGCCAATTGACCAAAGTTGAGAGCCATTGCACGCACGATCGTGGGGGTTGCTCCGGCCCAGAGGGCGCCGACTCCTTCACTCCGGGCAATGGATGTAAGCGCATCGAACACGGACTTGTAGTTCTTGCGTTGTGCCACAGGCTTGAGTCCATCACTCTGCATTCGGATCAGGGCAAGATCTGCTGGGTTGCCAATCATGGCGGCAAGGCCACCGGCAGTTAGACCTGCTGTTGCGCGTTCCTTGAAGCCAATGCTTTGACCCTTTGCCTTGGCACGAGCCGTGAGGCTGCCCATAAAAGTGTCAAAGAATCCAAGACGAGCTGTCGTATAGACGGCCTGTCGCAGCAGTCCGGCGGACAGGCCTGTGTACAGATCAAGCGCCTTGCCGCTAGCCAGGATTTCTCGGGTGACGGACAGAGGAGTAGGCTTCGGGCCGGTCGAGACGCCTTCGCCAGCCAGTTGGATCCGTACCTTGATCATGTCGACAGGCTGGATGACGGTGGTTGCTACCATGCCGCTAATGCCTCCATTGATGAAGGGCAAGGCAGCCCGCATGAAGGGGGTGTGGAGGAAGTCATTGGCGACGGCGACAGTCTCGCCCTGAGCCTGCTTTGCGCTGCCCATGACTTCAGATGTCCTGGTTCGAGCTGCTTCAGCGGCCTGCTTGATAGTGTTGGACATGATGAGACAGCAGGAGAAGATGAGCGAGACTTGGGGGGTTTTATTCAAACAGGACTTTTTCTAACCCTGAGATGCCCTTGCTCTAATATGCCAACGGGGCCAATCGAGCCGCAGCCGCAGCGGTCTCCGGCACTCTGATACGGAGCTATACATCATCATGGTTAGCCCATGGACGGATAATTTATGTGGCGCTCGAAGCTATTCTCGTGCAAGGAGAGCATTGCATATCCGTGGGATTGGATTGGGCCTATGGCATCATCGCCCGTTCCGTGCTTCATCTCAGTGTGCCGACGACGGCCGAGGAGCAATTCCGGGTTTCATGGCTATGAGTGGTGTTGAGGGCCGAATGACGGGCTATCGTCGGGAAAGATAGGAAGGCCCCATTGCTGTTGGCGGGGGAGCTTCCAGGATTTGGGCCGAGTCGGTTATCAGGCTTGACGGGTGGAGCCAATTGACTTGACAGGGCTATGACACCAGGCACGCCGGAGCAGCAACGAAATCGGCAACTTACAAGTCTAAGCCCTCCGATTCTCGCGCAAGAAATGACGCTTCAGAAGAGCGAAAAGCGCTCGAGAAGCTACTCGGTGGCGTAGAGAGTTGCTCAATTTGATAAAGCAGTTCTGCGAGGTCGCGTGCGTGCGTTCGTTGCGTTGCGTTGCGTTGCGTGGCAGCTCTCGAAGCGGGGTCAAGAGAGCTGTGGCCGGAAATGGTGGTGGCCGTCTGTCTGGGCGAGTCGCAGCCAAAAGCTTCGGGGGGCAGAGGAAGCCTCCAATTGTGTCGCAGGCGTAAGTAAGCTGACGGAACCCCCGACACGACTCCCTAAGTGCAGCAAATTCCAAGCCACTGAAGAAAGAGAGAGTGGAAGCTCTGAGCTCTGAGCTGTGAGCGTGGTAATCAGATGAAAGGGACAAAGATCAATAGCGAGGTCAAGATGGCCGGCTGGGCTGGAGGAGGAGGAGGAGGAGGAGGAGAAGGAGGGATGAAAGAAGGTTTGATTAGAGCCGGCTGGGCTGGTTGAGATCGGCCAGACAAAAGCAGGACTCGAGCAAAGACACAAGCCTGGAGTTCACTTGGACCTGCGTGCTTTCCTACCGGACAGGACACCCACGGGTATTTATGGCAGCAGCGATCCTGCTGTGTAAGTAAGGAAGGAAGGTAGGTAGAGCAAGACAAGGAAGGTGAGGCAGGCAAGGTACTTCTAGTTGCCGACCAACAGCAGCAACAGCAACAACGAACATTGGACGGCTTGTGTATTCTACCCATACCTAGGTAGTAAGGTAGGCATGCGAATGGACGTTGCGACAGGGCGCTAATAATAAAGCATCGTCTTCGGATGCCCTGGGCTGGTCTGGGCAGCTGCCGCGCAATGGAATTACATGCACTACTATGCAGTAGGTATTGTATGACCTTTGCCTTTGCCTTTCGTCCATTGCCCTCGATGCGCGAGAGTGCGGGGTGAAGTACCTTCTAACCTAGCCTAGCGTTTCGAGCCGTTCTGCTATTGAAACTACCTACCTAACCAGCTCCAGGCACAACGACCAAGACTCTTCACCTTGGTCCATCACATGTAACTCGTTGAGCAAGTACGGGCCTGGCAATACCACCGTCGTACCTCAAGTCCTCGTCTTTCTCACTCGAACATCCCCTCATGCGGCCTGCACAAGCACCAGCATTCATGCATCTACCGTGTCCAGGCCTTCATTCCATTCGCACGGCTACTCTCTGCCCGCACCGCACCGCACGCAAGGACGCTGTCGAATGGCAGGGTGAGGGAAGAGGGAAGAGGCAAGAGGGAGGACGACCAGGGCAGACAGACACACGCGACAAATCACGAAGCAGAAGGACCCTCCACGACGACCGCCCCGACCTGGCGACCTGGCTCAACACCCTCCAATGCCCAGCGTCCCAGCATCCCCATCCAGTCGCCCATCACCACTGACACTCGGCGATGCTGCGGAATCTCGGAGACTGCAAAGCCAGCCACAAACCCGGCCTGCTGGTATGTTCCTGGCTGACCAACGCTGGCGATGCTCGCCTTGCGCCTTGCTCCTATATCTCTAGCTCTCTGACGTTCGTGATGCCAACTTGGGCTCCCGTAATAAGACGTACTTTCTGATGCAGAGCTGATATCCCGGAACGGGACCGGTGCATGGGTCGCTACCCCGCATTTCAGTGGGTTTATGCAGGCAGCTTTATCGATAAAGGCCAGCCCACAAGGCAGTTACTTAGGTGCTCCCCCTAGTCCGCCTACCTATCCATCGTCTCCACCACGGCCAAACAAATAAGCGATGACTGTAATCAATGCGCTCTATTTACCAGTGTGATAAGTGTGTGGACCAGGCTGTTTGATATGAGTGGCACAGCTGGTAATAGCATATGTCTCTTTGAAGATGATTGTTGGTGAACACCTGCTCTGGATGCGTTCGTTTCAGTCGCTCAGAATGACGTAGAGAATGAGCCGGGGGATTCGACCAGCCCTGTGAAGCGCTAATCTGCATCCAGCTCAGTCCGCTGACGTTTCATTCCCCAGACGGACCGCACGGGAAGTCATCTAATATCCAATACCGTTACTACCTTGTTACAACAAGACATTAACTATTCCTGAAAGAGGTGTCACAAAATCCAATAGGAAGCCTCGACATCTCACGATTAATTCAAAGGCGATCATTGAGATCCTTTCGAGGGTGAATCTCAACAATAGCGACCCGGAGGACTCAGTCTGCAAATCGGGCCAAATTTGAACAATGCGGCCCTTGAGCCCCGAACCGAGCCGAGCCCCTGAAGCACCGTATCTTGACGTGACACAATTAACTCTATCATCGATGAACACGTGTTCTATGCTATGCCATAAATGCTGGGTCATGTCTAGTAAACCGCAGGGAACGTGCCCAAGCGACCTCCATCAAGAACAATTACATTCCCATTGAGATACGCCCCGGCTCTCGATGCCACGTACAACATGGCGCCCGCAAGGTCTTGAGTGTCACCCATCCTTCCAAGCGGGACAATAGAGGTATCCAAGGGGATGTAGCCTTCGCCTCCGCCAGAAGAACCACCTGCTGCTTGGACGATCGGGGCGGACATCTCACTCGGGAATACTGTAAGAGTCGATTAGCTTCATCTTGCTGACAGAGCGTCAAGACTGTTGATAACTCACATCCTGGAGCAATGCAGTTGGCGCTAAATACAGCAGTCAGCCAGAGTCCTTCTCGGCTTCACAAGACGACAAAAGACATACCGGATACCCCACGTCGGGAGAACAAGAGACAGCTGCTTGGCTATATGCGTTGCCGCCGCCTTCGAGGAGCCATATGGATATCCTCCCGGCGCCTTCTTGTTGAAGCCAGCAATGGAACTCGTGACGACCACTTGACTCGGCTGCTCCACGTTGCCCTTCTTGTTGCCATTGTCGAGCAGCTTCAAGAACGCCATGGTCGTATACCACACAGACGTGCAGTTCACCCTGAAGGTATTGGTGTACTCCTCGGGGTCCACTGCGAGCTGGGCTTCACGCCAGGCCTCGAGAGAAGTCTCTGGCGTGGGCGGCTTCGCCTGCGGTCCTCCAATGCCGGAGTTGCAGACAAGGAGGTTCAAGTAGCCGACATCCGTCTCTACCACGGAGAGAACAGACTCGAGGCTCACCTTGGAGGTCACATCGCAATAGAGCGGTATAACACTGGGCTTGCCGATGGATGCCGCGGCGGCTTGCAGGACCTCGACCCGACGGCCGACAATGTAGACCCGGTGCGCACCGGCCTCGGCCAAGGCGCGGGCCATCATCAGGCCAATTCCTAGACAGACTATGAGCACTCTATCCCGGCCCAGAGACCGACGACATCGACGTTACCAGTGCCACCGCCGGTGACGAGGGCTACCAATCCCCTGGCGGAGAATAGGTTCCCCAGGTCAAGAGGTGCTGTTCCTGCCATCTTGCTACTGAGGATTGCTCTAAACACTGTTGCGTTAAGACTTTCAATGATCAACTTGTTTCGCTAAACAACTCAGTGATCCCGAATTTCCTGATTTTAAATATATGTCCTAGAGGTTGTAAATTGCCAATCAGTAAGATATTCATGAGAGGGAAGACTCAACACTGATTATTCAGTCATAAGCCGTAATGTAGCTATCCACGAGCTATGTTGCTTACCGCCGACTGCAAGTGTTGCTGTAGCTAAGTAAACGCCGAAGTCTTGTCAGATGTGTTTAGAGTTATTGAAAGAATGCGGCCCGGCCAGCGCAAGGGATGGTCAGCAACGGCAATTTCTCCTGACTCCAATGGGATCGGGATCAGACAAAAAAACAAAGGATCTCCTTACATCGGAGTTCCTTATCGCAGACTCATTGACATTTGAGAGTTTCGGAGAGCTCCAGAGGCAGTTGAAGCCCCACTGAATGGAGACTGTGTGGCTTGATGTGTTTGATAGCGGTCATTGCCCCGCTCACAGCGATTGCACAATCGGCGGGCGAGCAGCTTACCTAACATACAGCAAAGCTGAACGGATTAGGGGGGGGGATTGTTTGCCCTAACGCAGACATGTCATCGAGCATATAAGTAAGCAACTTTTTGCGATGCTTTTCCTCAGGGGGTCACGAATACCCAGAGTCAGCTCTGCCGCTGGTCTGTCGACATATAAATACTCAGGACATTGAATACTGTAGATAGGGATTTATAAATCATGGGACAAGCAGTCTTCCAAGCTAGGCTTCACAGTTTTGTCTATCAAGGAGTTTATCCGTGTCTATTTCGTAGGGGTATCAGTGTAAGGATCAAACCCAACACGCCGTTTCGCCTCATGTCGCGCCTTCCATCGCTCTTCACCCCTGAGCCCAGTAGTTGAGGTCTCTTCAAGAAAGAAATTAAGAGTAGGATCGTGAATGGTGAGGTGTGGCTTCTGCTCATATTCCTGCAAGCTCGTCAAGCGTATGAGCATCTCTAATAGAGACAGAGACGACACAATGCCCCCGAACGGCGATCTTGCAACAAATGACTCTTCGTTGTCAATCTGAGCCTCATCAAGCTGGTCCGTTGCTGTCCTGGGTACAGAACTCTCCCGTATGGAGATGTTTCTGATCTGTGTCACCAGTCGTGAGTCGAGGGACTGACGTTTATAGCCTCTTGTCTTTCCCATCGTGACCGGTGTTGTCTCGCGATCGCAGATTCCATCGCCATTGCCTTCCTCCTCAGAGCCAGAGGAAGTATCATCATCATCTTCGACGAATGCTTCAAACGCAAGCCAATCTGCATCTAAATGAGGTGGAAGTTGCAATTTAATCTTGTCCATTACTGGCTGGGTAAGCAATCCTGCTCGTTCGCTTTCTTGTTGAATTTGTCGATCTATCTCGTCCTGCTGGGCAGACAAGTAGCCGTTTCCAGCAGAGGTATCACCGTCTGTCGTTTCGTCGAAGTTCCAGTGCTCATCCCCTCCGTTGCAAGCCGTACTGTCGCGCTTCACAAGCAATATCGGGCTGCTTTCTCCTCCATTGTTGTCCCCAACCCCAATGTTCAAGATCCTGCCTGTGTTTGCGTAGAATATCTTTGAAATCTGAGGGATAGCAATGGATTCGCGAATTCCGGCGTGCACAATATTATCGAAAGGCAGGCTCCCCAATCCTGATTCGTCATGCAGTCTACCATCATCCAAATCCTCAATGACCTCAATATAATATGCATAGCCACCGGACGCTTGGGGCTGAGGAATCGATGAGTCAATTATTCCAGCTTCAACCATGCTTGCCTTTGATACTGTAGGTATATAGCCTCGTACGCGGTCGAATTTCCAACCCACCGGGGTGCGACATATGCGAACGCGAGCTTTGTGTAGGACCTCCTGCCATATTGGCCGCCGCTCTCCTTCGCCCAAACCGTACGGCTCTTGTCGCCCCGAGTGTGGCGATCCCATAGGCCTAGGTGTCATTGGGGTTGGAGGCCCATCCGGTCCATTACTTGGTGCCTGAGCTGCGTGACCAACAAAAAGCATGTAAAGCGACAGAGCGAACGACGGACCGATCTGAACTGGTCGGGTTGGGTCGTGGGCGAATTGGGTGTCCCCAAAAGTAAGCAAAGTGCTAGCTTGCAATAACCTAGAAGGTGAGACTCCTGAAGACAAGGAGGAAGAGAGGCTCTCCCCAGAGGCATTGATCGCAAGGTTGAAATACTGGATATCCCGATCTATACGGGCCAGCAATTCTTTGATATTGTGGATGATGAGCAGTAGCTCTGCATGCCGGGCTTCGGCAGTCTGCCCCTGACTTGGAACGAGACCAGACGCCTCTTGAGCGGCAGCGGCATTTTGTATACGCTCTCCTAGTGTGGCGATCTCCCGTTGCAAAGACTTCGCCAGAGGGAGAGCGGCTTGCAAGGAGATATTACCCTGTCCAGACCTATCAATGGTGTAAGTGGTGGCTATTTGCACAGGGGGATGGGTAAAAGCAGACTTGAGCTCGATGAGATTTAAGGCGGGAGTGATGATCTAGAGTGCCGTTAGTAAGATACACGAAGCAAGTTTCTAGAGAAGCCGGTAACGTACCTTGATCTTGCTGTCCAACAAGGCCTGGAGGGAGCTGAGTTCGGCTCGCAAACGTCTGTCATCAACTGTCTTCAACAGCCTAGAGCACTGGCCGACTGCAAATGTAGTAGTCAGGGCGATGCTGGAGCGGATGGCATAATTGACCGCCTGGACGCCAAATCTTGCCAGGAATGCATCCATGATGTCTGACACTCATGCATTGTGTTGGGATGGTTTTATGGTGCAGAACGAGCCTGGTGTTTACTTTCTTGCCAGCGGAATAGTAAGGCGTGATGGAAGAGCTGGTCCCCCAGTCTCAATATGGAAACGACGCCTCTCCCTTCCTCAGCTGGAGCCTGGATGCGGCCTTACCAGCCGTCGTGAAATGGCGGGGCAAAATACAGTCTGTATTCTATAAGCTTTGCACACTGTGTATCATCTATCACGAAACGAATACTCTAATTCCTCCTCTTTGAGATACAGCTGCATCACACCTTGGGGCTGACCTGATGACAAGAATTTGGTAATGCAGATACAATTTATAAATCTTTGCTTCTGATGTTGACTCTTTAGCGTATCAAAATTGTTTTAAAAGGAGTCTATTAAGCTGGTCATTGGATTGCTGCCTGTATTGCATTATAATCCACAAAGATTTAGTAGATAAAATACAGTGCGGCTCTTCAGCACACCAGGTCCAGCTCCCGTGTCTACGTAGTTAGCACACCGTCATGGTGGGGCAACAAATGCAAATCCCCTCCATCGCACTACCAAAACTCTTGCTCCTTCCCGACGAGGCGCAGGCTGGCAACAAAGCTGTAAGGCACCAACTCGGATCATAAAACAACCCAATAAGGCACCTCTTGCTCAGCTGTGACTCAGAAAGACTCCCCAGAAAGAGGCACTTCATTTCCCAATCTCTTGGGCATCCGCAACTGCTTGGAAGAGGGTGCTGCTTGGCCGATAAAAGTGGGCGCGGGACAAAGTCGTATCACCCCGCGAGACAAGACCTCACATACTTACTCCCTATCCGATCTTCATCCGCCATTTCACATCGACAAACACCGCGATTTCTAAACAGTCTCGAATATGTCGAACCTCAACTCATGGGAAGACGATCCTGCTGCCCAGGATGAGAACCTGGCGCAGCAGACCCAGCAGCAGATGAATATTGGCAACCAGGGCCAGGGGGGCTTCCGACCTGGCGCTTCTTCTTTCCAGCCCGGCGCTGCATCCTTCCAACCTGGTCAAGCCTACGGTGGCGGGGGCTATCCTCAGTACGGACAACAGCAGCAGCAACAACAGTACTATGGTGGTCAACAGGGCTATTACCCTCAATATGGTGGGCAGCAGGGCTACAACCAGCAGTACGGACAGCAAGGTGGCTACGGTAATGTCTATGGACAGCAGGGCAGCTATAACCAAGGATATGGTACAAGAGAACACATAGACTTTGGAGTTATGTTCGACTACTGACAGTGAACCTAGGCCAATACCCTGGAGGCTACCAGCAGCAAGGTCAACAGCAATTCCAGCCTCAACAACAACAAGCCCCGAAGGCTACTCCAACAATCGCAAAGAGGCCCACAGCTGATGCCCCTGCGTCCTCCCCAGATGCCCCAAAGCCGGTAGTTTCAAAGGAAGGAGGTGCAAAGGTTCTGAGCATCGGTGGCGATGCGCCGAAGCCAAAGGCTAAAGTCCTCTCGATCGGCGTACCAGCAGCCCCCAAGGAAGAGCCGAAGAAGGAGACCGCCCCAGAAGCGCAACAGAGCAAGGACGATACTTCAGCAAAGGCCGCAGAGGCTGAGGCAGGAGCCAAGGTCACTGCGTCGAAGGCCATCGAGAAGACAGGCAATGAGACAGCAGGAAGTGGCAAGACATCTCCCAGCCCTTCCTCCGGTCGTTCAAGTCCGTCTCGTGGCGGTAAAGCAGCGGCTCGAGACGCCGACGCTGTTGAGAAGGAGCAAGCTGCAGATGTTGACGACGAAACATTGAAGGAAATTTACGGCAAGGAGCACATAAATATTATCTTCATCGGCCACGTCGATGCCGGAAAGTCTACTCTGGGTGGTTCCATTCTCTATGCTACCGGTATGGTGGACCAGAGAACAATGGACAAGTACAAGCGCGAAGCCAAGGAGATGGGACGTGAGACCTGGTACCTGTCATGGGCTCTCGATCTGACCAATGAGGAGCGTTCCAAGGGAAAGACAGTCGAGGTTGGCCGAGGATTCTTCGAGACGGAAAAGCGCCGATACAGTATCCTGGACGCTCCTGGCCACAAGACCTATGTACCCAACATGATCGGTGGGGCCTCCCAAGCGGATGTCGGTATCTTGGTTATTAGTGCCCGAAAGGGTGAATACGAAACTGGATTCGAGAAGGGTGGTCAGACTAGAGAGCATGCTATGCTGGCAAAGACTCAAGGTGTCAACAAGCTAATTGTCGTCATCAACAAGATGGATGATCCTACTGTTAACTGGTCTCAGGAGCGATACAAGGAGTGCACGACCAAACTCGCGCAATTCTTGAAGGGCACCGGCTACAACTTGAAGACTGATGTCTTCTTCATGCCCATCGCCGCTCAACAGACGATGGGAATTAAGGATCGCATTCCTAAGGATGTTGCACCTTGGTATGATGGCCCCTCCCTCCTGGAGTATCTGGACAACATGCAGGCTTTGGAACGCAAGGTCAATGCCCCCTTTATGATGGCTGTTGCTGGCAAATACCGAGACATGGGAACCATGATTGAGGGTAAGATTGAGGCTGGTGTCATCAAGAAGGGCATGAGCCTTATTATGATGCCGAACAAACAAAATGTCGAGGTAACGGCAGTGTACGGCGAAACGGAAGAGGAGATGAAGGTTGCACAATGCGGTGATCAAGTCCGGATACGCCTTCGCGGTATTGAGGAGGAAGATATCCTTCCTGGTTTCGTTTTGTGCTCTCCGAAGCGTCTAGTCCACAACGTCTCCCAGTTTGAGGCACAGATCCGCATCCTCGACCTCAAGAGCATTCTCTCTGCAGGCTTCAACTGTGTACTGCATGTCCATGCTGCCATTGAAGAAGTCACTTTTGCGGCATTGCTACATAAGCTACAGAAGGGCACCAACCGCAAGAGCAAAGTGCCACCAACACATGCCAAGAGGGGCGATAGCATTATTGCTCGTATGCAAGTAATTGGCGGTGCAGGATCTGTCTGCATTGAGAGATTCGAGGACTACCCACAGATGGGTCGTTTCACTCTGAGAGACCAGGTACGCTCCGAAATCATCTCTTTTCACCTCTGAGCTCTTCTAACATGTTTTTAGGGACAAACCATCGCGATCGGAAAGATCACCAAGCTCATCACAGACGATGCTGCTTGAATTGACGGTTCTGAACAAGCAACCCATTAAATGGTCCTGGCAGGCTATACGGTTGGCGGGCATATATGCTTGGGATTATACGATGGATGATGAATTGCATAGATGTAATTGAAGGCACCGCATTCCCCAGCACCAGAACTGGCAACGGATGTGATTAGGCAGTCAGTTGGGATAGACGTCGTCAATGAAAAAGTCCTTCTCTTCACCATTCCGCGTCACATGTCGCCTGTGTAAATCCGACACACTGGAGAACCTTAATCTATTAGTCGCTTCTTGGCTCTTGAAGGCCTTATAATTTGGGTTACCTCTGTAAAGAAAACACGAGCCTTCATATGCAAAGTCTCAAGACGACGTAAGTAATTTGTTACGTTACTCAAAGGAGCACAAATCCCCAAATTCCGTTAGCGGTGATATCCGACAGGCAGCATGTCCCTTGCATTCTTCGGCGCGGGAGCTCAGGCAGTCCCACGCATTACAGTGCCTGGCACCTCACTGGAGCGCCGATAGTGGGGGGAGGGATTCCAAGTCGAACGAGCCATCGCATGCGCTGTTTTAGTGGCTTGCGCTGTTTTAGTTGGAGACGATAAGCGCCAATTGGGGATCCCGACTTTTTTCCAAATCGGTGTCGAACCGCAACCACTTGACGTCTTCCCTTTCTTCTTGCGTCTGTTGTAGCCGAGAGTAAGTTATTGACGCCGTATGAGCAGCAAGGCTACGACAGGTCACTGACAGAATACACAGAAACTCTCCACTCATTCAAAATGTCTTCCGACAAGCCGCTCCCGTTCATATACCAGTTCGCCGCAGGTTAGTTGTACCCCGACCGCCGAAAGGACGAAAGCTCTAGATCATAGACTGACTTGGAATACAGGCGCCGTCGCCGGCGTGTCGGAGGCAAGTTCGAACCTTCCTGACTCAATTGACATGCTAACATGTCGTCCATGCTAGATCTTGGTCATGTACGTCCGCCGCCGAGCTGCTCGCGTGCTGTTCCACCGTTTGCTGATAGAGCTTCCAGGTACCCCCTTGACGTCGTCAAGACCCGAGTGTGAGCTTCGACCCATCCTCTAGCGCATCTATATGGCGAGACTGACGACGGCTATAGACAGCTGCAGACGGGCAAGGGCGGCGGTGCGGACGCCTACACAGGCATGCTCGACTGCTTCCAAAAGATCATTCGCAATGAAGGGTATGGAAGCTCCAGCGGCCAACGCGGCCGAGCAAGATGGATGCTGATACAAGGCCACAGGTTCTCGAGATTGTACCGCGGTATCACCGCGCCCATCCTGATGGAGGCGCCCAAGCGTGCGACCAAGTTCGCCGCCAACGACGAGTGGGGCAAGTTCTACCGCAAGGCCTTCGGTGCCGAGAAGATGACACAGTCGCTGTCAATCCTCACGGGTGCGACTGCCGGTGCGACCGAGTCCTTCGTTGTCGTTCCCTTTGAGTTGGTCAAGATTCGACTTCAGGACAAGGCCTCCGCCGGGAAGTACAACGGCATGCTGGATGTTGTCATGAAGACGGTGCGCCAGGAAGGTGTTCTTGCCATGTACAATGGCCTGGAGAGCACGCTATGGAGACATATCCTCTGGTAAGTTCTTGTCTGCAATACGCTCCAAGGCTGAGCTGCTCACCATCTTTGCGAATATAGGAACGCCGGTTATTTCGGCTGCATCTTCCAAGTAAGACAGCTCCTACCCAAGGTTGAGGACAAGAGGGCACAGATGGTCAACGACATTGCGGCGGGCTCAATCGGTGGTACCGTTGGAACGCTCCTCAACACCCCGATGGACGTCGTCAAATCTCGTATCCAGAACAGCCCCAAGGTGGCCGGAGCAGTGCCCAAGTACAACTGGGCCTGGCCCGCCGTGGGTACCGTCATGAAGGAGGAGGGTTTCGCAGCTCTGTACAAGGGTTTCCTGCCCAAGGTACTCAGACTTGGACCGGTAAGTGAAAGATATCTTCAAAATTGGGAAGCCCAGAATGTTGCTAAAATTGGTGGTGATAGGGTGGCGGTATTCTGCTCGTTGTCTTCCAGGGTGTTACGGACTTCTTCCGAAAGATGAGGAACGAGTAAGGACGAGATGGCATAGCATATATTGCATAGTACTCGGTCTGGATTGTACATTGGCTATTAAAGGTGCACACAGGACAGATACCACACATTCTGCAAATAGATTTCCTGCAAAGGGTCTCAGTCGTCCTATTAAAATCTCCTGAACCTCTTCATGCTACTTCGTCTTGACTCTATGCCTTTAGTTGAAGTCTCAATGAGATTCAACTTTCCACAACTCCTCATAAATCTTATTTTCTGTATGAAGAGATGAGTGAAGAGTATTTATTTAAATTGAATACAACTATTTCACATGGATTTTAAAGCTATCTTACCACAGAGGAAGCTATCGGATAGCTGCCTTTGTGACGCAGGTGAACCGACACGTGCCACCGTGGGCTCCACTGAGACGTTGGCCAATGAACAGCAGCCGAAAGCCAGCATACTTCCGAAAGGGCGGCTTCCGAAAGCGTCCACACCTAAGCCCAGGCCAGGCCGGAGTCAGTAGCTGCTAGTAGCACGGTAGTACCTCGAATTTCAGCGAGGAAGACAAACTTAATCCAGCGTGCCACGACATAAAAGCGATTTGCTTTCCGACAACCTTCTCCTCACCTCTACGACCTCCCAATTTCATCGCTCTGTCACGTCAAACAGCCGATACTGGCACTCTGATTGCGACGCCTTCTGTCTCACAGGCCCCGGCGTACTGCGTACTGCTGCCCCTCACTGCCGGGAAGCTCTGGCAGATAAAGCAAGTTTCGAGACATTGGCTTGACCTTTACCCAATACCTTGCCGTAACTCTCCGTTTACCGAGCCACACCGACCTTTCTACCCCAACCCGCCAGGCAACTCCCCAGCTCCAACCCTACGCCACTGTGGGAGGCGTGGAGGGGTAGTAGGCCTGATAGGAAGGGAAGACGTGGAGGTCCGAGGGATTGTCAGAGTACGGAAGGTAGCACAGGAAGGACGGCAGAGGAGGAAAAAATAAGCAAGCATGGCAAAGGAGAGGGAGAACAGCGACCTGTCCCTGCCCAGCAGCCAATCAAAACGACCTGCTTTTAGCCAGCGTGACAGCGACTCTCAGATCAGTGACAATGCGCTGTCCCAACAGCAGCACCATCAGCCTCGAGCAAAGCACCAGAAGCACGTCGTTGGCGGTGGCTCTGGACGACTGCACGCCCGAGTTCCGTCGTCGAAAGCGCTTCATAAGCACAATGCATCCACTTCAACCGTCAAACTAACTCGCCGACAAACCTCGCCATCCCCTGTCGAGCGAGCTCTGGCATCATCGTCGCACCGGAGAGCAACCTCGGAGGTGAAGCTGCCCTCCCGCGAGTCCTCATCCATGAACCTCAAGAAGAATTCGTCGCAAACCAGCCTGAAGCGCAATCGGTCACACGTTGAAGTTGGAAAGCGGAATAAGTCGTCGGGCCATTTAAAGCGCTCATCCTCCAATCCTACAGTCAATAAGACAAAGTCGAGCAAGTCTCAGGTCCACTTCGACCTCGGAAACGACGGACAGGAAGACGAGTGGGTGGACGCCAGCACGTCTGCGTCCCCCTATTTGTCGCGGCGTGGCTCGGTTAATAGCACGGCCCAATCGTCGAGTCAAGCGCAGAGCGCGCTCGATTCAAGGTCGCAGAGCCCGCTCAGGGAGCCCGACCAAGAAGCGGCGTCGAGTGGGCCGGAAGGCAGCGATACAGATCGAGAAAGAGCTCAGCACAGAGAGTACTTGACCTCGCGCCTACTCCAACGCACGCCGTCCCACGGGGCGCCTCCGAAGATGTCGGCCGAGGTTGCGTCGGTCGAGCCGATTCGGTCCCAGCGACAACAGTCGCCAGACTCAGGCCTTAGCAGGGAGTCGTCAACCCTCTCCGGTACTCCTAGCACCGGAGCACATCCGGCACTCGGGAGCAACGGAAATGATGAACTCACCTCACGCTTTGTAACGACCAGTAGCCAAGGCTCCGGTGCGGCGGGTTCTTTCTACACGGGTGGCTCGTCTTCCATCCCGAGCACTGGGAGGACTGATGACGGATCACATCGCTCTCGTTCTATGGGCAATCTTGCCCGCTCATCAGAGACTAACAGGTCGACACCAACGCAAAAAGAACTCGAGGGCTTGAAGGATAAAGCGACCCCCGTTGGTGACGAGGATGATGTTGGAATCACTAGCAGTGCACTGGCATCGACTGCTCGATCACGACGGACAGGCATTGTTGTCGCGCCACCGGCAGAGAAGAGCCGGACTCAACAGAAGATCAACCTACAACGAGCAAGTTCATCGATGGAACCATCTCATCGTCATCACTCAGGCATGGGACGTTTGGCTGCCATACAGCATGCCGCTGGACCCTTGGTTGGCGGCGCGGGTTACGATGAAAGCGATCCTCGGGTGAACAAGTTACTAGAGAGAACTGGCTTGGAATATCTTATCGTACGCCGGTATCAGAATCCTGTAGCGAGGAGTCTCGCACGACTTAAGCAGTTACCAGGCTATGACAAGGGTCAGCGTATTCCAGCCGGGGGTGGAGCACCCAACGGCCACTCTAAAAGGAATTCAACTTTGAGTGGCGGAGGGCAATATGGATTGAGCCAAAGCTATCGCGATCGGGATAGCCAGCCCTCCAGACGGCCCGTCACTCCAAGACGAAATTTCTCGTCGATCAGGGCCGATGGTGCCGACTCGAGCTTAGACACAGACGACGGTGCAGCGCGCGGTCACGATGGCCTCAGCGGCTCTAGCCTCGTCAACGGGGAGGACGATGACGGCACTCTTGCGCTACTAAGAGCATTGTGGGAAAAGAATTTGGATCTTAGTGCGAGCCAGGACTAGGAGACTGAGCCTCAAGAGTTAATGCCCCCTTCTTCTACGGAAAGTTTGCCAGGTGCCCAGAGACATCGTCTTCCATCCATCCCTGAGGAGTGACTAATTTATTTCAACCTTCGACACGATTTTATGACTTTCTTCAAGAGGCTTGGCTTACCCTGGCGTTTCGGATAACGGTGTCTTGAACGAGGGTTTGCAGAACAACCAGATCGGTTTATAGCATGATTCAGCATCAAGGGCACATTCATATTCAAATCAGTATATGGTAGAAAGCGCTCTGGCGCTTCTGGTAGTGTATTGTAGCTAGATTTACCCAGAAAATGATATTCAAAATGGGCTTTAATGCTTTGTTCAATCCTCTTTATTACGTATATGGTACCTGCAGGTTGTGAGTGTAATCATTACATCAAAAAGAATACAACTTCAACCATAGCGACTTATGAAGGCGCATTGGTGTATCCCCTTCTTGATAGTGAGGCTCTCCTTGGGTCTCGGCTGAAGGTATCTCCGGCTGAATTTAGTGTGGCGGGTAGTGGAGGCGAGGCGGCTCTTTATTTCCTGTATCTCCAACATCCTCCGCACTTTCCACATTACGGAACCCTACATTCCCATTAACCCCCGATTTGCGCCCAGATCGCTGCAAAGTCCGACAGCAGGTAATTAATAAGATTGCAGTGAGAGTCCGTTTCAAGCTAAGCAAGATGAGCGATCAGCTGGCGGCCTTTGAAGAGGACCGGAAGCAGTATCAGGAGCAGGTTAGCGACTCCGCATCTTCCCCCATACTCAGAGCGAAACATACACTAACTATTTTGCCTCCTGTAGCTCGACATAGTCTACGCCTCCCTGAAAGATGACCCCGGAAACGCAGAGCTGCTCGGCCTCAAGGCCGAGCTCGACGACATGGTCAAGCTGATCGACGAGTCCATCGCGGAGCTGAAGCCGAAGCAGGCAGCGCCGAAGCCGGCACCCGCCAAGAAAGCCGCGCCGCCGCCGCCGCCGGTCGAGGAGAAGTGGTCGCGCGAGAACCATCCGGCGTTCAAGAAGGCGGCGCAGGAGGAGCGCGAGCGCGAGCTGCGGGAGGCCGAGGCCAACGCGCCCGTCTCGTACCAGGTCAACGACACCGTCCTCGCCAAGTGGGTGTCGGGCGACAAGGGCTTCTACCCGGGCCGCATCACCTCCGTGACGGGCTCGTCGACCGCGCCCATCTACACCGTCAAGTTCAAGAGCTACGACACCGTCGAGACGCTGCGCGCAAAGGACATCCGCCCCGTGTCGAACAAGCGCAAGGCCGATGGCAGCAGCACGGCGGCGAGCGGCGGCGGATCGTACGGATCCACGAGCAACACCGGGTCTTCCCAGGCGACGCCAGTCATACAGTCGCCCAGCGGCGGCACCCCGACAAACGGTATCGTCTTGCAGGCACAGCCGAGTGTGTATCCGCACGCGGAGCAGGCGAAGGCTGCGGATGGCAAGGAGGACGCGCCCGTGAAGAAGTTCAAGAAGATCAAGGCCAATAAGGAGCTCGAGGCCGGCAAGAACAAGTGGCAGGAGTTCAGCACCAAGGGCAAGTTTGGCAAGACGGCGAAGAAGGACAGCATGTTCCGCACGCCTGAGGGCGCTCACGGAAGAGGTACGTCTACTATCAGCTTTCCTACCTTGCAGAAAGGTTACTAACTTTTGATCATAGTTGGATTCACAGGATCTGGTCAACCTATGCGCAAGGATCCCACCAGGAGTCGTCACATCTACCAGCAGAACGAGGAATACGACTGAGCGGCACATTGGTTTCGGTGGCTTGATGGCATCTCGGGCGGCAGGTTTTGCCAATCAAGTGGCGTTATGGAAGCGTTTGCTGTTTTTCGTTTGCTCTCTCTTCGTGGTAACAGAACCTTAGACTTGTCGAATGGATAAGCTAACGTTGGTTCTCTCTCGGTGCCGGAGTCTGCAATGCTCCAGCAGACCTGCCTGCCACATCACGTCAAATAGTCGTCGCCCTTGTCAGGGCAGGAAGGGAATGAACCCTTCTTCTGTGCTTCAAGACAATGAGATACCCTTTCCCTCAAATTTGGAAATGGATCCTCGCTAAACTTCCGTGAGCAGGAACGTCACCCGATTCTTCGTCGTGAAAGCAGAAAGAATTGAGGGTCAGCCGTATCATACCGTAGAATAGTCCTAAAAAGTACTTGTCAAAAACGTGGAGAGCCTCTCTCACAATGACATATCCTGATACATACAACACTAGGCTTTCTGACACCCATCACTGAATCTGTGTGCTTTCAATTGAATACCTCCAGATTTTCAAGCTGGTACTCGCGAAATCATTGATTGTGAATGAATATCATTTGGTAATAATGGTACATGCTCATAAGGTTATCTACCCCAAGTATGTTTGACATGGCGTCCGTCATCCACCAAATCCAAGGTTTCCCAGCAAAACAGGTTGCTGATGAGATGCTGTTGTCCATAAACCTCAAATGCCGCCCATGGGTCATAATATTTGGGAATCATGAATTAAAAGGACCATCCGCTCCCCACTAATAATATCCGCGGCAACAGCTTCCTCTTTGCCGCTCGGCATCTCTTAGATCTTGACATCAACACATCAATGTTTAGTACGCTGCCTGTCGGTAGTAATCACCTGGTGCACTGGGCTCGTTTGCAGGAGGTGCTGATGGCGGCACATATGCTTTGTACTGTGGCTGTCCTCCTTGCTGTGGTGGTCCACCACCCGGTGCCTGACTCGGCAAGCCCTGCCGGGCATCATAAGCCGCGCCAGAAGGATGCAGAGGTGGCGGAGTCATAACACCTGGGCGACCAGCCTGAGATCCTGGGACAGGAGGTGCTTGACCTGTTGGCTGTGGAGGCGCTTCACCGGGGGCGTTGTATCCATGGCCATAAGGCACTTGTTGAGGTTGCTGTGCGTATGTATTATAGGCTTGATATGATGGCTGAGACGGTCCGCCTGGTCCCGGAGCCGACGGTTGCGCCATGTTAGGCGCGGTGGGACTTGTAGCACCGAATTGCTCGTCAGGGGAATACACAGAAGAGTAAGTCGCGGCTGAGTTGGGGTTGTGAGTTGCAATAGGAGAGTCGTAAACAGAGGTGGCGAGTTCTTGTGGATTACCGTATGTGGATTGAGGGCGCTGGCCAGCTTGAGGAGGTGGTTGAGAATAAGGTGTATACTGATTAGCGGGAGGAGGCGGTGATGATGTTTGGATTGGAGCTGGCTGCTTTCCAGAGGAGGGTACTCGGGGACCCTGATCTCTAATTGGATACTGTTGTTGAGCTGGAGGTGGCCCGGCAGCCGCTGGGACTTCAGCACCAGCCATATAGAAAGGCGCAGGAGTCGTCCCTGGTCTTTGGAAGCCAGGAGACGGTGATCCTTGTGGGTATTGTGGTTGCTCTTTGCGTTCACGGTCAGAAGCCATGTTAGGAGATGAAAGACAGAATACTAACCTTGAGCGGGGGCGGGAGTGTAGAATCTCTGAGGATCTTGCTGCGGGGGAGGTTGTTGAGGATAGTTTGGAGCAGGGCTACCGTATCCTTGTGGTACTTGCGGCCTCATAGCGTACTGCTGGTAAGTCGGTTGGGGAGGGTGTGACATCGATGACTCCAGTAAAGCCTCATAGTCTCTGCGTGCTTTGATGAACTTCTCGTTTAACTGCGTAAAGTCATCTGTCATACGTTAGTTTTGAAGGTTGTGACTTTCAACAATCTTAACTCACCCTTCTTTTGCGAGTACTTCTCGATCAGCTTGATCAGTTTCGGCCGGATGGCTAGGGTCTGGTGATATAACTTCTGTATAGTGTTAGTCTGCCACTGAGTCCGACTCTGCATCTCTTGCGATTGAACTCACCGAGATCTCTTCGTTATCCTCTTCTCTAGGCGCACTGTTGCTTGTGCTTAGCAGCGTCAAGAGCTTCTCGACATTCTTGATTTCCGCAAACACCTCCGCCTCCATCTGTGCCTCGCGCTGAAGCTCGTCAGGTGTAGGGTCCGTCAGTTTCTCCACGTAGTTCAACGGGAAGATGCCCGTCTTGCCCTTCAACGAGCCTCGCCACCAGTCTTTGTAGACGCTCTCTAGGACAGCGATCACATCTCCCTTCTTGAACTCCAGCTCGCCAGGCTCCGACGGCACGAAGTCGAACAGAGCACGCACACGGCTGACAGTTGCTGCCGTGGTACCACTCGGCATCGGGTGTAGCGGCTGGGCAGCAGCCGCCTCCTGGCCTCCTGTGCTCGGGCCAGCACCGCCTTGCGATGAGGGACCGGGCGCGGCGGCATTCTTCTTGCGCTCCTCTTCCTGCAGTGACAGCTTCAGCGCCATCTGCAGCTCGTCCTCCTCCTTCTGTCGGTCGACATCGGTCAGGCGATTCTTCTGCGGGGCGCTTGGAGGCTGCAGCTGAGGGTTGGTCTGCTTGAGGCGGTAGTAGGCGTCGTACATGACGCCCAGGTCAGCGTCCTTGCTAAACATGTCGGACCACTCCTTCATGCGCTCGAGAATCTTTGGTTTGACCTGGGAGTGGGTGTTTCGGTCGTTGGCCAGCTTCAGCAGGGCGTCGGTGAAGGCGCGCGACGCCAGCTCCCTGTGCATAGCCTTGCCGCAGTTCTGGCTTAGAGCGTTGGCAAGCTGGGACGTTTGTCAGTGCCTGGAGGATCTCACATACAAGAGAGCATCGAAGACTATGGCTAGACAAGATCTCACTCACCTCAAGCGTGTATAGTTGGACGTTGGCGTTGCGGTGGGCGAGGCGCTTGATCATGCTCTGGACGGACTCCTTGGCGCCATTCGCATCGCCGGAGACGCGGTCGCAGACCTCCATGATGGCGCCCCAGTCCTCCGACGTGAGGTTTTCGTCCGTCGCCTTGGCTGTACATTGCAATCGGATGTTAGCAGACGATGTCTTTGCGTTTCTGTGAGGTGGCACTGGAGAGATGTGGGCAACCGCGGGATTGCTGGTGGTGCTGAGGATGACGTACCGACGGCCTCATCGTACGGGCCCGGAGCTGCTGCTCTGAACATGGTGGCAGCGGGCTGCTGAGTCGATGAAGCTATTAATGGGCGGATAGGTGTTGTATTGAGCGACCTTATAGCAGATTACTTGGATGGAGCTGAGTAAGGCCCGTGCCTCTGACTTGGACGGAGCGGATGAGATGGACGATGGTGATGGGAGAGGTTCGTGGTGGAATGGATCAGGTGCGTGGTGGTAGTAAGGTTAGGTAAGGTAAGGTACCTCTAATGTCTAATGTGGTAGCCTGGAAACCCGATGATGGGGCTCCCTCCACTTAACCTTACTGGCTTGGGTGGGCGCCGCAGCTTCGTTTGCGCTGCTATAAATTGGAGCTTAGTTGGCTGGGTCGCCTCAATTGCGCGGCTTGCGCCACAGTCTAACAATCAATGCAGTCTGCCTCTTCCCCAGTCACTTCAAGACTCTTGAGTCTTTGTTCAGCCCCGAGTCTGTCCTATTGTATCTCAGCGAGCTTCAATGAAGTCTGGCATTATTTCATGTTTTCTATTTCAACTTATTTCAGGCGAAAGTACTGGGATTCCAGACTTGTTTCCACCCCTAGAGACCTGTTTTCATAGGACACAGCTATGGAGAGAGCTTGAGTATCTTCGGAGGCGATGACGAAGCCAGGCTAACCGCGAGGTGCACTACAGCAAACACAAGGAAAGAATCGTAACTGGCCTTCGTCAGCGCACTGTAAAAGGAAAACGATGGTCTTTCCTGAAGGTGTCTGCTTATGTAAAGACTTGCGTGTTCTAATTCGACATGAGCTTCTAGCTTCAATTCTGTTGTATGCGACTGATGCTGCAAGCTGAACGGTGCAGCATCACTAAGTCAAGCAGATTTGTCCGTTATATGACGGCCACCAATGCCAGAAGAATACACAGCACCACGTGTAGGAGCAGATGAAGATTGGGTCCGCCGAGATTGCTCGCCTGCTTTCCCTTCATGCCGACCCCCATGGTTATCCTCTTATATGCCCTGTAGGACGGCCAAACATGATAGAAGGCCATGGAGAGCGCGACTAAGCGACTCGCATCGTCAAACACCGGCCGTAGAACGATCCCAAGACACAGGATGTTTGTAGCCAACAACAGACCGCCATAGCTCTTGAGTATCAGGCTGGCTTCCGTTGACAAAGACGAAAGCTGGCGGTGTGGTGCCAGGATGAACGAAGCTGCCGCTGCTGTTTCGATAACAATGTGTAGACCTAATGGAAGTTGCTGGATCATATTGCCTATCGTGTAGCCTAGGTTGAATGTCAGTAGATGGTTTTCATGGTAAAGTTATATGTATTTCTGAGACGGCAAGGAGGTCTCCCAGTTGAAGCAGCAGGCCGTCGATATACGGTGGTGCAATCACATTCCGACCTCAAGAGCCCTTGCACGTGGTTATAACTTACTGGGGACTTATCATAAACCCGGTTATTTGAGAATATCTCCCCAATGTGATTCACGGAACAATCATTCAGCCGTTTACTCTGTCACGACATGTGAAGTTAAAGCACCTTTCGGACTCTGACACTTTTGCAGCAAAATTACCTGCCTCTCACTAAATGTGGCTCAGCTTATGATTCTGGCTACCAGTGCGAGACCATCAGCCACCGCCTACTAAACCTGCATCCCCTCCGTTATGGGGAGGGGGTGTGGCAAGTGAGATTGACGGCATTTGTCCAGGTCCAGGCTGGTCCGGAAGGATCAAGCTTAACAGAGATGCATTGCCCGTCAGATCTCTGCGCCTACGTGATAGAAGGCGACTTAATATGCAGTATGCAAGGGCCGAGGCATGGGCTGTGGATCTGATCGATGAATCATGACTACAGCGCATTACAGTGCTATGACAGGAGCAGAGCTCGCGGTGCAACTGGTTGCCCGCTCTCTGTCTTGCGGAAAGACTGATGTCACCGACAGAGAGCTTGGCTTCCCCGCAACGGCCCATCAGTCAGTTAGTCGAGCTCGTACTCAGCACCGTTCGCTGCCGTCTCTGATCATGATATTTGACTCTCTTTGATATTGAATTACGAATACTTGTACGAGGCCACGATATAACTTGTCAGAGAGATAACAAAGCCATCAGTGACGGAGCGAAGGCGGAGGACCATCCCTCTGTGCCCCTCGTTTCCACGAGCTTGGGCCAGCTGCAGCTATCGCAGCACAGATAATGTTAATGTGAGGACCAGGGGGCAGCAAACAAGGAACCCCTGAGCGCCAGCAAGCTGAGCTCCCAGATGGGCCAATGCCTTGATTTGGATTGATGTCCCGCTCGTCGATAAACCTCCTGTAACACTTCGCCCGCCCCGACGAGCTCTCCACAAGTTTCAGGTCCAAGGCGTCAAGACGGAGGTCTTTTCCTCCAATTGTCCTGAAGAATGAACGAGCCTCGGCATGTAAGAAGCTAGTAAAGTAATCGCCCCGTGGGCATAGTTTTGAGAGACTTGAGATAAGCTAGCTACCTTGAAAGTGTGAAGAGCCATGCACATGTGAGCCCGTGGCGTAGATCTGGGCCGTGTAGTCGGTGAGATGCGCCTGCCGTGCATTTATGGTTTCGTCAAGCTCGCCCCGTTTTGACCTGGCGTGTCTCTTTTCTGTTGGGACTCTACTTTACTCTGCTTCTTCCCGTTCACACGTGCGTTTTCAAATATTATTGCTCTAACCATCTGTTTTCGAAAGGTGAAGAGCCTGATACGTGCGCCACGTTTCGGTCCTCTGCTGTAGTCGGCTCGTGCTCCTGTCCTGCGTTTCATCACCGTCTTTATTTCTCCCCGTTCTCATCCACAATACAACAAAACACGTAAGCAAGCTACCATTCTTTTGTCTTTTATTCTTGCCAAGAACCTTTCAGTTATTTCGAAATCATCAGACGGTTCTTTCTCACTCCCAATTGGCATCGTTATACCCGCTTCGGCGTGCTACTTGCTGACCTACCACGCTCTGGCAGCCCGTTGTGGAAGCTACACAGCCACAGCATCAGTGTCGTCACACGACACCACCTGCAGCTTTTCTCTCGGCCATTGAAGCTTCCGGCTTGAAGCTAGGGGCAGCTGGTAGTATAAAGGGGCCAATTGACCTAGTTCAAGTCAATTGCTTGCTGCGAAAGGCCGTTCGAGAGCTTCAAACCTCTAGACAGCGTAGCTATGGCGGGACCGAACAGCTCGAGAGAGCTGGGCCTCTCTATCATCGGGCTCGCATCACAGTACCCGCCCTATGCGCTCAAATCAGACTCCCTTAACACACTGGCCAGTCGGTTCTACCCAGACTCACCTTCGTAAGAGACCTCGGAAGCTCCAAATATGCGAATTGACACTCACAGCCAGCGCAGTATGAAGAAGGTCCTATCCATAAACCAGTTCACAGGGATAGAAGCACGGTCATCCATTGGCACGCCAGACCACCCCCTCGTGAACCAGGAGCATGCGCCGTCAATCACAGAGCTTCACGACATCTTCATGAGCGACGGCGTGCCGCTTGCAGTGGCAGCGGCGCAAAAAGCCATTGCCGAGGCCAGGCTTGACCTCCGCGAGATCACGCACGTTGTTGCAACCACGTGCACGGACAGCGCAAACCCCGGCTATGATCACTACGTCTGCAAGGGCCTTGGGATCACGCACCAGGTCGAGAAGGTGCTTCTGCACGGAGTCGGCTGCAGTGGCGGTCTCGCTGCACTGAGAACGGCTGCCAACCTGGCACTAGGGCATGCTATGCGTGGGAAGCCGGCGCGTATATTATGTGTGGCACTCGAGATCAGCACCACGATGGTCCGAAGCGAGCTGGACAGCATTGACAAGCTCGGCGAGACGAGGATAGGCGCCGCTCTGTTCTCTGACTGTGGAAGCGCATTGGTGTTGAGCAACGGCATCGGGGAGTCTGCTGAGCCTGTCTACGAGCTGTTAGGCTGGGATCACAGGATAATACCGGAGACGGAAGAAGACCTGGGTTTTGACGTCGATCCAGTTGGTAAGTTCAAGTCTCTCTCTGGGGAAATCCGTGCGTAAGAACAGGGACTGACCTTGCTTCATTCTAGGCTGGAAAGTCGTGCTCTCACCTCGAGTGCCAAAGATTGCTGAAGCAGCCCTAAGACCAGCATTTGCGGACCTCATTTCTTGTCTACCTCCACTGCCTGAAGATTTCCAGAAGGCGGAAGACTTTGACTGGGCCATGCATCCTGGCGGCGCAACAATTCTGTCCGGGGCAGAGCGAGCGCTAAGTATCAAGCCAGAAGCGATGAGGGCTTCTTACACCACGTACATGAACCACGGCAACTCGAGCAGCGCAACGATATTCAGTGTCATGGACTGCCTACGGAGCAAAGACATGGATGCCATTGCACCAGGAGGCCGACCGAAGGATTACGTTGTGGGCTGTGCCTTCGGACCTGGAATTGCAGTCGAGATGTGCATGCTGAAGCGCAACAAGGGTGTACAGAGTATCAGCGGGCTACAGACACCTCCAGAGACTGAAAGTGAAGCCAGTGATGAAGACGTCGCGAACCAGGCTGCCGATTGGGATTCCAATGTCATAGAGACAGCCCAGGAGAAATCCGGCGTCGAAGACACAGCTGCTGTGAAGGTTTCTGATGCTCAGTTCATAAGCGAGGCGCTGGAAGGAGTTGAGTTGGATTAGGTTGCATTTCAGGGGCATACAGAAGGACATTTTGGGGCATGATGCTCTTAGCCCAGTTCAACTGGATGGTACATGCGCTGAGGCGAACGGGAGTAAACTATTATAATATGCTTATAGATCCAAGACAATGTATGTATATTCGATGGTTCGAATTGGTATCATCAAAGTACATGAACAAGAACTCATGCTGGATTATGTGACTCCGTTCTAGTATGGTCATCTAGAGCTCCTCCGATCGAGAAATTGATCGGACTCGTTCCATCCGATTGGTTGAACGCATGAAGGCATCAATTACACCTTTGGCTCACCCGGAGACTCGACATGAGCCGCATTGCCTACGCTTTCGAGGCTCTCCCCCTTGTGCAAGCCCATCTGGCGCGTATCATAACCCTTGCTCTCGAGATATTCCCTGTAGCGGCGATCCTCGAGTTGGATGGTCTCCTGGCCGATGTGTGGCAAGCAGAAGATGGTCAGTCCGGCACTCAAGATACAAAGACTCGACGACACATAGAAGGGATATTGCGCCGATGCAACATCACTGTCTCCTCCGGCAGCAGCAATATATGGAAATACGTAGGTCCCGACAAAGGCGCCAATCTTACCGAAAGCCGCTGCGACGCCGTAGTAGTGGCCTCGAATGCCTGTAGCAGATGTCTTCGCCGCTAGGAGACCGATATTGTTACCGGGCCCGAGCTCACCGAGAGATAGGAAGATGCCATATGCAACAGCAAAGCCGGCAACATTATGTGGCTGAGATAGGTTGTGGTAGTCGCCTGTCTTGAATTAGTGACCATAGCGAAGGAGTCCGCCAAGGGGCGGGAACGTACCGCTCAAGATGAACCCGACAATCGCTTGAAGAGTTACTCCCGTTACGAGAGCCATTCGGGGGCCCAACCAGTCACTGACGGGTGCACCCAATAGAGTTCCCTGTATCAACCAATTAACATCTATCGAAGTCTGCTGAAGGAGCAACATACAGGCAGGTAGAAGACGTTTATCAATACGTTCCAACCGAAGGTGGTGCTTAGCGGTGCATCGTCGCTGATGATGTTTGCCAAGATTGTGCTGCTGTAAATTCCGAAGGAGTAGGCTGAGAAGTCATAGATGACTGGAAGCTGTGAGAAACTCGATTGAAGCTTGAGGGGGAAGGGGGTGGCGTTGAACCAAATACGTACACCAGATCAAAGATACGACAAACAGCCGATATCCGTAGAAGCGCAAAGAGAGCATGTACGGAATCTTGGCATGAGCCATAGAGTGCCGCTGGAACTCCTCTGGCTCCTTCAAGCGTAGTCGCAGAACGAAGAGTATCAGGGGGAACACGCAGCCGATGCCCAAGCTTGTCCTCCAGATAGTGCTGAGATGCTTGTTGTCGCAGATGACTGTCACAATGTACGGCACAAGGGCGCCAGCCACGAATCCCCAATCGATCATAGAATTTGTGAATCTAGAATAGGTTCAGTTTTTGACCTGATCACGGAAAGCTGAGGCGTCGGGGATGAGCTCACAATATGAACCATCTGTTTCTCGTACCACTCTTGAGTTCACCGGTGGACTCAGCAGCTCCAACAGATCCAGCAGGGTCTAATGTATCAAATATTAGCATGTTCCTCTCGGCGTAGCAGACGTGGGAATATTTTCGGGAGTGCTTACATTCTCCGCCAATGCCGATTCCAACAAAGAATCGCCATGCAATCAGGATTTGAAGCATCTACAGAGCAAGTTAGCTACGGCTGACGCCTCTCCCCGGAATAACAGCATTGGTAGACTTGACAGGTCGAGGACAGTAACTTACTCCTGAGACTGATCCGTGATAATAGCTCCCAGCACATAGCGCTGTAAATACGATCAAAATAGCCGTAGATACAAGCAGAGAGTTGGTGCGAGACCACTTGTCACTTGTGTATCCAAAGACAAGCTGGCCAAGAACCGTGCCAGCAAAGGCGATTGAAGCAACATTCTGTTTATAATTGCTCTTCTTGTAGATATCGCCATATTGCATACCCAGAATCGTACCGACCGAACCAATGACCTATTGCACGTTTTAGTCAAGCGATTGCGCAGACAATGAGTTCATGAGCATGTCTTTACGTTTTGGACGTAGCCATCTGAGAACAGACCAGCACTGCGACATTCAGTGTTAGTGGTGCATTTCAGGGACCTAACGGAACCACATGAAGGAATTATTTACCCAGTAGCAAACACCGGAAGCACTCGTTGGAAGAAGGGTTTAGAGGTCTGGTCGATTGGCGGCTCACCATCGTAGGAACCTGCCGCAACCTCATCGGCCGACGACCCGTTTCTGTTGCGCCAGAAGTCGAGCTTCATTTTCACAGTCGCAAATCACAATAAGAGCTCGTTAGGATAGTGATAGCCAGGCTGAGTAAGCGTATTTTGTCGCGACTTCGAGGCGACGCGCGCAATGACTTTTGCGCAACACTTCACTGGGCGAGAGCACTTTCTACAGCAAGATGAAGCTATCGACAAGGAAGAAAGATTGCAAGCAAGATCCGGGAATAGGACAGAAGAAATAGAAGTTCGGCAGCCCACTCCGATCCCACATAGCTCGGCCTGTGGCTCGAGCTACTGTACCGTAGCACGCGTAGCTTGACGACCGACCGGAATGCACAGCTCCCCCAGCTGGATGCTACCTTTCCCACCTTCCTCGCTAGGTCCGTCACACTGCTCGCTCGTCCCGCAGCTTATCGACATGCGTCGATGACGGGTACGCGCCTCCGGGGAGCTTGGTGTTAATCAGGGACATTCTGGCTACAGAGGCGCTATGTGTCAAGCTTTGCCCAGTGAATAGCCAAGCTGAGCCACCCGCAGGTTGCCAAGTTGCAGAGGACTGGTCGAGTACTGCCTAACAGAGCGAGACAGAGGGGTGGGTAACACGCCGAACCCGTAATCTTGCTGGGCCGGACTTCGTGCTGTCATAGGGCGATCTGCAAGACAAACCCCCATCCATCCCTGGTCTTAGTGGTGACCCTGTGTGGACCGGCTTCTCGGCCTTGATACGCACGTGTCAATGACAACAACAATTAGAGGACCACTGGAGTTGAGGCCGAACGTAAGCCTGCCCCACGGTTTCGTGATGCTTTGTCTCAGTCGTTACAAATATTCCACTTGAGTCTTTTAGAAGAGTTCTCATTTCCATCGTCTATAGTCGCTCTCCTACTTGTACTAGATCCTTCGTGTGGAAAAAAACGAGGTCGCGTGCCCACAGGTCTTCTCGGTGCTATTTTGATTGGAAAGTGACGTTGAGGTGCATTGATAGCCGGGACAAGCTTTTGGCGTGCCTTGGCAAGCTAAGGCCCGAGGTCTAACTGCTCTAAGTCTTGGACTTCCAAGGCGCTTCAGATTCACGCATCGCGAAAGATAGGGAAGGCATATCTACAACAACGAGTTCACTCAGGTCACGTAGCAGCCTGATATGGCCATCCGCTCAAAGCCGACTCTTATCAGAGTGAAGCCAGGGTCGTGTCCTCTTTGGCCCACCGAATGCTGATATGAAGTCCTGGTTTCGGTGATCCCGAAGCCCCCACTACTCACCTCCCTCGGGTTCCCCGCACGCCTCTGGCAGCCACATCCGTCAGGCGGTTACAGGCATCCTGAAGACCAGCGTGCTGTCTCGTCTTGCTGAACGCCCTCCATGTCGGAATGGTCCTACATGGGATCGTGGGTTCGGTGCAATAAGTCGAACAGCAAGCGCCGATGTTTTCAACATATGGGCAATCCTTAACAACTACCGTCATTTGGTGAATTACAGGAATTGACTTATTGGCATCGGGGCTGCCTTTCCCAAGACACAGTGCTAATTTCACCCCTTCCAACTAGGGAAATGCAGCTAGCCAACCATTGGATACCATGATCACTGTACACCTCTGCCGGGGTAATAATTGTTAATTCTGAGTGGGAATCGTGGACTTTCAGACAAGGGAGTTGCTACGCTACTTTTGTCGAGACCAGCGCGGCTATAGAAATAAACAGAAGCTTCGAAACTCAATCGGGTATTCTCAACCCTGGTTTTCTGTATATTCATCTTACTAAAAATAACGTTTATTACCCTGGTGGAGGTGTACACGATGCTTATTCTAGACTTAGAAGGAATTAGCAAGCCCTCATATGGTCACTAGAATGTTTTGAGGGGATCAATATGACATGAGAGGTAATATGTTCATATAGTTTCTTTGTACTGACTGGAATATTGGTTCATCATGCTGCGGGCGCGCGGCTCAATCTCAGCCAATCATCCTGGCTGACACTTGCCCAGCTTCGGTAAGACACGACTATCCGTCTATACTTGCTTGAGTGTTCTGTGAATCCCGGGGTTTACGTCTTCATGGCCTGAAAGCAGAGGTCACTTGCCACTTACATCTCATCAAATGTTATCCTCATTATCCTATTTCAAAGTCTTGAACAAAATAAAGATTACTGGAATTTGATAGTGATCAATGTTCCAACATAAGATTTCTTACTATTCTTCCTCGGCTCGCCCAGATATACTCAATCATAGTTGAAAATAGAGTACGACTATTTGCTAAGCAAGATCAGGTCGTCTGCTCCCAAAGAGTACACCTTAATCAAGACAGACCGATTTTGCTACTAAATCAGACCCCACCAGCGGCGACGAGGCGCACCAGTAGGAGCACCCTGAGTAGTCATCATTCCACTGGTAGGGTTGGGGCCGCCGGAAGTAAACACTGAAGTGAAGCCTGTGCCACTAGCAGCCTGGGTGCAGTCACGTTTATGGCACACTTGAGTCGTGCCATTCACCCACCCAGGAGGGCCTGTAGGGTGACACTTCGTACATGACGTAGTGACGTTGGCGGGTGCAGTTGTGATAGGTGTAGGAGTCGTAGGGCAAGATGAGACGAACGAAGTCTCGGTGCTGGTAACCGTATAGTTTGCCCGGTTTGTCACCCATTGCGTCTTCCAGACTGTTGAGGCAGGAGGACAAGTTGGCTTTGATTGTGTCCCGCAGCCGTCGCTCTGGAGCTTGATGGGGAAGCACTTGGTCTGGCCAAAATCTGGCGATATATAGATATTGTACTCCGTATCAGTGGCTGGGCAAGCAAAGAAATTTGGAGAGCCTTTGTAAGTGAGGGTGTTGTCTGCTCCAATGGCAAAATTCTTGTCTGGTTCCTTGCCCTGATCACACTGGACCTGTGTGGTAGGTGGTTCTGTGTTATCAGTCAGTGTGTTGTGACATTCGCGATTTACATGTCTCTACTTGCCTGTCACTATACACCCAAAGCCATGTGAGTCAGTGATACCACCCTGTTTATCAATGCAAAATGTTGCAGTATCGTATGTTCCGTTGAGGCGAATCTGTCCATCACTGAGCTCACCGGCAGGACAGGCAAAGGAGCCCGAAGATGAGATGGTGAATTTGCAGCAGTCACTACCAGTATCATCGCCCTGATGGTCTGCAAGTGTGCCTTTGAAAACGCAGGCTGCCGCAAGAACAAGACGAATTATCTTAGCCATACTACGGGAGGAGGATCTGGACGAGTGAGAAGAGGAATGAAAATGCGTACCAGGGGAAAGTCTGTTCCTCCTTGAGTAAGTTCTTGGTTTTCAAGTATTTATTGATGATAGCTTTCGACGAGAACAAGTCAATGTATGTAACATGGATCCGAGATCTAAGTCCGATTGGATGTCCAGTTCATGATGCTGTCAGGAATAAATTTGTTTCTTGATGACTTTAGGGGTGTGATGCTGAGGGATCTCGATCCTTTCCATTCCTGTCAATATATTTCTCGGCCGCTCGAGCATTTCGTCCCCTTGTTTTGGCTGCCTTATGTGAGATGGTCTTTGTCATAGGGTCCATGTGATGTTTTTTAACTTGATTCAAGGTTGCATCTAATCCTGAGCTGAAGCTATCGCAATGGACTATATGCTATGTACCAGGTACTTGTGGCTTGCCTAGTGGCTGATGCAACATGATTGGTCTGCTCGGGGACTTACAAAGAACCTGACCTGCGAGGCTGACAGGGCAACAAATTCCGAGCACACCATCAGGACATCCTGAAAGCACTCAGATTCCTCCGGATAAACTTCCCATAGGATGCGAAAGATGGTGGCTGCAAATGCCGTGCATAGAATTCTGCAGCCCTACCGTACCCGCTTGGAGGAGCCGGGAATGAAGTGGAGTTCTCGGCATAGGATGATCACCCGCATGTGACTACCTACTGCTCTACTCCTCCGCCAGGGTAATAAATGTTAGTTCGGCAAGGGTGCCACTACCTCCTCAACAAGGGTTTACTACCTTTGTAGAAGTTGATAGACCTATGGTAATAAACAGAATATTCGAGAACTTGATGAGTATTGCAACTCTTGACATTGAGTATCCTCACCCTTCAACAGTTAACATTTATTACCCCGGCGGAGGAGTAGGTGCTATAGTCATCAGAATGATGAATCAATAGGCGGCCGTATCAGCCGGCTTTCTCGAAGACAGCTCGATTTACGATCAACTATCCGCACCCTTCTCAAGGTCATCTTTTGCCGAGCCTGATACACTGAGGGTGTTCTTCTCCTTTTTTTTGACACGCTTCAATCTTGAGCATCTCTGCTCTCTGCTTCTCTAGTATCATAACTACAGATAAAACAAACACACCCATACTATGGGCTCCGGGGTGCAAGTCATGGAGTCAGATATACTAAGGAATATCCTCGCCACGCTTCAGCGTTTAGAGGAGCGCTTTGAAGACCAGAATGACCGCCTAAGCACTATAGAGAACTCTGCCAGGTCAAATGCAAGCTCACCAACCGGTCGATTTGAGCCAACAAGCTCTCTTCATCATCCCTCATTGATTGCGGAACTCGGAGACGTAAAGGCCTCTGAAAGCCGGGAATTCAATGAATCCGTCCAACAGGCGGCTAATGAACGGCTCACATCGGAGTACAAAACTACTGTTTCCAGGCTATGGGGCCGATTTGCTTTCAAAGATGAAAGCTGCTCTGAGCTTGATTCTGTTGCGGACATGACAAGGGGAATTATGCCGGCCGCCCCGCTCAACGGCGCAAAGGAAGTCAGCGGGAAGCCTTACGAAGTGGACGATAAAGATGACTGGAGATCCGTATCGGTGTATTCTGATTCTTCCTGGCGACGACATTCAATCCCGCTGGGCCAGGAGTGTCCACCTGCTTTGTCTTTGAGTTCACTGAAATTGCAACATGGAGAGTCCCATCACGAGAGCGGTTGTGGTCTCGACAATATGGTTGAGATGAAAGCAATCCTGTACGACGAGACAGCAACCTCAGCAACAACACCCTCAAAAAACTCCTTCTCCGAAAGTCAGCATTCCAGGAACACCGCGGAT